AAAAAAAAAAAAAAAAAAAAAACCAAGGAAAAACAAGAGGCGGAAATAGTAAAGGGGGGGGGGGAAAAAAAAAAAAGAGAAAAAAGGCAAAAAAAAAATTTTTTTTCCTTTGATCCGTAAAACTATTAACGCAGGATCCATAAGAAAAGGGAAAAAAAAAAAAAAAAAAAAACTGCATTCAAAAAAGAAATATTTTATAAAAATGCCCCCACCTCACCCCTACGCACAGTAAATACGTCCCTGCATCTGAAGGCAATTGTCACTCTGGTGGTAATAGCAGCCAAATTGACATTTGGCAGACTCACTCACTCATACATGACCCGCACATGCCTCCATTACAAACACGCACACATATATATAAACATATATATAAATATATAAATATATAACGACAGATCGTGTGGCATCTCTGAACATCAGAACTTTACTCAAACACAAAGAGTTGACTACACGCCTTGCCGCCACGACACTGGTGAGTCCTCAACCGACATTAAAGGGCACTGAGAACGCAGTGACGGCGAAGAAGCGGTCACACCACATGAATGAAAACTGGCGTTGTCCTTCATTGCCATTTCAACGTGATCGAAGAACAGCATTGACATATCATTTTTACTGTCAAGGTGCATCAAGCTTTCCATCTTCTCAGAACGGGGGCTCTGGTCAATGGAAGGGAAACCGCACTTTTTCTCCTCCTGTCGCATCATTTCTTTGAGAAGCAGCTTTTCATATGCAACGTATTCATAAAAGGGCACGTTGACATTGAATCGTAACACACGGATAACAAGCCGCTCTAGAGCGTTCCACTCCATCAGAGAAAGCTCCGCCAGCTGACTAAAGTAACGATTGCTTCGAAAATTGTCGTCACGATACTTCGCTGTGATTAACAACAACACAGCGAATACACACGGCAAGTGATCCACCGCTGCCTCGTACTCCGTCGCTACGGACTCCTTTCTCATTTCCACAAAAAAACGACCCGTGAGAGCAAGTGTAATCGGATAGCACTCAATGCTACAGTGGGAGTGACAAATGAGTCGGTAAATGAAGTCAATTAGTGGGCCCGCTGCACCGCTGCCAAACAACTTTCTGTGCTTTCTCTCGTCACGGCAACCACGTCCCTCCATATTCATGCAGTGAACCGAAAAATACCGGCAAAGCCGCTTTTCCTCCAGCTGCTGTGATTTGGTAATATGGTTGCCGCCATGAAAGCAGTAGTGTTCCCATTGCCTCTGCAGCAGGGTCTCCATGGCCAACAGAAACATTCGGTACTGATGAGCGTTGGCTGCGGCTGCCTCAGCTTCAACCGCATCGCAGAAATCCTTGGAGCCAAACTTTGTTGTGGCCTGGTCATGAATGCCCAGTGCAAGCGACAATGCCGTCATTGTAGAACGTTACGTCACGACTGTTCCCACACCACCACCAACAACAAAGTCAACAAAAAAGAAAAAAAAAAGAATGTAATAATGTAGACAATTCCCTACTTGCCGTGTGTACGTGTCTCTGATTTCGCTCCGTACTTCACCTGCTATCCCTTTTTCTCTGTCTCTCTGAAGATCGGATTAAAAGCGATGCTCGCAATGATGAATTTGTCCAAAAACGACGCACAAAATAAATTCCTCTTCGCAGAACGTCCTCTTTATTCGGCCAGCAGCTTACGTTATCACACTCACAAAGATCAAATACGGCGGTATACAAAATACTAAAGCCGCAAAGAAATAAGTTGAATGATTCCTTTTGACTCTAATGATGGGATAAAAGACAAAAAAAAAAAAAAAAAAACCAAAACAATGGCACATGAAAGACGCATACGAGGGGAAGCCATCAGCCAGTCCTGGAAGCCCACGCCGACACCCACACCCACAAACACACTTCATCCTCATCTCCTTTCCTTTCTTCGGTTCATAAACCCGTGAATGGGGATCCAGAAGCGAACTTTTTGATAAGAACGACGCATCGCATTTACCCTCAATTTTTCGCTTGTCCTCTTCCCACCACACACCACCACCACAGAACACACACACACACACACATACCCCTGCTGGGGAACTAAAACAAACCGCTACCTAAAACTCATCTAATTTATTATTCTTGCCTGCAGAACATCTCAAAGATCAACACAGAGAAAAAACAGAAAAGAACTCGACACATCACCACCTACTTTTCAAGCGCCTTAACAAGCTCGTGCAGCTCTTTGGGCACAATGGTGGGAATGGATCTCTCCAATTCCTCATCCTGCTTCAATTCCTCAAGAGCATGTGCCGCATGTTGTCTCTTGACATTCTCTTGGCGTAACCGTCGCTGGTGTTCCACCCACATCTTATCGTTAGCAGACTTTTCTGCAAACCCCTTCTGAAGGCCCGCCCATGCAGCAAAGATGTACGCCACGTTACGAACCTGATGTAGTGTTTTGGGGGGAGCCTTGGCTGACATGAAGCAATATTTCAACTTGTTGGGGCTGCCACTTGCACTTTACTGGTGGCAAGAAAAAGCAAGTACCGACACATAAATAAGAAAAAAAAAAATCAGTAAATGAAATAAAAATAATAATAAAAAGAAGAAAGAAAAGAAAAACAAATTTAGTTGGAATGCGTAAAAAAGCTACGCAAGCCAAATCAAGCAAAGATTATGAACCAATATATATATATATATTAATCACAACAATAAAATGCAGGCAGACACCAAAAATCAATCAAAAGAATCCATAAATAACTCCGACTGGTTCGGCTGCAAACAACATGCGCACGCCTCGTAATTATGCTACCCCGGTTGCACAACAAATAAAAACCAACACTTCATCTCCCGTTGAGTATACCCACCTCGTCATGACCTTCGCCCTTCCGTGTTTTGAGCTTCCTCAGCCTCGCTAAAACCATCCACAAAACCATCTGTCCTCGGATCGCGTGCCCGTTTCCGCAGCGCTGCCACGGGAATGTAAACATCGTTTTCGGTGTTCACCTTTCCCAGTGCGTTGCCACGAGACCACAGATTGATACATGCTATACCACAGAAGCAAATAAACAGTCCCTTCACAACCCCCATAATAGAGTTTGAATCGTCCGCACCACCAAACCATGTAGCAGAGGCGGCACACCGGCTTGGTTTGCACAACATCACTGGGAATAACCGAATAGGACGCAGCATGAGGTCTTGTTCTTTCTAAATTGTCAATTTTCTGAATATTCTCATGGTTTCTCATTAAAAAAAAAAAAAAAACAAAAAAAAAGGGAAAAAGAAAAACAAGGACAAACAGAAAATCATGTAAAGTTTTTCCTTTTTTAATCGCCTTGCTCGGACTCCTCCACAGCCTTCAGAAAAAATTAAATATGAGGGAGTTCGGTACCACTCACGTGGTTAAAATATCCCTTTATTGTGTTTTTTTTTTTTATTGGGGTGGTGGTGGTGGCCAAAACTAAATCATAAATTGTACATATTCAACATCATCCCGCTCCTCTGCCGTTGCCTCCCACTACGCCAATTTGAAGTTGTGTCGAGTTAGCCAGCTACCCTTTAACTCCACAGCGGGACCGTATCGATCCGCAGCCACCGGCCCCTGTTCTTCCTTCGGACGTGAGAGCTCCGGTACCGACTCCTCGATCGGATGAAAAGACCGACCAAATTTGCTCTTGTATGTGGGAAGATGTCCCTGATAACCGGGCAGATGGCGCTGATACATCGGCCGCGGCGGTGCCTCTTCTCGCCCGCGGATCCATTCGTCGCGGTTATCGCGGTCCGTGTAGTACTCATACCCTCGCTTCTGCCATGGTGCGGTGCGGGTCCCTGTAAAGAAAAATGGCATTTCAGAAGGAGGTGGAGAAGGCGGTGCGGGGGGCAGCCTCACTGTGGCAAGACACTTCAAGAGCGGCTCACCAGCCTCTGGACTGTTGAGCAATATGGCGGCAAAGGCATTCATCACATCCTGAGGCGGCACAAACGCCTTGGGATACCGCAAAGGTGTAAAAATCATTTTCAACTCCGTCATGGTAGATGCAAAAAAAGGTGTCGCTTCACAGGCAGCAACATCGCCTGGCAAAAGTGCCTCCTCAAGCGTGTGCATTAGATCAGCCAAGGCAATCGTGGGAATAACAGCACTGATGATGTCACCACACATGTTTCTCAAAATGCCTGCCTCACGATCTCCAAGACTCTTCAATGGACAGACAAGAGCGATAAAATCATCTACAAGAAAACCGCCCTCATCCGAGTACGCCGTCCGAAGGTTTCTGTACTCGTCCGGCGTCAACAGCACCCCAGATTTGTTCATAATGGATTTGAAAAGCACAGGGTTAACGCGCCTTCTGTCCCTGGAGATATTGCCGTCCTCCTCTGAGCCAATATACAAGTTTCGTTCCATTTCCAGGAAACCAATAGCGCCACCTCGCAGAAGCAAGTTCGTCACCTTGCGGATCGTTGGCGCCGCCTTCTCCTTCCACAGAGTGAGCTCTGTTGGAGTGAGAGCAACATAGTCCATTTCCAGAACCTTACTGAGGGGAGTAAGTAAAATATATATAAATATATATTAACAAGGAAGAAAAAAAAAAAAACCAACGTTTTCCGCAGTTTCCTCGTTTTGTTATTCCTCTCCACACCGCGCAGAGAAATATCCAATTCGCAGAAATAAATATTAAAATAAGAAAATAAAAAAAGAAAGTAAATAACACGAGTAAAATAAACAATACGTGCAACATCAACTCGCTCTGCTACGCTGTTTATTCTCCGCGTCCTCTCGGCACCCCCATCATCACCTGCAACAAAAATCACTGCATGTAAAATATCTCCCCTCCCACCGACATGAAGGGTCGCAACGGATGCACCACAAAACTTCCTGGCAAAAGCGACCCCTGCGTGTTTGAAACTTTGAGTGGTTTCTCCAACAGTATCCGTCCCCGCGCATTCAGGGCAAGGTAGCTGCCATCGGAAAGAAGCGCTCCCAACAACCCGGTATGCACACCCGTCGCAAAAGCCACAATAGAAGGAGATCTACTTACAGAGGGCCACCCTCCATGACCGCCACAAAACGAAAAAATATCAACCTCGAGTGAAGGCTCTGTGAATTTGCGACTGTCGTAGAGACGCACGGCACTACGAGTTGCCGTGGCAAACGTCAGTGCGCCGGTTCCCACCTCAACGGGACCAACACCAACAACAGCTTCAACAGAGGAAGAAAAGGAAGAGTTGACCGAAGATGAAGCTCCCTTACAATTCAGCATCCCTATAACGCCAAGAAAACCCTGCTTCTGACGATCATCGTAGTAACGCACCGCTCCATCCGAACACCCAGCAAATATTGCACGTGTTGTTGTATGTGCTGTCAATGATGTAAGGGTAGGATCACCAGAAACCCTTAGCCGCTGAATGACTTGTTCCTCATCCAGGGAAAGCACATGAATCTCGGTACCACCATTACTCCCAATCGGTCCCCCGTACAGGAGATTTGCATTGTAGGATCTATAGACAGACTTAATATCTATATGTCCCCTTGGAGAACATGCAGAAAATGTAGCAACCTCCGTTGGCATTCCCTGTCCCTCCTTCCAACATCCTCTTAAAAGACTAAAACCCCCATCTTTAGTCACAAGTAACAGTCCAGCCTGCTCAGATAAGTCATTTACAACCAATACATCATGTAACGGGGCAAAAAGACGAACGGAGAACCCATGAACATGTGTTTGAGTACTATATGTCTCATATGAAGTGTGGTAAATGTGTCTATTCTTTGTAGCCAAAACCATTGTGGGTTCCAAGGCACGGAAGGCTGTAGAAATGATTTGATCGCCAGGAAGCAAGCTTGACAGCACTTGATAACGCGTAAAGGCTGATGTCGAGAGACCATTATTCCACACACCAGTCCCATTATCCTCCGCCTTTGAGGATTTGTTCTTATTAGAACTATACATTGGTTCCAGCCTTCTGTCCTGCATCTCTAGAACCAACTGTCGCATACTATCCGCATTCCTTGTTGAACGTGCTCGATCGGCCTCAGATAGAAAGCATGAGGAATCGGTAGATACAACACGAGACATGCTTCGAAGGGCCTCATTTGCAAAACGATGAGATTGGGGTAAATTTTGGTTCTTAAAAACATTTATGGCCGCCACAACTTTACTTGCATCGCATGTATGGTAAAGTGCGAATAACATCAAAGCCGCGTCATGGACCATCTCCCGGAGTAGCTTGAGCACCTTAGGCTCGATTGCGTCCAGGCAGAACCTTTCAGCAGAGGGGGAAAGGTCATCTCGTGAGAGAAATCCAGTCGTGAACATCACGGTGTTGTCAAAACGACTATTGTTTGTGGGACGCGATGAACTTAACTGTGACGTGATCTGCACATCGGGTTCATCCACCATCCACCCTGGAGAATTTCTACCAACCTCCTGAATGTAATCCATGTATCGGTTCGGATTGGTACTGCATTGCAAGGAAGGCACCAGACTCCCATAGTGAAAAAGCAATTGAGAATCAAAAAATATCAGCTCTTCCCGCACACTCATGCTCGCGTCAAAAATAAAGCCTCTTAGTTTAATAAGAAGTGATTTTTCCATCTGCACACGGCGAACCTGCCGCTCAACAGGAAGTTCGTCGACACGGAACCCCACCAACGACGCTAGCAGAGTCACGCAAGAGCTGCGTACAATGGGGGACTTGTCCTGCAGCAGAGAAGTAAAAAGATCTAGACGCGAGGTGCATTCCATTGCGGCAAAATCCTTAGCATGGCGCAAGCCTAAAAACAGCTGTGCAAGCACCAAGCAGGACCATGACCGGACCTCGGCATTCGGTGAGACCAAAAGAAAAAAAGCAGCGTTTAATAATTGATTATTCCAACACGCCAAATATTGATGCTCACCTCCGCGTTTCATCAATTGACAGAGAACGTAGCATGCCATGGCCTTGCATCGGTGTAGATCCAGATCCTTCATGAGGTAATGTTTTGTGTCTCCGTTTGGCGTGGCCGCAGAACCCACCACACCGTCACCTAATTCTACAAATGACGCCGTTGAGCCACCGGTTTGAAAAAAGTTACTGCCATTTACAACGGAGGCCCCCGTGCGGCCATCTTCTACGGGAACCACATTTGTCTTCTTTTCATCCAATTGCAAAACACGAATAAAATACTTCTCTAGACGTGATTTAAAAAGTTCTTCCGTGCCTTGATTTATAGATGCCCTTATCAACTGCATCCAAAGAACACTCACAATTAAAAATACCTCTGGTGTCTGAACAAGAAGCTTGCTGGCGTACGGTAAGATGCCACAATGAATCGCACGCCTTCCAGCACTCACACCGGAATCCAGGTACCTCACCAACAGTATTAATGCGGGCACACGATATGAAATCTGTGTAAGTGCCAAAAGGACGCTTGGAAGTTCTTCAGGTTGTTCTCTCAAGTCTCCAGATTCCACCCATACTTCAAATGCCATTAACTGATCCATAAAAAAAGTAGAGGGTTTGTATGTGTAGTTTGGATTCACTGTTAGCTCTGGGGTAAGAAGATCTGGCAATTGGGAAATGACCCTCTCCAATGTGTAGTCCCAAAGGTCCCACAAATGATGCAAATGAGCTTGTTCTGCTATGGGCGGATGTGCCACAGGAACGCATCCCACTTCACGCAATAAACGGTCAGCCAATAAAAAGTTACGAAATAACGCCTTGGTCATCGTGTCCTGTCTAAAAAGTTGATGAAATTGTGACGGAGGAGTCATACACCACGCAATGGTGTCAGTCACGGCAATAAGAATCCAATTAAGCTCCCCCAGAGGTGATTTCCTTTCTGAAAGTTCTCCTGGAATGTTATTTATCATTTCAGCCGTCACATGTGGTAATAAATGTTTGCGATGAGAAAAATTGACATACCACTCCAGTGCCATTCGCAGCGGTGTTGTGAGACATGCAGTCAACACGTCCGCAGGAAGTTGCGGATTCAGCGGCAGAAAGCTTCCAGCACTACATGCGCAAAAAAACATATCCTGGGGTCTTGTCTGATGAAGACGCTCCTTGTACCAGTGTTGCAAGATGGAACCCGCAGAATTGCAGTCTAAAACGTATAGTGTTGGCGAATCAAGAAGTTGTGACATTTCAACGATGTTAATGGGTACGTAGTGCGTTCGATTTTTGTCAAAAAACCAAATCTCACCATATTCCGTCGCTCGGGGCATCCCATGACCATTGTAATGCAAAAGCACCCTACCCTTGTCAGCCTTTCTGCGGGACGACATCATGAGATGCTTGGCCTCTTCCAAGTGTGCATCCACCGCCCTTTTAAAGACGGCATCTCGTTGTTGGGAGCGGTACTGACGTTCCAGGATCTCAGCGATAGAGTCACTACCACCTTCTAAAGCAAAACGGGAAATCTGCGCCACGTGGGGGTCAATCCAGCACTCCAGTCGCGCGCACGGTTCGATTCGTGGGTAATCCGGTGGATCACTGCCGATATTCAAGCAAAGAAAAAGAATAACCTGCGTTGACTTTACCTTTTGGCGAGTGGAACGCTCCGTGAGAGAAAAATCCCCGGGAATAACGTCCTGCACCTCATCCGCATCCAGTCCTGTAAGAAGCGCGGGCAGGTGATGGGGTGCAAATGCAGCAAGACGCTCCTCCACGAGGGCAGATTCAGAGATGGCGGTTGCCGCTGCTGCACGCCGCCGATTGAGCATGTCTTCCTTTCAACCCGCCACTTTCATGAAAATAAAAATAAGAAAAATGGTAATTGTTTTAACAGCCACGATGGTGGAAAAAGAAAACTTTTGGCCTCGTCGCAACTGTGTTGTGCCGAGGAAAGTGCGGAGGGACGCCACTTAATCCGGGCATATTGTCACAGAAAGAAAAGCACAACCACAAAGGAAGAATAAATTAAGAATCTGACCCCTCCCGCAGCACCTTCTTTTTCGCTTAGCTCTGTGTGACTTTGTTGCTGTCCTTTTCACTTCTTCAGTCTTTGTCTTTTGTGCTGCCCCTCCCTTCTTTTTTTTTTTTTTTTTTTACTCCTCATCTTTTTTTATTTCTTAAAAATCACACACTTTGTTTTTAAACGCTATAAATTCCGTTCGTTTCAGCTGCTGTTTTTGCGCACCTCCCCTTTTTTAGTCTCTCCACTGACCTCATGAGGCCTCATCCCTCGTCTTCAACACGACACGGATACCAATGCCGGTGAGCTCAGCAGCCCACAGGCGCAGCACCTGCGGTATCTCCACAAAAGCAATCGTGTCTGTCGCCTCCTGCGACCCAGCACCGCAAAATTTGCACGTCTTCCATGTCGAATATTCCGTCGCGTGTCGCTCGTAGATGGAGAGGAGAGAACCGCATTCCACACATATGAAGGCCTTTGCCTTGTCCGAGACATGCAGCAGACGGTCCAGAACCACCTCCGCACTACCATGCGACAGCAAGCCATCACGTTCCATCTCACCCACACGTACACCACCGTGTCGTTTACGTCCCTTGACGGGCTGGCCCGTCTTTGTGACAGCGCGGTGAGTGTGTGCGTCCGTGCGGGCGCGCGCCTGCCACTTGTCGTTTACCATGTGTCGAAGTCGCTGATATCCTGATATGCCCATGAAAACGTCAGCCTCCATCTCCTCCCCACTGATGCCATCAATGAGCTTTTCACGCCCATAACGATTGTAACCAGCCTTTTGTAAAGCGTCCCCAATAACTTCAGCGGAGCGTGGACGTTCATCCACTACACTCCATGCGCTGTGATCGCAAAAACGGCCCTGGATGGCGCCTAGCTTCGCACCCATCATCTCCAGCACCATCCCCACCGTCATACGAGAGGGAAAAGCATGTGGATTGATGATGATATCAGGTGTGATACCGTCACGCGTACTAAACGGTAAATCGTAAGCTCGAATGTGCAGAGGAAGAGTTCCCTTCTGTCCGTGACGAGATGAGAATTTGTCGCCAATGGCTGTTGGACGAGGAATACGAAACACAACAAGCGCGCTGGTTGGATCTGGCCCGTCATATTTAAGAGGAACCACACTATGAACCCACGCGTTCTCCCCCTTATCAAATTGCCACCACTTTGTCACGTGATGCCTTGTATATTCGTAAACCTTCTTATTCATAAGGGGGTCAATACGTTCATAGCGTTTGGCACAGCAATAGACCGCACTGCTGTCTCGTAGTGTGGGATACTTGTGATCCGAATCGAAGGAAAGCAACTCTGTCGTACCAGGCACCGCACGCTTTCTTGGCAGTCCATGAGCATCCAACTCTGGTGTGAAGGGCTGTCCGTTGGACAAGAGATTTTGAAACACAAACACATCATCCTTCTCCCCCTTTCCACTAGCAGTGATAACTTTGGCCACAGTAATGCCGGCGGTGAGCATGCCAAACTGGGAAGCGGTACTGTTTAAAATGACAGCGTCATCCAAGTCATAGCCGGTATAGGCCAAAATGGCAATCACAGCATTGACCCCCAAATTCACATCATCCAGTCCGTAATAATCCATCGGGAGTGTTCGACTGATGTAACGTTGTGGGCAGTACATACGAAAGAGTTTTGCTTCCTTACGCCATGCCAATGTTTGCAATTGAGTTCCGGCAGATTGCTTGGATAAACCACATTGGAAGAGGTTCCTCGGCGAACAGTTATGCTCAAAGAATGGAATCGTCGCCGATGTTAAACTAAGAATATTACTTCCATTCTGCTCCATAAATTCATATTTTCGATTCAATTGAGTCAAACCGTCCAGGAGGTCAGAGGGAACGCTGGCGATGTCAAGCCACGTCTGCTCCCAGGTTCCAATATACACCAAAGGAAAGGGTAACTCGTCACCGTGGGATGTGGATTCAATTTGCTGCACAGGACGCATCATTCTGCCATTATCATAAAAGATGTACAACCCTTGTGGATCCTTATTGCCTGGGGGGACATACACAACCTCAACCATACTAAAGGCATTTACACTGTGGCGGCGCACAATACCACTCAGCTCCATACTAGAGCCAGTTTTCAATGCCTTCTTTCGAAGCAAGGCCTTACACACTCGTTCGGCCTCTTCGGGTGCCAAGTACCCCAACATCTTCCCCTCCACCCATACAGGGACTGTACCCACCAGACGATCCACGAGAGAATCCAAAGATCCGCCGTTGCGAAGACCGTGAAATTCCTCCGTGATCCGCGACAATAAATCTTCTTCATTTCGAGAACCTGTTGGAACGGATTCGGAAACAAATGTGCTTACGCTCATATGATTCAAGACACCACAATCCGCCCCATCAGGGCTATGCACCATACAGATAAAACCAAATGCCTCGCATGGGTACTTTCGCACCTCACTGGAACGCATCTCGGCAATCGTCTTACCCCGATGCAAACATCGCAACTGCTCAAAAAAACGGTAAAAGTTCAAGTGTTCTGCCATCACCACCCAACCAGAGGTTTGCGGACAGTAAAAATCTTCCTCACGATCCAATGTGAGATTTCCAGTAATCAATAGACGATGTAACGCATCTAGAGGTTCATTTATGCTTCGACGTTCACAGTAATCTGTGTACTGCCGCAGCTGATTGATAACCCCACTTGACTCATTTCCTGGCAACTCACCCAATTGCAGAATGGATTGAAAGAGATGAGATGGAATATGACTTCCCAAACGATACACAAAACTCTTCATGTATTTATTAAGGCAAACCTCAAAACCACCCATAAGCACCTGCGAAACGGTAAATATCTCCTGGTAGGCGGGTACATCATTACCTTGATGTTCGTTGGCGCCATCAAAAAAGGCGTACAGCTGTCGTACAATGGCAATCATTGCATCCAGTTTGGCATTTAACTCCTGAAGGAGTTTGGGGGAGAGCCAGTTAACGCATTCCTCCTGGGTAGCAGTTGGAGACAAATCCCGTGTTGGTTCATTGACATTGAGATGAGGCAATACATGACGGCGAAGCATAAAAAGGCCATACCAGACGTCGTGCTGACCTTGGCACGTGGAATGAAACTGTGGAAGAAAGTGGAACGTGTTGGATGTTTCGTGGTACTTCCGGTACATTTGCCCCAACACTCCCATGTAGTCCAAAAAATGAACAAGAGAACCGTATGGTTTTTGGTGGTGATGCTGGAGAAGTGCCTCAACGCGGGCAACGTGGGAACTGCTGCAATTGGTAAAGCCAATCGTGAGTAGTTTGTACATCTCCAACGAGGAACAGTGCCGGGTATTCAGTGAAAACAGCAGGAGAAGAACAGGAATATGCCAAACCACCTTACGCGCAAAGCTAAATACGACTTCACCCGTAGTTGCGTAGTAAAAATAGTTTTGAATCGTCAAACCACTGGGCCGTTTGCAACGAATTACCACGGCCTTTGGTGAGAAAAACGGACCCTGTGACGAAAACCGTTCGCGAAATATGTTGAGAGGGACATTACACCGCTGCATTAAAAGAGCACGCAAAATGCGTTCCCCGCCGCGCATAATAAAATACCCTCCCACCTCCTTTTGCTCCTCAAACGCACGAAAGTGATCATTTCGGGTGTCTACTCCACGAAGGCTACACCGGGCACCTCGCACCATCTCTGGAAATTCAGAAAAGGAAACCCACACGTGATGTTTACTTGGTACTAATGCAGCGTACCGCTCGTGTTCCTGCGCTGGAATGTTGTGCTGCCGCATCAAGGAAAAAAACTCCGGTACCAACGCATAGAGGGTCATGGACTTTGGCTGAGACTCCACTTGTTCTCCCTGTAGAAACTTGAAACCAATCTGCACATGGCACGGCTGGGCGTAGGTTTCGCTATAGCGGCGATAATACTGTGGTGCGGAAAATAAAAGACAAGAATGCATCGCTCGATCATGAATTAATTGTGCCTCCTCAATAATTTCCGCTTCCTTCAGTCGCTTCATCTCCACCAAAGATAAAAGTACATGTTGCCCCGAGGCGGCCCGCTCAAACGTTCTAAGCTCCTCCTCTTCCCACTTTTTTTTTAAGCGAATCAACTCTGCAAGAGAACCGCTAACACGATCCTTTAAAATAGCAAGTTCTCTGCGCTGCGTCTCCGTGGGCAAGTCTTTCTCTGAAGTCATTGCACTTAGGACGGAGCCAGCGGTGTGCAGACGATTCTCGAGCTTCGTAAGGTTGTGCTGCGCATGCTCAATGACAATGCGGGCACAGCGACCAGGCCGCACGCCGATGGCCACATCCAAAACAAATATGGAAACGAGCCCAGTAGATGAAGGGGCACGCTGACTAAGTTCATTCACAACAGCAGTAAAAAGTGTCCCCTCATTCTTAGCTTCGCTCACAAAAGCCTCCACACGTTGCTCCGCAAATGCATCAAATTCATTTATTTGAAATGAAACCAGGTCTGCCAAGAGGTCCGTGTTGACACGACTTGGCATCTCGGATGGGGCATGGCTCAAGAGATGCTGAATCTCCTCCAGCTCCCGCAAGACCTCCTGTAAGTAGTGGTACGACAAACCCTCATATACGGCATCACATTTTCCTTTCTGAGCCTCGCAGCTTTTAAGTACGACGTTTGCTGCATCTTGTAGAATGAGTGTCTGCTCTCTGATGTATTGTAACTGCTTGGGCCCGTTTCCTTCTGGACAACCGAGCTTCCGCGGGTTATACTCAAGCTTCGGCAGTCGCTCACGAAGCTTTTCAAAGAAGCAAAGTACCTTTTCGCCACCAGCGGTGTCAAGCATGGCGCTGTGCAAGTGGCGCTCCCCGATGTATTGCATTCGCGTTAAAGCATTACGGAGAAGCTGAAGGCGTTCAAACGGTGTCATATTTGCCGGTGGCAGTAAGACCTCCCTTTTTTGCTCCTGACGGCGGTGGCGACTGGACACAGAACTCCGTGTCGATGTGTAATTTTCGCCAACTGACGAGTTGTGCGAGCGGGAACTGCGCAGTGAGGGATTCTTCGACATGGTAGTAAAAATCCGGCTCGGGCAAACTGCAAGAGAAAATTCCCCCCTCCTTCCTCTTGTTTTTTTTTTCTTTGAGGTTCTTCGGTTTTCGCACAAGAGACAAAAACGGCAGTTCATTTAAAAGGCCGAAAAGCAGAAAAAAAAAGGAAAAAAAGACGCGCTGCTGATGATGATAACACAACCCTCGCGCCAAGGTGGTGATGGCAGCACAGCTCCAGGCAAAGAAGAGCGTCAAGAAGAGAAGGACCACAAAAACGTACGCCACTTCTCCCTCCCATTCTCTTCCCCCTTTTCCCTCCTCTATGCAGGGTATGCGCAAATGCATTCTGCAAAGTAAAAAATGCCGCACTCGCCAGGACGAAACAATGCAAAACACAGAGACAAAGGGACCGAAACAAACAAAAAAGCAACACAGGCACACGCTACACGGACTCAAAAGCCTCACAATCCAAAATTTGCCACGTAAAGAACGACAATAGTACAGGAAGCAGTGAACGCGCAGTTGATGAAGACCCAATTGTATCGAATGAAAACACCAAACATGTAAAACATCCGGGGAACATCAATGTACAAAAACTTCAGGATCCGCCCACCCTCCACATTGTACATAAAATTTAAAAGTGCCAGCTGTCTTTCGGCATCCTCCTTGGCTCGAATCATGCGAAAGAGTGGGGCGTATGTCACAAATGTCCTACGGATTTTTTTCGCTTTCATCTCCAATACCACATCCAATGCCTTCTCGTATTCATCATCCAAACAGTAGCACCGCACCATCTGGTTTGTTAGCTCCCTCTGCACAACCTTGGGTTGGGCCACAGAGCAATCCATCAGTTCCTCGTAAAGTTTTACTGCCTCGTACAGCGACATCTTGCCACACTCAAAATCGTAGGCCAAAAGACTAAATAGCGGAACAAGATGGTGTGCACCCAGAGTGGAAAGAACATGCTGATTCTTCCGAAGACCTTCTTCATGAAACCACAGAGTGTGAATCGAGGGACGAACAATTGCGTGAAGAAGATGCTTCTCCAAGAATTCCTCTGCATTTCGTATTCCAAGAGACAGTTGTGAAAGCGTCATCTCTACCTGTCGTTCCACACGTTGCAGTGCAATAGCGTTCTCTATCTGCACCAGCTGTTCCATTCGGTTGTACAGCACAGGCGGAAGCGAACCCGTGATGCCAATCGCCCTAAGTGGTCGCTGTGGTCGAATCATTTTGTAATGATCATAACCCGGCTTGACGGCCGGGAGTCCACCCACAAAGCTGGGTGACACGGGGTAGCAGCTCACACCCATCCATGGCTCGATATCGACCTTGCCGCGCCGCAGCACTGCGGTAACCCGCATCCAGTCCAATTCTATGCTGCCAACAAAACTTCACAAAACAACAGAACGAAATAAAGAAAAGAATAAAAAAGAAACCGCAAATCAATATATCACGATCCGCCTTCAAACTACAGGTTATGAACCCTTAAAAGCAACGTCACCCCAAATCTCTGCTCGCCTCTCAGAGATGCACTCTCTCTTTGAACACCTCGCGCCAATGCAACAACACAAAAGAAAAACTCTCAGATGGAAGGCACCGGTTGAAAGTTAATTTCGTGCTCGAGCTGCGCAGCAAGCGACTCCACTTCGTCGTACGCGGCCACAATTGCCTGTGCAAGAGATGAGGCTTCCGCGTTTAACTTCTCAATATCCCGGTCAATTGAAGCTACAGGAACATCCGGCAGGGAGGACACCGCATGCTCTAGGACACTAAAGTGCTGATCGAGTCCTCCCACTAGCCTGTCAATTCGTTGCCGTTCAACTCCCAGCTCCCATTCCAATCGCTGTGCCGCGGTGTCGACAAGTTCCACCGCCGCGCCTGTAACTTCCGATAACTCTGTAGACTGCGGAAGGGCATCTGCTACTGAAGCCTGTAACGTGTCGTGCATCGCCTCAATGCACCGGGCGAGAGCGGTCTCCGCGTTCACAACCGGTCCCGACATGGCTTCACAGGTGGACGGATGAAGACTGATGCGAGGTAAAAGGCAAGCTAGTAGCACATGTGATGAAAACAAACGCAAACGCACACAATAATATAGAGAAAAGGGGAAAAAAAAAGAAGAAAAAAAAAAAAAACCCGATATGTTAACTACAAATCCTCCCTCTCCCTCACCCCCGCCAAAAAAAGAAAAAAAAAAGTCAGAAATTTATTTTCCAGGCTTTGTTTCCCCTTGTTCAATACGGCGTACTTCCTCCGTCTTTCGGTTCAAAATCAAATCAGCCATTTCTTTAAAGTCACTACCGTAAATATAATCCCACCCAGCCCCGACATGCATCCATACTCACAGGAGAGCATGCATATACAAATATATATAAAAAAGTGCCCCGTTCACTCCCTAGTACCATCTCCAACGCTCTAATCGTTTGTACTTGTGAATAAATTCTTTTGTGTACACTTGGGAGGCATAGTAGTTTTGATCTTGGTAGTGAGAGTAATGCGGCATGTACGCTGCATGATAAAGGTAAACACAAATCGCCATAGGAGTCGAACCAATAAAGAAAAACGGCATAAAAGTATCTGTCATTGTCCATTGGTGAGGAGGATTAAACCAGCGACCGGAAAACGGTGGAGCAAAAAGGTTTGAGGTAGCATGGCCTCTCACAACGGTAGTTCGACGAAGCATACGTCCCTATCCGGCTTTTCTGATGCACCTATTCCCCGTCTTTATTTTTCCCTACCCTACTATAATAATATAATCGTTATTGCAAAGATAAACCCGAATTCCCACGTAGCCAAAAAGGATTCCAATAATAATCAACAACAACCATGCAAATATAAGGGAAAAAAAGAGACGTTCCCAACTCCTCCATGCTATGGACCTTTCAAGGAGCACACAATAAAATTAAAATAACAATAAGAAAAAAAGAAAAAAAAAAAAAAAAAAGGAGAGAGAGAGAGCCGTCCGCAAGTTTTTTCCTTTGTTTCCATTTATCTTTTCTTATCCTCTCTATCTTTTTTTTTTTTTTTCCGCATGCTCTTATTTGACTCAAAAGCCAATCTAAAATCCTCTTTTTTTTCCCTCAGTGTAGCCCGCTCAGATTCTAAACATCACAATCATAACCGCAGTATATAGAAAGTGGCCACTCTTCATAGTAGAATACTTGTGCACCTCCTTTCGAAGGCAATGATAAAATATGCCGCTCACTACTCAGACTGTCGGCGCTCCGCCATCAGGGCGTTCAGCGACTTCGGCTGTTGCTGAGGCTGGCCACTCACTTGTCCGGCAAACTGAGCCATTTGCTGTTCAATTAGGCTCATGTTTTTCGCACCTTCACTCACATTTGTAAAGGAAGCCTTCCCTTGCATATCGCTATTTCCATTAGAAAAAAATGGTGCCCTTTGTGTTCCACTTGAGGCGCCGGCATTGCTTGTCGAGGACGGCACACCCCAAGAAGTTTGAATTGGGGGCCCTCCATACGACGCTTGTGTAGGGACCCCACTCGACCACCCACTCCCTCCTGCGCCAGGCGGAATCATCATCGATGGTTGTGTCGCACCGGTCCATCCACCTCCGCCACCTGCCACCATGCCAGTATACTGCTGTGGTGGGGCCATCGACGGTGAATAACTACCGTATGCCATTTGCTGCTGCTGCTGCTGCTGTGGCGGCTGCTGTGGAAATTGTGCTGACAGCATTTGCTGCTGCTGTTGTTGTTGCCGAATACGTGTGTCCAAAAACGCATCAAAAGGATCCACAGAAGCCGGTTTTTGCTGATGAAACGGTGCGCTTTCCGTCCAACCAGGTTGTTGAGCAGAGGTGTTAGCCGTCATTACAGGTGCTGGAGCAAATAAGTCATCCAAGAAATCTTTCTTTGGGGGTTCTGGCTTGACAGGAGGGGCGGCAGACGCAGGGGGCGGAGAATTTGCTGGCTTTGGAGTGGGTGCGCTCTGTGCGGAAGGCAAGGCCTCATTGGCAAAATTCATTTGACGCTTCTTTTCCTCTTCCTCCTGAAGGCGACGTGCTAACTCAAGGTCAGAATTGCGAGCCGCCTGTTCCACTGACGTGGGTTGCCGTTGAACTTGCCGGTTAAACATCCTTTCTGCATCCCCAGCAGACACACCAGAACGGACCTCTTCTTCGTGTTGCAGTCGAGCTGCAAGTTCCATATCGTACCGCTCCTGTTCCTCCCTCGTGCGACCAAAATGGGTCTTATTTTCGTACGCATCGTGTGGCGAAAGCGATGGCGGCATCGGGCTGTTTAAGTAGCCCTGGTAGTGCGAAGTTGGGTAACCGCCACCGCCAACGCCAGACGCGCCAGAGAGCTTGAAGCGTGTCAAGGCCGCCTTCTCGCGCTCCTCACGGAGTAAGGTGCCATCGCTGAGAAGATCACAGAGCTTCTTTGCGCGTTCTCTCACAGACAAACCGTGATCTGTCCCCTTACTCCCCGTGTAATAGAACGACTGAGATATGGTACGAAGAGTGGGGATTACAGTACAAATGGCCGGCAGTCCCGACTCCGGCACGTTGCGAGCAAGATGGTCAAGAAGAAGTAGGCTTTTGTAACAAGGTCGCCACGCCTTTTCACGGTGTTTGAGACGCAGTTTTATCTCCTCCATAATATCAAATGACCCGCGGGCAAAGGCTCGACAGACTTCATCCATCTGTGCACCCGTTGGCCCCCAAGGGTCCTCGTTGGTTGCCTCGTGAACAAGCACAACAAACTCATTGCCAGATGCCATCACACGGATCATCTCCCGCGCGGCATGAATGGAGGTTGGAATACTCATCTAGTATTATAACCCGGGTTATTCCCCTAGAAAAGAGAGCGCCAATTGACCCTAAGTAAGAAAGATGTAAAGACGAATAAGCAAGCTACTTTTCTCGACGTATTCTCAGAATATTCGATAGCATTCACATGCAAAACAACATGAACAGCCGTTAAATGACAACACCATCAATTCGACTCAACACAATAAAGAAAAAATAAATGAATAAAAAACAAACCGGAAATTCTCTTCGCGTAGAAAGATCCATTTAGGGTACGTTTAAAGATTTGAAGAATTACTCTAGACAAATTCACCAAAATGAAATTTCATGAAATGAAATACTCACCTCTGCTGCTAGCCAGATCCCGAACCTCTCTAAAGAAATAAAAATAGGACAAGAAAGAAAAGGTAAAGGAGAGGCGGTGGCCTCGCCATATCCTCCATGTTTGCTTCAAGTATATATATAGATAGATAGATTTATTCAAATTGCCGCTCTCGTGACATGTTGCGCTCTATTCGGATTGGGGATGTTTATATTAGTTAAAAATTGGTAGAATTTGAGGTCCTCCTGCCACAAGACACCGCCGCAAGGTGGGGGGAATCAAAAGGGGCCGAGTGGAACGACAAAAATAAAAACAAACAAATCCGTCGTGACTTTATCGGTTCATTGACTCCTCCCATTGCAGTCTTACAAATGAACCGTAAGAGAGAAAATAATTGTAAATAAATATTTTCGTCTTATCAGGATGTGCATATTAAATTGGGTGGCCAGCCCTCTCGCAATCATTCTTTTCACAAAATCGAAATGTCAATGATGGGGTAAATAAAGAACTCCCCTCTACCGAAAGGGGGAAAGAATTGGCACATCTATGCGAATCCCATAGACATCTTTATCACACAGCAGAGTCTTTGGAATTTCATCTACTAAATCCCTCGACGTGAGGGCAGTTTTCGAATTGGGTAAACTCCGTACGGCTTTTGTTAAAATCGGGTTTAGCATGGGTAATTTACCCAATTTCGTTGATGCAACCCGTTTTCTCGGCAATAACTCCTCCGTGGAAGCACCGGCTCGAATGGCTTCATTGGTAACCTTGCGTTGCTTGTTTGTTTCCGTGTGGCGTGCCCAATAGCAATGGCGGGTGAAAATTTCCCGTTGCCTCAACACATGTGAGCAAAAAGGCTTGAATTGGCGGAAGTTGCACGCCAGCAGCGTTCTTTTCTTTTTCCTCCTTTACTTATGGCACAATAAACTTAGACGGAGAAATAAGATATATATGAAAAAAAAAAAAAAAAAAAAAGGAATTTCACGCATATATGGGAACTGCAGCACACATCCAAAAACATGAGAAAAAAATAAAATCGGAGCCACACATAACGGCATTAAGAAGAAATAATAAAAACGCCCTTTTATTTTTCGTAGAGAAAAAGGTTTAATATATATTTTTTTTCCAGCGATGGCACTATACAATATCCGGGAAGAAAAATAGTTCATCCATCTGTGTATCTTCTTTGGAATCACGCACCGCGGAACGCCTCCCCATAATGCTTGTAAAACAAAGATGATCCAAACACATTCCAATGGTGAGGTAGGTACTGACCAACTCCACCTGTGCCTCCCACTCTCTTAGATCCGCCAACAAGAGCGTAGACTTTGCTCGATACTTCTCAGCCGACGTTGCACCAGAGACCTCAGTTAAAGGCGGGGTAGGAACGAAGCGGCTGTACAATGGATTTGGCAATGCTGACCTCATTGCAAAAGCACCAAAGCCATTACAGTTTGATTCCCTGTTCTCCGCATCTCGATCCATCGCAGCAAAGCGTTCTTGTGAAAGAGCTAGATGCTCCAAAGTCGCTTCCACTGTGAGACCTCCAGACTTCTGAAGGACTGACTCCATGTACGCAATAATCGCGCTCCTTAGCGCCTCTATTAAACGGATCTCAAAGCATCTCAAGGAGATATCGCTCTCCATGGATTTCTCACGAAGTTTTTTATCAAAGTGCTGTATGGCATAGGCCTCCACCACCCCGCCAGCGGGCATAACGACATTTAGAGGGGCTGGCAAACAGAGCATGTTTACCAAGTGATGCAATTGACGACTAAAAAGGCGTTCCACAAGAACCTGATCGGCTGCACAACGACCACCAAAGACAACGCTCACAATCGGGTGCTGAACTCCCTCCATATTTAGCGGATTCAGAGCTAACAAAAAGGATCGAAGCTCCACTCCACTACAATGCCTGAGTGAATGAGAACCAAAAAGAGGTTTGACAAACAAGCTGCCCTGAAGAAAACTTTGTTGGTCCAATCCTAGAGGTCTAGGCAAGACTCGGAAAGCCAGTGCCAGTTGCGTCATTATCTTTTTACCAAGAGCTACCAGAACCAGAACGGTCCGGGTATGATTCCCCCATGATTCCATGCGGCGCAATGTCTCTTCACCAACGTGACTCTGAACAGCAATCACCAATAGCCCCTTTTCTACATTCTTCACCATAAGAGCAAGTTGGCGAAAGCCGAAATCGCTTTCCTCCGTGGCTGCATCAGGAAATTGAGAAAACATTAACAATAGATGGGTACGAAAACCCTCATTCTCCACAAGTGTCCCAAAGGCATTTGTAGGGGCACACACGCATGTCCCCAGCAAAGCATCAGAGCTTCTTTTCATGCGCACTGTTCTTATAAAAGCAATACCAGGAACGACACAGCCCTCATTTCCACCAATCGGTAACCAGTCAATTCCCTCATTTGAAACCCTATACAAACTTTTCTCTACAAATGTGTGAAGAGAGGACAATCCGCTCTGTGTTTTGTCAGTCTCCATTTCAACCACAAATTCTATCAAGCGTGAGCGAATATGGAGAAAGCAATCTACTGCAAGCTTTCCCGCCCTGTAGCCCCACGAGAGTGGGTCGTATGCAAATGTCCTTTGAAGATACTCGTGTAAAACTCGAGGGGAAAGAGATTTAGCCTTCTTACCATCCGTATCGCACATTCCCTCGCCCGCCGAAACAATGGAGGAAGCCACTTCTTCCAATACGTCCGTCGGATCCAGGGAATGCCCCTTGGCACGCAACTCCTGAAGAAAGTTGTTCATAATACGCCAACAACATCTCGCGTCGCAATCCTCGCTGTTTGTCTCGTGCGAAGGAAAGGGCGAGCATGTTCCCCAGCCAAGATTTGAAAGCCCACCGCCGATTCTCTGAGACATCACTGCCTCCTTCGCCAGAGTATGATAAGCATGCAAGACCACATATGTAATAAAATTAACGCGGCACGCGGTACCAACTGTCACTTCATGAATCTCAACAAATTTACGCAACACAGTGCAAAGAAGCTCCATTCCATCTTCGGAGGTACAGATCAGATGGCCAAAAAGCTGAACAGCATCAAATGCAATACCAAAACTCTCCTTCTCACCAGACAAGTTGACAAACTTTCCAACTGCGTGGCCAGGGTGAGTCGCATAAGATTCAACCAGACAAAGAAGTTTGTACGCTGCGATCTCCATGTTTTTTTAGTTTTTTTACGACGTCTAACAAACCTGATTGGCGTTTGTTGTTGTTGTTGTTGTTTGTTTTTGTGTGTGTGCACCCTGGCATCAAAGTAAAGCTTTCCAGTAAATACAAAAGAAACGGAAAATGCACCAAAAAATTTGCTAAAACAGTGAGCGCGCCAAGAGTAACTCAGCCTAAAAGTTAACTGCCACCTTACTCCACATCCTTAAAAGGCATCGCAAGCGAAGAAATGCCGTAGTGCACAAGATCCATCATAACCTGCGTAGGCACCCAAGCACGTGCTCGCAGATCGCTTTTGGGGAAAAACATGGGTTTCCCTTCTTCAGCAATGGGTGGAAAAACTTTCCCCGTGGGCACAGGGTTAGAGGCAGTTGCTCGATCCAAACCAGTCGAAAGCAAACACTCCCTAGCCTCCCACAGACGAAGAACCTCCGCAGTGGCTACTGCAGTACAAATATCAAAAACTGAAACTTCATCAGGAGGCTTCAAAGAATCCTCCGCCGTGGCAAGAGACTTTGCACGTTCCGTCATCACGCGATCAAGAGCAACACCATGAGCATTTGGCAAAGAAAGATTCCATGGCTGTAACCACATAGACAATTCCGGAATACCACTCAATTTTACTGCTCCATGATAACTATCTGTGGCTCCACCTCTGCCAAGAGTAGATTTATTTGCCGGTGACGACAACAACAGTGCGTCTGTCTCCCATGCAGGAGCCAAGGAAGGAAATACCCCCATCCTTTTTCGCGGCGAACTCCTGTAATCCACATGGCGCTGCCTCGTATCATCAAACCTTCCACGTTTGGTACCCCGCTTTGTCTCTGTGGTAGTTAGTTGTTGTGTCTTGGTGGCTGCCGTCACAGCTGAAATGCCCACATGCTCCAAATACTGCACACCGAGGGCACTGGTCTGTGATGAAATAAATTTTGCCACCTCCTTTACAAATTCAACTGCTCCAATACTTTTTACCCCCTGCTCATCACTTGAATCATTCCCAAAAACTCCGTCTGCCTTTTCCAATGTGTAAACGGCATCTTCTAAATCCGAAATTCCCACAAGCGAAGCCCGACAAAATTCTGAAAACTGAGCATTAAATCTTCGCTGGGAATCCGTTCCCTTCACGACATTCTTTGCCGATTGCACAACTGTTTGAAGTAACGCATTGATCGAGGATAATTTATGGCTCTTCGAACCTTGAACAGCCCGTATAATGCGACTAATCGGGAGCTCTGTGCCTTCACACTTATTATCTCCGCCGTTCAAACGCACCCCTCTGGCACGTTGCATGGCCATTTTCCCTCCGTAATGCCGAAACACCAAAGTCCTGTAGCTTCCGTAAAAAAAAAAAAAAAAAAAAAGGCAAGAAGAAAACAACCCTTTCATGAAAGAAAAATAAATTACACGCATTTCTCCCATACCCCACGTCTTTCAGATTAAGCTTCAAGCATGCCAATAAATTTTCATGAAATTCATGGAGAGTTTTTCAAAAAAAAAAAAAGAAAAAAAAAAAAAAAGGAATTGCCGTAAATTTCACAAATAAAAGATTTAAGGTAAAAATACGGGCAACAATAATAAATAACAATAAATATGCTAATGCGAATAATAATAATAATAATAATAATAATAATAATAATAATAATAATAATAATAATAATAATAATGTGCCCGGATGAGTCCTTTTTCCTCTTTCTTCCTGCAGAGAGAGAAAAAACAACGCCGTGACAAGTTACATTTTGGCTCAACGCACCCAATATCCCCCCACTTTAGACAAGAACCATCGAACACCAAAACAGTAGTAAACAAACAATTCCAAAAGGCATACGCATAACTACCGGGCTCACTGGGAACTGACAAAGCGGTATTGATTGGGGCTCCACAGCCGCCGAACCCCTCCGTTTGAAGGACAGTAAAGTAGGCGGAAAAAAACACAACAAAAATAACAGAAAAATGTACTTCACTCGCTGCCTTCAAACACTATCGTTTAACGCCAAATCAATTCACGGGGGAACGGAGCAGATAAACGAGACACCCACGATCATCTACCGAGCACCCCGCAATTCCGCGTATTCTTTCCAATAGTTACTTTTCAAATTGATGCGCATCTTAGAATAAATTAGAAAATTCACATCATCCAACCAAAAAAAAAAAAAAAAAAAAAAATCCTTAGTGAATATCACTCCTATTCCTAAATTCCAATCACATTCCGCATCTGGCGCCTCACTTCTTCTTGCGCGTTCACATCCAACCGATAGTAGATCCACTGTTTTACGATACAGTAACACAATATAACAGCCTCTACAACCCAGAAAAAAAGAACAATGATCACGGGCAATACGGCAAACTTGCTTTTCGTTTTCGATATATCTATTGCAAGAGATACACCGCATGCAGCATAGTTTGTCCGACCAACAATCATAAATATATCAAAGGCAAGAGCTATAACCAATCCACTTAGAGCCAAAAGATGTTTAGTATGACGTCCTGTGGAACAAGCAGAATAAATCTGCCAATACCAAACAATAAAGCTTAAAGGGGCTCCCATCAGGTACAAAATGGCTAAAACAGTGTTTTGAGAAGTATTGAATTTTTTTGCATCTTCTTTATGAGATGCAAATACCACAGCAATAACAATAATCATATTGACAAGGAGCAAAACACATGTGGCAATCCAATTTATAAAATTAAACCTGACAAATTGTCTTCTTACCTCGGGAACACTCGAAATATCATGGTGTACAAGTGGCTTAATACATAAGAACTTGGGAGGGAAGTTTGGAAGAAGGCCTGAAGAATTAGTCGCTTGCTCACGATGAGTTACTTGCTCTTCGAGTGCGTTCAAACGATTCTCCTCTGCCATGGCTCTTTTCCACCTTTCTTCAATTAATACACGCTCCTTCTCTTCAGGTGACATCCCAGAGGTATTTTTCTTGTTTATTCCTAAAACTTCTTTTGCAATCTTTACTTTACTATTCTCCTTTTGTTTTTCCTTTGAGTTTTTTTGGTCCGAAGTATTTTCCATTGAGGGTTTTTGAGGAACATCAAGTCCAGAAGAGTGTGAAAATTCCGGAAAAAACGCGGAGGACTGAGGAACTCCCTGAGCCGTCGGTGAGACTCTGGAATTGGGTTGTTGGCTCTCACGATGCCCCATTTCCTCTTCATTATTATCAGAATGCACCTCTACATCCACCAAATAAGCTCTATTTTCTGCCAATGATAAGTCCTTCGGTGGCTCCGTTTCTCGTTGGCTCATATCGCCAAAATTATAAATGTTTCGAAGATCCTTCGCCTCACCTCCAAACTTATACATGGTCACTAGAAACAAAATTTTTTAAATAACTCTTAAAATCCTTCAAAAAAAAAAAAAACAAAAAAAAGTGGATAGGTGAAAAGAGCTCCTTCGTAAGGCTCGATGTAAAATAAAATGTATTCAAACGGGTATCCAGCAAATTTGCAATCACACAGTACGTTTTTTTAATTGTTAAAAAATTTTCCCGGTAGGCATGGCATACATCTCTCGTTTTTTTTTTTTTTTTTTTTTTTTTTTTGTATCTACGGCAAAAGAGGCAAAATACACTCAAACATAAAAAAGGGGGAAAAAAATGCATGTCAATAGGCAACAACCACAACAAGATATAAAGGTGAAAAAAAAAAGCAACGAAAAAAAGTCGTCAGAAATAATAAATTCAACATAATGGCTTTTCCCCTATTCCCTTTAAAGATATTATCTCACAAATATCTTTGAGTATATTTTCGTTGTTTTCAATTTCATTATATATATTGTTGCCATAAGCCTAAAAGCATTTTTTTCTTCCTGCTTTTTTCTCTTTTTTTCCCCCTTCCCTTTTTTTTATTTTTTTCTTTCCCGCGCATAATCCGCACAGTTCCTCCTACGAGCATAAAGCGCTACCCCTTTTCCCCTCTTCTATCTTCTTCTTTTTCTTGACGTTTGACAACAACAACAACAAAAAAAAAAAAAAAAAAAAAAAAAAGAAAAAAAAATAGAAAACCAAAGCCAAAACAAAAAAAAAAGAAGAAAAAGAAAAAAGAAAAAAAAATACTTCAGTGAACAAGGAACTACCCTGAAAAAGACTTTTCGTTCTTCAATGTTGAGTCCCTCACTTAATCTATAGAAATCGCTCACCCTGATTTGAAAAGGAGAATCGCGACCTGGCCAAAGTAAAAATATAGAAAGCTGTGAGTTTCATGAGTAACGTAACTGCCAAAGTTTCGACCCACAATACAGTGCCACGTCGGCTGATACTTCTTGTCAAATTCCTTTTTAATGTAGGCGGCAACGTCCTTTTCAATGTTGAATTTTTCCATTGCTTGCAGAGCCACCTCAATGGCATCAGCCTGCATGTCCTCAGGCATGTCAGCGTTTTTTATTACGGCCTTCCGATCGGCAGACATGACTCCCCTCCAAAAAAAAAAATTTTTTTCTTTTAGTTATTTACAAAATACTTGAGGCTAAAAGTATATATAAGAGAAAATAAATAAATAAATAATAAAACCCAAGCAATATGCAGCAAAAAAGGCAATAAGCGCACGCAGGAGCAAATAAAAATAATAACAAAAATAAACAGCCGTGCTTTATTTGTTTTCCTTCACATATCATTGATCATTTTCTTCATTTGATGACAAAAGTAAATAAAAATAAATAAAAAATCACAAAAGTAGTAACATTTCTAAAATATGCATCCTAAAATCCCAGAAAAGTGCAACACATTTTGCAGATAATTTACAGATAAAAAAACGGGCCTCATCCAGATCTTCAGCAATTCCTAATAAAGGCCTTCTTGATTTGGCACAAAATAAAAAACATACTAACAATTACAAATCATAGTGTAAAAAATATCTTTTTTTTTTTTTTCCATTGCGCTAAGGGCGCTTCAGTGCGCAGGCGATACTGTTTTTCTCTTTACTGGTGTCTCTTTTTTTCCCTTGTTTTTCTCTATTTCGTTCCTTTTTTGCAATTCCTGTTGGACCAAAGAGTGATCCACCTGAGCACATGAAGGAACAAAATCATTTGGAACTTTTATTGTCTTTTTTGGTTCAACCACATCGCCGCGCTGAGCGCGCTGAAACTTCTTCTTCCAATACTCCCGTTCTTTATTTAATTTTTCAATATCTTTCCTTTTATTATTCTCCGGTGGAACGAACACCACGGGTTCTCCCTCTCCAAAAAACAAGCTATGATAGTAGCCGGGTGCAGTCTTTCGTTGTGGAGATGCATGATAACGTTCCTTGCTGAAAGGCATAAGCAAAGGAACAGAAGGATCAATTACAATTCTGGCGCTTTCACTGTAATCGGCACGCAGTTTCCCGTCTTCATTAAGCCTTCCAACTGTATCCAGTTTTGTCACAACATCATTTATGGCACTTTCATTTTCGGATACCATTCGCTTCCACTCACTTTGAAGATAATGAGGAATAGGCGAAAAAATATATTCTTCTTCTCGTTCAATATCGTTTAAAACCACATCAACGTCAATATCCAGGGCATGAGCGTCGGTTTTGGAAAGAGAATCAACAGCACGGATAATGAACGCGCCAGAATCAGCAATGCGATCAAATTCCCTTTTCAAATCATAAATAAAGGACAATTCTTGAGACACCGGAACACTTTGCCTTTCGGGAGACCTACGCAATCTAGAATCCCTTAGAGCAGTGCCAATTTTAAGGCCCGTTCGTTCTGGGGAAGTATTCATACTCATTTTAATTTGCGATTTATACTTATTTAATTATCTCCTGTTTAAACTCCAATTAATTCAAAAAAGCAAAAAAAAAAAAATAAATGTATTGATGTCCAGAATAATTTACAAAAAAAAAGTAATTCAATACAAGGTCCATGAAAACATATATAGTGAAGCGCGATACGCATACGCGAAAACGAAATAAACACAACAAAAGTAAAAATTCACTTCGTCTAAGAAATCAAACCCCATGAGAAAGTCTGGACCCCCCATTTCGCGCGCGGCACCCCGCCGTCCATCCGAAAGGCCGCGGGAGGAGCGCGCAAGCCACGCCAACGAAAATGATAGCCCTGGCCGTGCGGGGGGGGGTGGCGGTTTCGCGGCCCGGCGGCGTGTCTCCACGTTTTTGGCGGCTTTCCCCCTTCTATTCCCTTTTGGGTCCCGCGAGGGTCGCGAAAATTGTTCCGTACCGCGGGTTCCCGCGCAGGGTCGTGGAACTTTTTTTTCTCCGGGGCGGGGTCGCGAGTAGGGCATTTTTCTCTTGTTGCTTTGCGGTTGTTTTTTCTAGCGATTGGATTTGTTATTTCTCTTCGCTTTATTTTTTCGGTGCAGGAATTGTGGGTTATTGCCAACAAAAAAAAAAAACCCACGTTCTTTACCCTTCGTTTCCCGCGGGAACAAATTAAGGACGTTTCTTTTTCCTCTATTTTGTTTCTGAGCAATAATTAAGTACGGACGGAAAATAATTTGGCGGTAGCTTTTCAAATTATATTTTTGTTTTGAAGATTCTGAGACAATTATTATACCAGGTTCTTTTTTTTTCTATTCCTTCTATTTATCATATTTGTTATTCTTATTTTTCTGCTAATAAAAATTTTTCATTGTTATTATTGCAAAAGAAAGAAAAAAGCATCTTTTTTTTTTTGTTTTTTGACTAATACTTTTTAATTATATATGTATATATTATCTTCCTCCCTTCATATATATAAAGAGTTGGAAAAGAGTGAAATTTGAAATGCTTTAATTATATTATTATTGTGTTTAGATAGATGCATGTTTTTAGCAAAAATGTCTTCTCCTTGGCCTTGATATGAGTAAGAAAAAATATGTTTTTCCTTTTTGTTTTCTTTGGTAATCTATATTTTTAACCCCTCAATATATAAAAATATATATATATATATATATATATATTTAGAATTTGGTCTTTTTCTTTGCCCAGTATTTTCGGCAAAGAGTCTATGCCCATATCTCTTTTTTTTTTTTTTTTTGTCTTACTATATATATATGCTTACAAAAAAAAAGCTTTAATTTTTCCACACAGCCATGTCCGATGATGAGGGAAACTTTACCCAGCAGGGAGGTGAACAGACCGGATCTCTGACCTACCCAATGCAGGCTGGTGCTCTCAAAAAGGGAGGCTACATTTGCATCAATGGGCGCCCCTGCAAGGTGATTGATCTTTCTGTGTCAAAGACTGGAAAGCATGGACATGCCAAGGTCAGTATTGTTGCCACAGATATTTTTACTGGTAACAAAATGGAGGATCAGGCCCCCACCACACATAACGTGGACGTGCCTTTTGTGAAGACGAGCACGTACAGTGTGTTGGACATTCAGGAAGATCGTACAGACCCCAGTAAGCCGGCTCATCTTTCGCTTATGGACGATGAAGGAGAGACTCGTGACAACCTGGATATGCCTCCAAATGCGGAACTAGCTGCTCAGATAAAGGAGCAGTTTGAAGCGGGAAAGGATGTGTTGGTTGTTGTGGTTTCCGCAATGGGAACTGACCAGATTCTCAGCTTTAAAAATGCTGTTGAAAAGTAAGGCGATAACAATTTTTTTTTTTTTTTTTTTTTTTTGTGTGTGTGTTTTTTTATTTGTAAGAATATATAAATTTTGTTATTCCGAAAGGGTTGTTTTAAATATAACGGAAATCAAAATATTTTATTGTGATTTTTATTTATCTACGCCTCATTTCTTGACGGGAAAAAATATTTGCTTTTTTTTCTTTCTATATATATATATGCTTACAAAAAAAGCCCTAATTTTTTTACACAGCCATGTCCGATGATGAGGGAAACTTTACCCAGCAGGGAGGTGAACAGACCGGATCCCTGACCTACCCAATGCAGGCTGGTGCTCTCAAAAAGGGAGGCTACATTTGCATCAATGGGCGCCCTTGCAAGGTGATTGATCTTTCTGTGTCAAAGACTGGAAAGCATGGACATGCCAAGGTCAGTATTGTTGCCACGGATATTTTTACTGGTAACAAAATGGAGGATCAGGCTCCCACCACACATAACGTGGACGTGCCTTTTGTGAAGACGAGCACGTACAGTGTGTTGGACATTCAGGAAGATCGTACAGACCCCAGTAAGCCGGCTCATCTTTCACTTATGGATGATGAAGGAGAGACTCGTGACAACCTGGATATGCCTCCAAATGCGGAACTGGCTGCTCAGATAAAGGAGCAGTTTGAAGCGGGAAAGGATGTGTTGGTTGTTGTGGTTTCCGCAATGGGAACTGACCAGATTCTCAGCTTTAAAAATGCTGTTGAAAAGTAAAGCGATACCACTTTTTTTGTGTGTGTGTGTTTATTATTATTATTATTTATTTTATTTTCCGCTTTATTGTTATTATTTTTATTTTTACTGGTTACCGTTGCTTTCTTGTTTGGCGGCATTTTTTATTTTATTTTATTTATTTATTTTTTTGAATATTACCTGAAAATCATTCTTAGCTTTTTTTTGCCCTATTATTGTTATTTAATAATAATACTAATAATAATAATAATAATAATAATAAATTTATTAATTATAATAATAACAATAATAATAATAATTTTATTAATAAGGGAATAAGGGTTTTATGTGGTTTTCTTTGTAACATGAGTAATAATATTAATAATGCAGTATTGACAATTACCGACAGAGGGCAATGGAAGCCCGCAAAGGGAAATGATAGGGTTTTGAGGTACATTGTTCAACGGGCCCCAACAATGAGGGCACGTTGCCGGAAATGCTCACAGTATATTGTGAAAGGAGAACTTAAATGGGGAATACCCATTCGTCATACTCACGGAGAATATGGGTGGATAACAGCATGGCAACATATAGGGTGTACACGGATTTCTCAAATCGATGAGGCCATTAATATGATTTTTGGATTTGAAAAGCTTTCTTCCGAAGAGCAGAATGAAGTATTGAAAGAAGTGACATCTTCTAGTTTACCGTTTCATTTACTTCCCCTGGATCCTGATGATTTGGTAAAGCGAGGTTCCCTTCCTGAAATGGAGCCGTCCTCTGAATTATTACGTCCTCTTCTTCGATACCAAAAAGAAGGGCTGAGTTGGATGGTAGCTCAAGAGCGGTCTTGTATTGGTGGAGGTATTCTCGCTGATGAAATGGGAATGGGAAAAACAATACAAATGATCAGTCTTTTACTTGCGAATCGTGTTATGGGGCCAACTTTAATTGTCTGCCCGGTTAGCTCTATGCTTCAGTGGAAGGCTGAAATAAAAGAACATGTTGTTCCAGGGACGTTGTCTATAATTGTAGTAGATCGTGCTATTCATGTTAAAAAAGACGAAATGGAAAACGCGGATGTAGTCTTAACTACCTATCCTATGATGGAACAATCGTGGAGAACCGTAGTAAATAAAACTAAAGTATCTTGCCCTTATTGCGAGCAGCTTTTTCTTCCACGTCAACTTGTTGTTCATAATCGATACTTTTGTGGTCCCAAAGCTAGGAAAACAGCCAAGCAGAGAAAGCGAGAAAAGGGACGTGAAGATGTGAATGTTGTAAAAAATCGTAGAGTTCAGTCCAAAGAAACGATAAAAAAGGGACTTAGGACTTTGCGTGTTGATGTTGACGATACCGTTGACGAAGGAGTTTTTGTCAGCGAGAATGAAAACAAGAATGAAAGAGGGACTGTTGGGCCAATGGGAATGTATCGCGAACTTATGCTGGAGGCTGGACGTACAGTCAGAAGTCGATGGGAACCTGCTAAAGAACTGAGTGATGGTACCGATAGTACGAGTATTTCAGTGAATATTAATACAGAATCAGATGAGACCAATGAAGAAGAGATACATAGAGATGAGGAAGCTTTTATTGCCTTTCAGTGCCCCAACTGTAAATTTCAGTTATTACGATATCCTTTTTGTCCCAAAACAGGTCAACATCATGTATTGTCCGAGGGCCTGAAAAATATTATTGAAACTGATAATGGTGGTGATGATATCGATATTTTTGAATCTATTTTCCACTCAATAAAGTGGAGCCGTATTGTATTGGACGAAGCACATCGCATAAAAGGTCGTAATACAAGTACTTCCAGAGCGGCTTTTGCTTTGCAAGGTGAATATCGATGGTGTCTTACAGGAACTCCTTTACAAAATCGTGTGGGTGATGTTTATAGCCTTATTCGCTTTCTCCGCATGACACCTTTTGCGAGGTATTATTGTGGAACCGAAGGATGTTCTTGTTCATCCTTTTCACATCCGTTTTCGGGAACCAACTTGCGTCAGTGTATCTTTTGTGGTCATGGGCCGGTACAACACTATGCGTATTTTAATCGTTACATAATGAATCCTATATTACGCTATGGCTATGTGGGAGATGGTCGTCAGGGGATGATGATGTTAGCCAACGAAGTACTTCAGAAATGCATGCTGCGTCGCACAAAAATTGAAAGGGCAAGTGATCTACATCTCCCTCCCCTCACGATTGAAATTATTAAGGTGAAACTCACGAAGGAGGAAAGAAATTTTTATGATTCACTATACAAGAAAAGCGCTGCCGCATTTGATACTTTTGTGGATAAAGGTACTGTTTTGCACAACTACGCTCATATCTTTCAACTATTAAGTCGGCTACGCCAGTCTCTTGATCATCCTTTACTTGTTGTGGAGTCTATGAACGTGGGGAGGGTTGCGCATCTGAAGGGTGTTTGCGGTATTTGTACGGAGGGTGGTAATGAAAATTCTCTCCAGGTAAATCCTTGCAGACATACTTTTCATCGTGTTTGTCTTGCTCAGTTTATCGAAAGCTTACCTGGAAATGAATACCGTTGTCCTACGTGCTTTGTAACGATCAACATTGACTTGCGTCAATTACGCTCTGAATTGGAAGAAGAAGAGCCTGCGCCAATAATGCCTCCTGAAATTGAGGATGAACTTATCGAAGAAGAACAAGCGGGGAAATTATTCTGTGATGGAGGTACCCCGATGGGAATCTCATCTACCTCTGAAAAGGTTGTTTCAACACAAAATAAACGAAAAAAAGATATTTTATCTCGCATTGACTTTTCCAACCCTCTCCAGGGAAGCAAACTTGATGCTATTGCGGAATACATTCTTTCTGTGCCCAAGGATGAAAAAATAATTATTTTTTCACAGTTTGGGGACATGTTGGAGCTTATTCAGATATGGCTACAGAGAGCATCTGTGAAAGCCGTAAAACTCACTGGTTCCCTCATGCTTTCCCAGCGTCAAGCCGTGCTACAGGCATTTTTGCATGACCCAGGAGTTCGTGCGATTCTTATTTCTCTCAAGGCAGGTGGAGAAGGTTTAAATTTACAAGTTGCTAATCACGTTATTCTTGTAGACCCTTGGTGGAATCCAGCGGTTGAGATGCAGGCGGCACAGCGAGCGCATCGCATTGGCCAAACAAAGCCTGTTCGCGTGGTTCGCTTTGTTGTGGAGCGTTCTGTTGAAGAGCGTATGATGGACCTACAGGATAAGAAAATGCTTGTGATTGAAGGTACCATTGATGGTAAATTCAGCTCGCTCCAAAGTCTCAGCGAAGATGATCTTCAGTTCCTTTTTACACGTTAGTATACTTGATAACAATGTCGCACCTGCCTGTTTGCTTTATATTATTTATTTGTTTATTTTGGCGATTCTGGTAGCGTTTAAATGCAGTGGGTTTCCTCTGGTAATATTTTTATTTTGTATTTACTGGTCTTCTCTTTGTGTGAAGAGTTTTGCGTGACCCACTGTCGTGTAGAAGAAAACAATTGAAGGCGTTTGAAAAGAATTGAAGTAATAAAAGAACACCAAAGTGATTTAAGGAAAAAAAAAAAAAAAAAAAAAAAAAAGGCCAGGCCAGAAAGGAAAAAGGAAAGCAGCACACCAAGTAAGACCAGAAACGCTGAGGAAATGGGTATACCTCTACCAAAGCCCGTTATGACACAGCTGCGGGAGCGCCACGGCAATGAAATATTCCGCTGTGGCTCAAGCTGCGTCAATGGATTCCGTGAAAGTATGGAAGATGCACACATCATATACCTTCAGCCTGGATGGGGATTTTTTGGTGTTTTTGACGGCCATGTCAACGACCAGTGCTCACAGTACCTGGAAGGTGCATGGAAGGAAATTCTTGAAAAGGAGAAAATGCCGATGACGGATGATCGCATGAAGGAACTTGCTTTGGAGATTGACAAACAATGGATGGACTTAGGCCGAGAAGGCGGCAGCACCGGTACTTTTTTTGCCGCCATGAAGAAGGATGATAATATTCATTTGCAAGTTGGTAATGTTGGTGATTCGCGCGTTCTGGTCTGCGTGAATGGCCAAGCTAGAGCAATGACAGAGGATCACAAGCCTAACAACAATGATGAGAGACGTCGAATTGAAGATTGTGGCGGTCGTGTTGAGGGTAATCGTGTTGACGGAAGCCTAGCTGTGAGCCGGGCCTTTGGAGATCGTGATTACAAAACCAATACCACTGGTAGCCAACTACAGCAGAAGGTGATTGCGCTTCCGGATGTGACCCATGTGGACTTAACCTGGGGTAGCAAGGACTTTGCCGTGTTGTGCTGCGATGGCGTTTTCGAGGGTCAATTCAGTAATGAAGAGGTTGTGGAATTTATTAAGTTACAGCTTGAGACATCAGATGATCTTGCAGTCATTGCAGGTAGAGTGTGCGAAGAGGCTGTAAATCGCGGTAGTCGCGACAACGTCTCATGTGTAATCGTTCAATTCAAGAGTGGCAAGGACTACGCGGACACTGACCACCTTGAGGTAGTCCCAGGACCATTTAGCCTGCCTAAAAATGGTGTTTTCCGCAAAGTATATGGCATCATGGCGCAGAAGGCAGGCTGTACAATTCACGAGGTCCTAGAAAAGCGTTACGACCAGCTTGTTTCCATGGACAAAGAGCTTTTGCAGGAGGAGTGGCAATGGTTCAAGGGCGGACCGCCTGCCAGCTTGAAGGGGAAGGATCGCACACAGTGGTTTGCCGACCTGTTGGAGCAGCATGCGGCAGAGAGTCCATCGGACAGCCGATCAGAGCAGCTGGAGCGTATTCAGTTGCTACAGCAGCAGATAGGTGTCCCACTGCCTGTCCTGCTTTCTTTGATGGCAGGTCAGACGCAGGAATAATTTCTTGTGCGTGTTTGGGTGGGTTTAAGTCGACAAAGGATTGAATGGCGTTCTGGGGGGGCGTCATCCCCCTCAAAAAGAGCGGGGCCAAGAGCAACAAAGCCGTCAATCAATATATATTTTTATATATATCCATATTTATCTATATTGAAATGGGGACGGGGTAAAAAAAGAAGAAACTGAAGAAAGTGAAGAAAAACGAATGAGAGGGAGAGAGGGAGAGTGGCAACGAGAAAAAGAAAGAGGGAATCACACACTTCTCTTTCTTTCCTTTTCCACAAGCAAAGAAAACAAACATACGCGAAAATATTAAAAGACAAAAAAAAAAAGAGAGAAATATATATATATATAAATAAAATGAAATAAAACAAAACACAGATGTCATATTTTCTATTGCCGGGAGTGGTGTTTATACCATTTTATTCACTATGGGAAAGCAGAACAACGAGAAGAAAAAAGAAAAAAAAAAAAAACGAAAAGTGGGCTTCAGCAAGGAACGCATAAGGGTTTTCTCAGGAGGGCAACTGCGTGGTAAATGCAGAAACGAACAATGGATTGGAAAGGATGACAATAATGTAACAATTGAGAATACCCCATGCCGGAGGCAACGACAACAACACAGAGGGGGAAATAGGGAAAGAGAGGAATGAGGACCCATCCTGCAGAAAATGTGAAGGTAATAGTAAAAGCAAAAAAAGAAGAGGGATGAAAAAAAAAAAAAAAAAAGGGCTAGCCCTCCAGAAGGTAAAGAAAACATATATACGGAAGATGTGAGATATCCACATTTATGATTTTGGGTTGTGCAGAAGTTAACAAGAAAAAAAAAAAGAATCGCGGCAACTTACAACTAAAGGCTGCGAGATTAAAATTGGTGGGCGAACAGGAAATCTTAATTGTGTTTCTTTTTTGCTTTTACCTGTACTTTTGACTTGGTTTCACATTTTCCCGGGCGCTTGGCTACAAGGTGTGTCTTTTCCTGGCTTCTTTTGACCTCAGTTCCCCGCCTTATGATTGTTTTAAATTCTGAGCGGAGCGTTTGCTCACTCCACTTTGGGTCGTTCTGCCCATCTGCTGCTCTTCTAATACATGTTACACGCGGGAAACGGTGGATTGGGAGGAGATGAAGATAATCTTCGCTCCCGTAACCAAATCCACCGTTTACCTCTTTTACCAGATTGAAGAAGGAAAAAAAAAGGAAAAAAGGAAAAAGGGAGAAAAAGAGGATAAGTGAAGCAAGAAATTGAAAGATTAAGGATTAAAAAAAAAAAAAAAAGATTGCGGCGTGTTCAGGACAGATATTCCTGTTTCTTTTTTTTGTTGTTGTCCTCTTGCGAGAGTAATTTCTTTGATGTGGACAAGTTCTAATTGTGTATATAGGTGCAGGATAAGGCGTGCGCTGAAGGGGAGGAGTCGGAACAAGGAGGGTGTCTGTGTGTGTGTATGTGTGTGTGTGTGGAGGGCGAGGGCGGGGAAAACTTTGGTTGTGCCGCGCCATTACGCTCCAGGTGGCCCCAAACGATTGTTCAAGGAAACGGGAAAGAAAAGACCTGGAAAATATCACTGGATATATATATATATATTTAAAGAAGTGAAAGACAGCGATCCTGACGAGAACGAGCGGAGGGAAGCAAAAAACGGGATGCGGCAAAGGCAACCGGGTGAAAGAAAAAAGGAGGAGGGAAAATCATCGGAACACCGAAAGAGGGTCATTACCGTACACCGTGGGAGTGAAATTTTTTTAAAAGAAGGGAGAAGGAGATGATCCCTTTACGCGTGTGACGGACGCGGTCTTGGGGAAAACTTTTCATTGCTTTTTTTTTTTTTTTTTTTTTGTGTGTGTGTGTGCGTGTGTTCCTGTCGTGACAAATGGAGCTTGTTTACAACGTGGTTCTCAATAAAAAAATAATTACTGCGGCGTGTTCCTGTTTCATTGTTTTTTTTTTTTTTGTTTTTTTTGCAGCTGTGCGAAGGTGTCGCAGTTCTTGACTGAACGGCGCTGTGCGCACGACTGCGTATGAAGAAGAATATGAACCGTAACTGCAAAAAAATGGTATATACATATATAGGCGAATTGCCAGACGAAACAGGGTGGGAAGAGGAAGATGAGATGGAGACAAGGGGGGCAGTGCCGGAAGAAGTGTGTGAGGGATGTGAGAACGGGCCCTTGTCATAAATTGTTTGTAGCCGAGAAAAAAACATATATATTACTGTTTTGTGGGTCTTGTTTACGTTAATAAACGTCTTTTTGACCCGTTTTTTTTTTTTTTTTTTTTTTTTTTTTTTTGAAGGGGGGAGGGAGGTATACGAAAGAAATTATCTGAAAGGCAAACGGCTCACCTTCTTCTCCTGTATCTCTGTGCGCAGAGTCTGAAGAAGGCGGAAATGGGCAAGGGTGTTGTGTGTATTTTCATCGTTGAGGAATTTTCATTACCACCTGGAAGCTAGGAAGCAAAAGGGGCAAGAAGCAAAGGTAAAGAACGGTGGATGCCACGCAAAGGAAGACAGAAAATAAAAGGGCACCGGGATAGCATTGAGAGAAGGATTTAAAGGAAGAAGGGCAGATTAAATAATATATAATATATATATATATATATAGTGAATGAAAAGAGGAACGGCTGATGAGCGAAAATTAAATGCACATGCAAGAAGCGAAATTAAAGAGTCAATAGGTCTGTGTGGAGGGTGGAGAGTGTGACTAACAGAGCTCTCTTCATTGCGAGGTAAAATGAAAAAAAAAAAAAAAAAAAGAGAGAGAAAATAAACAGTGATCCTTTGAAAGGCACTGCGAGGCGTCATCAATGTAGTACTGTTGCTTGTTTTCTTTTTTTTGTTCTTTTTTTGTGTGTGTGTGCGCGTTTTTATGTTTCTTTATTTGTGTCTTTGTTTTTTATTTTTATTTTTGTCACTCACACACGCACGCACGCACGCACGTGCTGACACGTCTTGCTTATGGGTAGGAGATTTTCCCAGTGATATCTATCCGCTCGTATTCCTATGGCAGTTTCCCAATGAAGTACACGTTGAAGTTCTTTTATCTTGACCGTCACACCACCCTCATCCCCACTTCACCCACTTTTCTCTCAAATATATGTCTTCCCCATATCAGATCGGAAGCCAAACAGTTAGTTGAACAGGGGCGGACCATGTGCTCATCTTGCTTTTACTGTGCAATTAGCTAATGCACTGCCTCATTGTTATTTTATCAAATTTGTGCTCTCTTATTTTTTTTTTGTCTTGTCTTTCTGTTCCGGCTCTCTGCTGGGACGTTGCTCTTTAGTGCATGAATGTTCTCGTCGTCACAGATGGAGCGCTTGGAGCTACGCTGCACAACATGCGTTGTGGAGGGGAAGCAGCAAAACAAAATGTTTCTTGATGTGGAAGTACGCCTTGGTGACGGTGCAATTTTTCGATGCCCTTCTGCCATGCTGCGCGAGGGGTCCAGGACAGTGTCAGAGCTTTTGGATAAAATGAAGGAGGAAGAAGAATTCTCCACAGAACAGGTAGAGTTGCCATTGCCGTCGGTGGATTCTACTGTATTTGAAACTGTCGCGTTATATTTGGAGCATTTCTATGGTCCAACGGATTCAACCCAATTGGAGGAGGGAAAAAAAGTTCTGAACAATCCTCAGCCAGTAAGACCGACCTCTCTATCAAGACCGGTCTGTTTGCAGGAACTGTACCATCTCAGCGAATGGGAGCATTGTTTTGTTGTTCAGCGACTACTTATGTGGCCACAGGATCTATGGAAGCTCTGTAGGGAAGGCCAATGGGTGGACAGCAGTGCTGAATCGGCGGGATCCCTGCAATCGATGGGACAATGCAATGTTCAACACATTTTGAGTGTATTGGAAGCGGCGACAATGTTGGAAATGTCATCGCTGCGAGACTTGTGCGCGGCGGTGTTGGCCAACTTGCTGATGGATGTGGATGAACGGGGTATTTTGGAGCTGATGGGAGTCACAGAAGCCTTTGGCCCAGAGGAGGAGAGAAAATTGTTGAACGAGTATCCGTGGCTCAAACTGTAAGCAACACCCACACGTGTTCTGTGTACCTCTTGCCCTTTGAAAAAAGAGAAGAGGAAATTTTTTTTGTCTTTTTTTTTTTTTGCGTGGCGTCATTGATAATTTTTCCTTTTTGTTATTGTATTCCTGAGGAACGATGCACCATTGGTGGCTGGGGTTGTCGTGCCTGGCTTTTTGTTCTTCTAGTGTTGAATTACGAGGGAGATGTCTTTTATGCACTCGATTTGCCCCCGCTCTTTTTTCCTTTTTTCTGTGCACAAGGCGGTATAGATGATCGCGCGGTCCAAGCTGGCCTTTACGGTTACTTCATGGGCAGCCTCCGTTTAGCGGGTTTGATCCTTATTGTTTCTCTTTCAACGGTGCCAAGCACTACATTGCTGGAACAGATGGTGTGTTGAAATAATAATTACATATTGTTTTTTTTTTTTTTTGCGCCTCGTATGACGGAGGAACTTTTTGATGCGAGGGCTAATGGCTATATTGTCACGACGGATGAAACGTTGGAGGAGGTTTTTGTGGTCTGCGCGCTCATGCTGTCTTTTGTTTTGCATTTAAAGAAGGCAGGGTGGAGTGGTGGAAATCTCGACGTAGCGCTGAGTGTTTAAATGCGTTCTTCTTTTTATTATTATTATTATTTTATTTTTTTTTTTTTTTTTTGAGCGTCGTGATGCTTTTAATGAGCATAGCAGTGACTTTGTGTGAGTGTGTGTGTTTATTATTATTTGCGAGGCACGTGCACATATGTATGCTTTTTTGATCTGTTTTCTTGGGATGTGTTGCATGATAAGAAAGGAAAGATGCAAGAGGAGCATGGAAAAGCCGTTGGACAAAATGGCATTATGAGGAAAGAAGATGTCATGAAAAATACTCACGAAACCATCTTGAGCCTATGTAGGAAAATTCTTGGGGACCCCACGGTGACCCGCAGAGCGCAACTACCGTGTCTCAGCTTTCTGTGGGGACTCCCGTGGACAGAACCGCTAATTTTTATTTATGAGGGAGACTCTTGGCCCAGTGTTATTTATCCTTGTCACCTATTTGAAGTGAGTGGCGGCTTTCTTCCCGTTGCAGCAAACAATGGGGCGACGGCTATTCAGCACGCCTCTCTCACCAATTTTGAGACGGGCGCTTCCGGCATTTCCATCGAGGATGAAGATTATGCCATAAAGGTGTCTCGCTTTGAATTGGTAGGGACTGTTTTCTCATTTGAATCTTATCGAATATTTTCCCGGAATACCTCACAGTTGAATCCATCTATGAAACCCGAATACAACCGGCCGGTGAGTTCTGCTGTGATTCGAGTAATTACGAATGAGAGTGGAACCCCATCGGACGAAAAAGCTGCCACTCATCGCATCATGCAGCTGAAGAGAAGAGAGTTGTGGCAAATTTTTTTCTACAGCTTTATTCCTCTTATTGGTGTCACTAGGGAACATCTTGAAAAGAGGTGGAGCAGCTGCTTGACCAATGGTCTGTCTCAGAGTGACATGGAAAGTGGCGGGATTTCATCCAGCGCACACAGCAGTCAGGCCCTGAATGAAGAAAGAAGTCTTGTTTCGCCGAACCATCATCCGGGGATTTCTATTTTCCACGCTTCTACTCGACAAAGTAGTATTTTAAAAGCTAATTCCTTAAAGTTTAACGATGGGAGAAAAAATTCTGCTGCGTCATTTCTCACAACTGAAGGTGCAGAGAGAAATTCTGACTTTTCGTTGAGATGGGACATTTTCCGTCATTTATTTGATCAGGAGGAACGGTATCGCACCGATGTTGAAAGGTGTTGGGGATACTGGGCAAATGGGTGGGATAAGGTGAATCGTTTTGATGTTGTAGATTCTATCGATTGCATCATCACGTCGTTGGGAGGCTCTCGAGAGGCCGCCCATGTCGCTGCCACTTACCTTGATGCATTTGTATGCATGTCGCAGACGGTAGTTAGGGATGCCACTTATTTTAGTGGGGTTCTTCTTGCTTGTGCGATGCTGAGTTGTAAACAGGTGGATCGTTTTTTTCCATCTATTAAAGCCTTTTTGCGTTATTTGCGTCCGCAGCATTCCATCACCGCGACGGACTTTCATCGATATGAGATGCACGTACTGAAAACGCTGAACTTTTGTTTGCAGCCTGTCACATCATTAGAGATTGTGGAGGTTTTGCTCTATCTATGCGGCGGCCCCGCTGCCCAGCAAGATGCGGAGAGACGATACCGCTTACGTGAGTTAAAGCGGTGGAATGATGGCGCCTGTGGCGGGGGTGGAGGAGGTAATAATAATGTTTATGATAATAACGCTAATAATAACGAGAAAAACACAAGTGATGGTTACAGAAAGTGGACTGACGATTCTTTTACTAACACGTATCATTTGCGGTGGAATGACTTGTGTAAGTTGGCTCACTTTATTGCCGATTTGATGATTCGTAACACCAGGGCACAGGAATTCCGTCACACCATAATGGGCCTTGCTATTGTTGCAATCGCCGCTGAAAAGACATCCTGGGTACTCCCCGCCCCTCTTGTCGAATTGCTTCCCGAGTCCTGCCGAGTGAGCATCCATGCGGGCGAAAAGGCGGAGCTAGACTGCGAGAGCTACGAGCTATTGGTGCGCTACGCGGCGACAATGCGGTGCCGATGTGAGCAGGACGGAACGGAGACGGATGCTGTATCCCCGCTGTGGCGTGCGTTGGCATTAGTTCATGAGTGCTGCGAGGAATTTGGCACAGGAGAGCAAGTCGCCAACAGTGTGCTTCAGCGACGGTATAATATCAACCACGCGGCGGTTATGAGTGGGGGCTTTTAGTTTTACACGCCAAAAGAAAAACGGGAATAGGAGGAAGGGATAGGAACACCATGAGCAACGCATTGGAGATGGTTGCCAAGGAGGGAGTGACATCACTTATTTATTTATTTTATTTCATCTTATCTTTTCCTCTTAACGTTTTTTTTTTTTGTTTTTTTTTTTTGCATGGTGTTTTGAAAATGAGAGCGAAAAGAAAAAGAACAAAAAAAAAAGAAAAAAAAATACGTGGAGCGCGGAGGAGAACAATGGCTGTGATCACGAGAAAAAAAGACACCTCCTCCATCCGAGGTGTTTAAGGGGCGAATGGGACAGGGAAGGCAAAAATAAAAAATAAAAAAAGGGAGGGAGGGAGGAGAGGGGAGACCCTACGGGGCTGTTTTGGTTCGTGTGTGTGTGTGTGTGAAAGGGAAAGGGAAAGAGAGTTTGTTTTTTTGCGGTTTTTGGGGATTGTGATTTTGTTTTATTTGACGATTTTTAAATTTTTATTTTATTTTATGTTCCATATTTCTGGTTGTTGTTTTTTTTTTTTTTTTTTTTTTTTTTCGGTAAATGGGAGTTGCTGTTGTACGACTGTCTTTTGTGCTGCTCTCATCGCATGCGTTTTTGTTTTGTTTTGTTTTGTTTTCTGTCAACGCAATTCCGCTTCTATTCTTTGGTTTTTTGTGTTCTCCGTCTTGGCACATCGCTGTTTCTTTAAAATGTGCCCCTCCTCCCCGTACTTCTGTGTTTTTTCCTCTCCATCTCTCTCTACCTCTCTGTCTGTGTGAGTGTGTTTTGTTTTGTTTTGTATTGCTTCGGTATAATGAGGGAGGGGGAGAAAATAACAACCAAAAAGAAGAAAAAACGTCTATTTATATATTTAAATAAAAACTGAGCTTGCATATATATATATAGGCTTAAAAATATTATATGCACACACTTCACTCTCTCTCTCTCTCTATATATATATATATATATGCATGTATTTGAGGGTCTCTGAGTGTATGTATGCACATTATATATAAGCGGCTATAATAAACGCCCATGCAAGCAAAGAGAAAGCCATATATATATATATATATATATCGTTGTACATGTGTGCGCGATTCTTCTGCATGAAACCGAACACCCACACATTTCTTTTCTTCTTCTTCTTTGTTGTTGTTGTTGTGTGCGTGCTAGCAGCAAATTTATGCATGGATTTTTGTTTGTTTGTTGTTTCGCCGTTGGGTGCCCAAGCAGGAGCCCTGAGCATTCCGTACTGTGGTTGTTTCCACAGCACTGTCTTGCAATATTTTTTTTTTCTTGTTTTTTTTTTTTTTTGCGACTTCTTGCATCGTAGAATAATTTTGTTGTTTTTTTTTTTTTTTGGCGCATCCCCTTTGTTTAACGTTGTGTGTCTGTGTGTGCTTTTGTCATCTACTTTTCGGTCATGCTGCTCCAAATTCCACGCGTTCTGCCGGGACTATTGCCCGGTTATTTGCTTCCGCCTGCATCCTGCCCATTCTGCTGTTTTTCTTCCTTTTGCCACGGCTTTGTTCTTCAACAAGGGTGGCTGCAAAGAGGAAAAGGGGAGGGGTTGGAGAGAAGGAGGATGCCTGGTGCTTGTTTGGGAAACAGATGAGTAATGCGTGCGTCGCGTTTTGTTCTGCGTGCTGCTGTTGCTACTGCTGGAAAAGTGAAGCGGTGGAGGGCAGAAATTAAGAACGGTGGAAGCGGCACTGTGATTGATTTATTTCTCTTTTGGTTCTCTGTCTTTCTGCGCCATTAATTTTTTTCATTCATTTTTTTATGGGCTTTGGGGAGCGAGGGACGAAAGAGATAGCCATGCATGCATGCATACAAAAATGACAAATATATTTATTTATTTATTTTCTTTTCCAGGTGTCTCTGGTAGAGAAGAGGGTGGAGAAATTGTCAAAAAGACATGAACTTTTTATTTTATTGTTTGTTTGGAAGGAGGGATTATTATTATCATTTTTTTTTTTAGCGGCGTCGACACAGTGTTGTCTCGTTTCATGTTGGTTTTTCCCCCTTTATTTCATCTTTGTGGTTCGTGCCTCTCCATGCAACATGTGCACCATGCATATATCTGTTCGTATATATATATACATATACACAGGTGTGTATGTATGGAGGCATTCACTCATTATTTTTTTTTTTTTGAACGGCGCAGTTGGGCGGAAAGTTTGGATTTTTTGTTTTTCTGCTTTTTTTGAATTTTTGGTTGTTGAAACGCACACACCCACACGTGTCTTTATGTGTGGTATTCATATTTATGTGTGTGTGTGTGTGTTTGTGGGGGGGCGTGGTGTTGTGATGAAAGTTTGGCGTTGCTACCGCACCGTGCATGCACCCGACACACTTTCATGGGTGTGTGGGATGGGGCTCAGTATTATTCGCGGCGGTGTGGGCGGCTGCAACAGACTGTCGATGAAGAGGGAGGGAAAAAAAAACCAGATGCACCGGCGACTCACGACTGAAGCCCGCGGGTCGGAGTGAACCGGAACGAAGGGAGGGATTGCATACGACACAACTGACGACATCTGCGTCAACGCACGGACATTATGTGCATAAGTTTATTGAACAAAGCGGAAGCAAGACAATGGATTCTTTTAGAGGCCGGTTTCTTAGTTTTGTTGCTTTCTCTGCCTCCATTTTTCTCTACGACATTTTATGAAGATGGGGGAAAGAAAAAAAATGACAAAATATCCTGTCGGCGAGGGTGGCGAACAGCAGACCTTTCTCCCGTTTACTCACTCAGTGAAGTATTAATGCGGAGATCTTAATTGAGCCTCTATTCTTGACGTGAATGACGGCAAGACAAGGAGACCTCTCCCCCCTCATCCTCTGAAAGTAACGAAGAGAATGTGAACAGGTGCAAGGCAACAGGAACGCAGAAATGACAAGGAGCAAACAAAGGAGGATTGGTGGTGCAGATCCATATTTATGGATGCCATATTATATGATTATTACTATTATTATTAATATTATTATGATATATACTTTTAAAGGCAACTGGTAGAAAGAATACGCGGAATTGCGGGGTGCTCGGTAGATGATCGTGGGTGTCTCGTTTATCTGCTCCGTTTCCCCGCGAATTGATTTGGCGTTAAACGATAATGTTTGAAGGCAGCGAGTGAAGTACATTTTTCTGTTATTTTTGTTGTGTTTTTTTTCCGCCTACTTTACTGCCCTTCACACGGAGGGGTTCGGCGGCTGTGGAGCCCCAATCAATACCGCTTTGTCAGTTCCCAGTGAGCCCGGTAGTTATGCGTATGCCTTTTGGAATTGTTTGTTTACTGGTGTTTTGGTGTTCGATGGTTCTTGTCTAAAGCGGCGGGATATTGGGTGCGTTGAGCCAAAATGTAACTTGCCACGGCGTTGTTTTTTTTTCTCTCTGCAGGAAGAAAGAGGAAAAGGACTCATCCGGGCACATATTCTGTTTATATTAAGCGTAAAATAAAATAAAGATATGAGTAAATTAACAGAAAGAAAGGAATTGTTGTTGGCGTGGGGGAGGGGGTATGAGGTATGAGGAAGCTTATGGAAATTGGAGAAAACAGAAAGCACACGGCGGCAGCGAGGAGTGGGGTTAAAAAAAAAAAAAAAATCTTCCGGGTTTATTTGAAAGAAAGTGAAGCGGATTACATTAGGAAGCGAAATGCTTTTTGCACCAAATGGAGTGTTTTAATTTGGACTCTAAAGAAGTGCGCTTTTTTTTCTTTGTTTTTTACGTTTGTTTGTATTTCAGTAGTGTACCCCTGTTTCTTTTTTTTTTTTTATATAATGTCCCTTCACCTTTTTTTTTATTTTGACGTTAGTCGTTGTTCTCGGCCTACGGTTTTCTTTTTTTTTTTTACCAGCCTTATTTATTTATCTTTCAGCCTTTTTTTTCTTTCTTTATTTTTTATTTGCGTATCCTCCTTTTCTAGTCTCACCGGGTATTCGTGTGTTTATGGGTGCGTGCATGTGTGTATACATACATACATACATATATATCTTTGCGTGTGTGTGTGCTTTTGTGGCGGGAAAGGTGGATACTGTGGCTTCCCTGTATTCCCCGTAACTTTTTCCATGCTTGTATTGTGTATTGCCTAAGATAGCGGTGGGGGGGGGGGAGGGGAGGAGCACAGCCGTGTAGCAATGCGTGCCGGCTCCTCAGCGGTGGCCACCGTGACGCCGGCGGAGAACGCGCTGCTTTCACCCGGCGTACCATTTGCTATCACCAAAAAGATTGCCACTCCGCAGCAGGATCTTGTAGCAGCGGCGGGAACGATCAGTAGTTTTGTTTCTGTCAACGCAATTCCGCTTCTATTCTTTGGTTTTTGTGTTCTCCGTCTTAGCCCATCGCTGTTTCTTTAAAATGCGCTCCTCCTCCCCGTACTTCTGTGTTTTTCCCTCTCCCTCTCTCTCTACCTGTCTGTCTGTCCGTCTGTCTGTGTGAGTGTGTTTTGTTTTCTTTTGTGTCGCTTCGGTATAATGAGGGAGGGGGAGAAAATAACAACCAAAAAAACAAAACAAAAAAAAAAAACGTATATTTATATATTTAAATAAAAACTGAGCTTGCATATATATATATATATATATATATATATATATATATATATATATATATATATATATATATATATATATATATAGGCTTAAAAATATTATATGCACACACTTCACTCTCTATATATATGCATGTATTTGTGGCTCTCTGAGTGTATGTATGCACATTATATATAAGCGGCTATAATAAGCGCGCATGCAAGCAAAGAGAAAGCCATATATATATATATATATATCGTTGTACATGTGTGCATGATTCTTCTGCATGAAACCGAACACCCACACATTTCTCTTCTTCTTCTTTGTTATTGTTGTTGTTGTTGTTGTTGTGTGCGTGCTAGCAGCAAATTTATGCATGGATTTTTGTTTGTTTGTTGTTTCGCCGTTGGGTGCCCAAGCTGGAGCCCTGAGCATTCCGTACTGTGGTTGTTTCCACGGCACTGTCTTGCAATAATGTTTTTTTTTCTTGTTTTTTTTTTTTTTTTTTTTTGCGACTTCTTGCATCGTAGAATACTTTTGTTGATTTCTTGGCGCATCCCCTTTGTTCAAAGTTGTGTGTGTCTGTGTGTGCTTTTGTCATCTACTTTTCGGTCATGCTGCTCCAAATTCCACGCGTTCTGCCGGGACTATTGCCCGGTTATTTGCTTCCACCTGCATCCTGCCCATTCTGCTGTTTTTCTTTCTTTTGCCACGACCTTGTTCTTCAACAAGGGTGGCTGCAAAGAGGAAAAGGGGAGGGGTTGGAGAGAAGGAGGATGCCTGGTGCTTGTTTGGGAAACAGATGAGTAATGCGTGCGTCGCGTTTTGTTCTGTGTGCTGCTGCTGCTACTGCTGGAAAAGTGAAGCGGAGGAGGGAAGAAATTAAGAACGGTGGAAACGGCACTGTGATTGATATATTTCTCTTTTGGTTCTCTGTTTTTCTGCGCCATTAATTATTTTCATTCATTTTTTTATGGGCTTTGGGGGGCGAGGGACGAAAGAGACAGCCATGCATGCATGCACACAAAAATGACAAGTATACATATATATTTTCTCTTCCAGGTGTCTCTGGCAGAGAAGAGGGTGGAGAAATTGTCCAAAAGACATGAACTTTTTTTTTACTTTATTGTTTGTTTGGAAGGAGGGATTTCTTTTTTTTTTTTTTTTTTTTTTTTTTTTAGCGGCGTCGACACAGTGTTTTCTCGTTTCATGTTGGTTTTTCCTCCTTTATTCCATCTTTGTGGTTCGCACCTCTCCATGCAACACGTGCACCATGCATATATCTGTTCATATATACATATATATACAGGTGTGTGTATGTCTGGAGGCATTCACTCATTTTTTTTTTTTTTTTTTTGAACGGCGCAGTTGGACGGAAAGTTTGGATTTTTTGTTTTTCCGCTTTTTTTAAATTTTTGGTTGTTGAAACGCACTCACCCACACGTGTCTTTATGTGTGGTATTCATATTTATGTGTGTGTGTGTGTGTGTGTGTGTTTGTGGGGGGCGTGGTGTAGTGATGAAAGTTTGGCGTTGCTACCGCACCGTGCATGCACCCGACACACTTTCATGGGTGTGTGGGATGGGGCTCGGTATTATTCGCGGCGGTGTGGGCGGCTGCAAACAGACTGTCGATGAAGAGGGAGGGAGACAAAAACCAGAAGCACCGGCGACTCACGACTGAAGACTGCGAGTCGGAGTGAACCGGAACGAAGGGAGGGATTGCATACGACACAACTGACGACATCTGCGTCAACGCACGGAAATCATGTGCATAAGTTTATTGAACAAAGCGGAAGCAAGACAATGGATCCTTTTAGAGGCCGGTTTTTTAGTTTCGTTGCTTTCTCTGCCTCTATTTTTCTCTACGACATTTTATGAAGATGGGGGAAGAAAAAAAATTGACAAAATATCCTGTCGGTGAAGGTGGCGAACAGCACACCTTTTTCCCATTTACTCACTCAGTGAAGTATTAATGCGGAGATCTTAATTGAGCCTCTATTCTTGACGTGAATGACGGCAAGACAAGGAGACCTCTCCCCCCTCACCCTCTGAAAGTAACGAAGAGAAAGTGAACAGGTGCAAGGCAAAAGGGATGCAGAAATAAGAAGGAGCAAACAAAGGAGGATTGTTAGTGCAAATCCATATTTATGGATGCCATATTTTTATGATTATTACTATTATTATTACTATTATTATGATATATACTTTTAAAGGCAACTGGTGGAAAGAATACGCGGAATTGCGGGGTGCTCGGTAGATGATCGTGGGTGTCTCGTTTATCTGCTCCGTTTCCCCGTGAATTGATTTGGCGTTAAACGATAGTGTTTGAAGGCAGCGAGTGAAGTACATTTTTCTGTTATTTTTGTTGTGTTTTTTTCCGCCTACTTTACTGTCCTTCAAACGGAGGGTTTCGGCGGCTGTGGAGCCCCAATCAATACCGCTTTGTCAGTTCCCAGTGAGCCCGGTAGTTATGCGTATGCCTTTTGGAATTGTTTGTTTACTACTGTTTTGGTGTTCGATGGTTCTTGTCTAAAGTGGGGGGATATTGGGTGCGTTGAGCCAAAATGTAACTTGCCACGGCGTTGTTTTTTCTCTCTCTGCAGGAAGAAAGAGGAAAAGGACTCATCCGGGCACATATTCTGTTTATATTAAAAGTAAAATAAAGATATGAGTAAATTAACAGAAAGAAAGGAATTGTTGTTGGCGTGGGGGAGGGGATATGAGGTATGAGGAAGCTTATGGAAATTGGAGAAAACAGAAAGCACACGGCGGCAACGAGGAGTGGGGTTAAAAAAAAAAAAAAAATCTTCCGGGTTTATTTGAAAGAAAGTGAAGAGGATTACATTAGGAAGCGAAATGCTTTTTGCACCAAATGGAGTGTTTTTATTTGGACTCTGACGAAGTGCGCTTTTTTTTTTTCTTTGTTTTTTCCGTTTGTTCGTATTTCAGTAGTGTACCCCTGTTTCTTTTTTTTTTTTTTTTTATTTGCGTATCCTCCTTTTCTAGTCTCACCGGGTATTCGTGTGTTTATGGGTGCGTGCATGTGTGTATATATACATACATACATACATATATACCTATGCGTGTGTGTGTGTGTGTGTTTGTGTGGCGGGAAAAGTGGATACTGTAGTTTCCCTGTATTCCCTGTAACTTTTTCCATGCTTTTATTGTGTATTGCCTAAGATAGCGGTGGGGGGGAGGGGAGGAGCACAGCCGTGTAGCAATGCGTGCCGGCTCCTCAGCGGTGGCCACCGTGACGCCGGCGGAGAACGTGCTGCTTTCACCCGGCGTACCATTTGCTCTCACCAAAAAGGTTGCCACTCCGCAGCAGGATCGTGTAGACAGCGGCGGGAACAGTGGAATCAGTAGCCAGAAACGAATATCGGCTGTGGGCTCGGTACCACCGGTGCGGTGTGCGGTGGCGGCGGAATGTCGTGAAGCGGAAGTGGCACCAAACGTCTGCTCGTCCCTTGGGTCCTTTGTTGACTTGCCCAATAGTAAAGGAAACCAAGAGTGTCATCGGATACATCCACTGCGGGATTTTTTGGAAACTTACAAGATTCGAAGGCTGTTGGGGCATGGAAGTTATAGCGTCGTTTTTGAGGTTGTGAACCGCAAGACGAAGGAAAGAAAGGCGGCAAAGTTTCTCATTGCGAAAGAAACGCAGCTCGCTAGAAGGAAACAAGTCGGTGAGGGTGGGGACGGTAAAGATAAGGGGTCGATGGCGATTGAGGGTGGGAGGCACATCAGCAACAACAGCAACACATCGACGTCGCTCCCGGAGTCGCTAGTCAAGGAGATCACTGTCTCTTTTATGGCGCGTCATCCGAATTTGGTTCACACAAGTGACGTGTTTGTGGAAGATGTGGAGGATTTGCAAAGACGTGTGCAGCGGTATAACTCCCAACTTTTTATTGTTTCCTCAACATCTTCCAGCGTCACAGCAAAACGAAGGGTAAAGCAAGAGCCTCTCCTCGTAGTGGCAAAGAAAAATGCTGTGTCACATGTTTCTTCCACGACGTGTGACTCTTTTTCCGGTAGGGATAATGGGGATGGTGATGCTCCAGAGCAGCGCCAGGGTTCGTTGCCCGCCATGCCAGCTTCCTCAGCGGTGGTGAAATCGGCCGCTGAGACCAATCAGTCAGCTATTGAGAAAGTAAGGCAACAACTGCAAGAGGGAAAAATGCAATGTATTCTTGTGATGGAGTTGCTGACCGGCCGAGATTTATTCACACTGGTCTCTCGGAAACCACTCAACGAGGCAAGGACCGCAGCCTATATGATGGATTTACTGTTGGCTCTGCAGTGTCTTCACTCCCAACAAATCGTTCACCGTGATGTGAAGGTGGAAAACATTGTTATTGACCCTCAGGACAGAGCACGTCTCATAGACTACGGCTTTTGTGAAGGACTGCAATGGTCGAGCAACACGAATGCGGGCTGCAGTGGGGAGACGCACAAGGTATGCGATGGGACACTGACTCAATTCTGCGGATCGTATCATTACGTGGCCCCAGAGGTAATTCGGGCAGCCATGCACTCTAGGCTATCGGCAAGGCCGACCGATGCAAAAGAGGCCAACAACAGTGTTAGCGTTAAACTGCCTCCCATATCCATGACAGGCAGCACAGGGATTTGCGGTAACCTCATGACACCGAGAACACCGGCTGAGGATAAGAATAGCCGTGGGATGCACTCGGCCGCCTCCATCGGAATTCTGAGGACACTTTTGACACCTGGACCGATGGGATACGGCACTTCAGTCGATTTATGGTCGGCGGGCGTGGTGATGTTTGTTCTCTTACACTCCACCTTTCCTTTTCATGACGAGCGCCGCAGCAGTCTTCTCAAGTTGATCAGTTCGGGTCGTCAAACTGTGCGGCCGTCACCGCTACTTAGTAGCGATGCCAAGGATCTCTTACGAAGACTGCTGACGCACGATGCTCGTCATCGACTGACAACAGCGCAAGCCGTTGAGCATCCATGGTTCAAAAGGCTGCTACAGAGGAGAGGAATGGAATAGACTTGAGCCAGCAGCGTAGTTTTTGGTAATTTTGTTAGTTTGAAAATAGAGCCAAAGTAAAGGAACGTTTCTTACAGGAAAAAAATTAGCTTCAATGCATTACCTTTACAGTATTATATACCCTGGACTCTTGTAATGCAGCCTCTTCCCCTCACCACTGATGTATGTATGCCTTCGAAAAACTATACACTCTGTCATTTGGTAAGTTATATCAGGCCCAAAAAAGGGGGAGAAAGAAAAAGAAAAAGTAAGAACGAAGCAAAGAAACGAAAAAGATTGTTTTACTGCGCCTTGTATCATAATTTATACCTCTCCGATACAAACCAATCGAGCAGAAAAAAAATATATATATACGCGATTAGCCTATTACACCTCTGTGAGCAATGAAAAAAAAAAAAAAAAAAAGAGGAGTCTTTTGCGTTTAAAAATGGGTAATGTGAGGGGTTCGATATGAATTGTTTTTTTTTTTTTAATTATTATCTTTGTTTGTTTGTTTTAATTACCTTTTTTTTTTTTTTTTTTTGGCTGGTCTTGAAGCAGAGGAGAGGGGTTCTCGAGGTCCACCCAAAGAATACAATAAAGAAGCGGTAATCACAGGTTGACGGGAGGCGCTACTGGCGAAGAACTATGTCTATTCTTAAGGGAAAAGAAGTGGAGGTCACGGAAGACGATCAACACCGCATTTGTCTTTTTGCGCGTCTGCATCGCCGTCGTCGGGAGCTGGTGGCCGAACTCTCTAGGCGTAAGGAGGAGATAGTGAGGCTTGGCGACGCAGCAGACGAACTGATGATCACTGACAATGCCATGTATCTTTTCGGCGAGACCTTCATGGAGACCGACAATGACGAGGCAGAGGAATGGCTGGAAAAGGAAAAGGGTCGCTTGCAGACGGAGCAGGAGGCGGCGGAAGCGGAGCTGAAATTGGTCGAAGTCGCGTTGGGCGAATTAAAGGCTAACTTGTATGCGTCACTGGGCAGCCAGGTGTACCTGGAAGACGAATGATAACCATGAAAAAAAAAAAAAAAAAAAATTCAAAGGTAAAGCAGGCGTTTTAAGAAAAGCAACGCAGGGGACCACAAATAAGAAATTCTCGCAGGACGAAAAACAAAAAAAAAAGGCGGAAAAAAGAAGGAATCGGTTGGAGTTTTTCTTTTTCCTTCATTCCATTCTTTTTTTGTGTGTGCGTCTGTGTAGCAGCAGCCTTTTCTGGTGTTTTTTTTGTTTGTAAATTAACCAGCGTTCCAGCTGTGTGTAGGTGTTTGCTCCTTTTTTGTGTTCTGTGGATGTTGTACTCTTCTTTTTTTTTTTAGTCAATTTATTTGGATCTGGGTGGTTAGACGAGGTGGGAGAGTCTTTTGTATTTGCAGGTGGTGTGGTGTGTCTTCACGATGGATCGGCCACCCGGTCCTATGCACGACCTGATTCGGCGTGCCTACGAGGAGATGCGCCTCTATTCAAATTATTATGCTGCTATACGCATCATTACGGCAGGCCTGCAATTGGGTGAGAGGGACAGTGAAGAGAATGCGCTGGAGAGGCAAACCTCACGTCAGCCTTTCTTTGATCAAGGTGGCACTCTGCAAGGGAGTTGTAGCCACAACAACGATGTGTTCCTGAGCGACCGTTCTGGTGGGTCCTTTACCGAGTCTACAGCAGTGGGTAAGAGCAAGGTAATATCTGTCTCGGAAGGCACCAAAATTGTGAGGGTGACACCACAGTTGCGCGGAGGTTTTAATCGGACTCAAAAGTTTCGAATGCTACTTTTACGTGCCGATGCGTACTCGGCTTTAAAACGGCATGATAAAGCCCTACAAGATGCTCAAGCTGCTGTTCTAATGTCTCACGAACGTTCTGCGGAGGCCCATTTTGTAATGGGAAGGGAGTTCCTACGCCTCTTTCAACTTGAGGCTTCGGTGGTTGCCTTTGATAAGGCGGAGTCTCTTCTTTGTTCGTCACCAATTTATAGTGGAAATCCGTGTGTTGAAGAAATCACGGCCGAGGACTTTTGGGCACAACGTGGGTACCACATGGAGGATGTTCAACGCTTGAAACTGAATCGCTGTTCCATGGAGCAGGAAGAACAAAAAGCACATGGTGTGTTGTTGGGACAACGTGTAGATGATGGCGCAAATGGTGTGCTTGCATCAGAACACGCGTTGGTTACCTCGACATCTTCTGAAGGTTCAAACGTTGCTAATCCTCAGTTGCTCTATTGGAGGCAGCTTGCTAAAGAGGCACGAGCTCTACATAAGATGAGTACTTCACATATCTTGCCTATAGGCTTTCTTCAAACAGCACTTTTGTTTTTAGATCATCAAATGAGTACAGTTCGGTTTGGTGTTGTGGCATGTTTAGAAAACACGACTTCCCGAAATTTTCGTTTGACAGGGTGTTCCTCTCCTGATGCCGCCTTCCGGAATGGGATGCAATTCCCTGATACCATTCCTCCCGGCTGTTGTGGTATCGCTCTCCTTCAACCTCGAGGACGATGGGGCGGTTTTGTGTGCTCCGTCTGCTATGAGGTGGCAGATAACGCTGTGTGTTGTTTTTTTTGCTTTGAAACTTCTTTCATGGGGTCAAACAAGTGTGGTGTTCGCTTTGCATCGGAGCGGCGTTCTTTAGAGTTTGCTTGCGGCTTGAGGGACCCTAATAGCAACACTTCCGGGAGTTCGTCATCGGACACCACGACGAGGGAGTTTGTTAATTTTAAGATACCGAATCCAAGTCTGTGGCTCCCAACACACGTCGCACCACTACCATCTGGACGCAAACTGAAAGTGTCTGGTGCAACGCGCAGCAATAGTCGAGTTATCATGTTCTCTGTGACTGAAATTCTCTCCGTTCGTCTACGATCCGTGGAACTTCTGACTGCTTTGGAGTTTGCAGGCCCTGTTGTATTAAAAAAGATGAGTGCCGTAAACCGGCGGTACCGCGAGTTAGTCAACAATCTTCCACCAACAATGTTTTTTGGTTCGAGTCGCTGCTTATATCCCGACTACTGTTTGTTGAGTGATCGCACAAGTTCACCCTGGATTGTACATGACAAGGAGCCGGTGAGGTGGAGCTTCGTCTTTGATGGCCGATTGATGAATCGAGAACTTTTCATGGTGTCCGACTCTACCGACCCTCAAAACAATATTTTATACTTTTCAGGCGAGAGTTGCGGTTCCATCGAAACAGTGGTGTTCTATGGCGATCGACGCACTCTCATTGCACAGATAAAGGGCAGTTGGGTACCTTTCAGTAGTACGTTGTACTTTTGCACATCGTCGGGTCGTACTTTTGCCTCCTGCTTTCTTAACCGAAATTCTGAATTGACGCTTGTCTGGGAAGGCGCCAGCAAGAAAAACAAGTCGGAGGATGTGGAGTATGTTATGCATCGGGTGGAATCTGTCCGGCGCACAGGATTTGGTGGGACAACAAGCACGGTGTCAAATCTTTCCACTGTAAATGGCTTTGGTGGTACCGAAGAAAGTAATTCCATGTTATTCTCTTCCTCGAGTGGGGTTGTTTTGGCTTCGCCTCTTGCACCGTCCAGAGGCAATCGGGGCTCTTTGGTTGAGAAATATGCCGTCTGGCGTTCACAGGGAACAAATGCAGGCAGTGCTGCGTGCGGCATTACTAGGCAAACGAACAACGGAATGGAGCTGGTAGCTGAAGTCACAATTAGTCCCCCCTCTGCACAGACAGTGACGAAAGGGAGTGTCATTGCTGAAATTACATTCTGTACAGGTGCTGATGCGCTGTTGGTTACACTGTTGGCGTATTGTCGATTCCAATGGGATGGATGAATGAATACATAGATGAGGAAGAAAATGGAAGGCAACCAGCAACAGCAACATGGAATATATATATAAAAAAAAACGATTTACTTTTTTTTTAGAGGGAGAGAGAAATGCATATGTAGGATGGGTAGGTGTGGTTCAACGCAACGTGTATCTTTCCGTTGTTAGTTTTTTCGTGCGCGGAATTGTGAGTGCAATTTTGACAAGACGCGGGAGCAATTTTGATGCACGTTTGGGATGCTTGAAAGCGTAGCTGTTTTGTGTACAATTTTTGCTGCCTCCTCTCCACCCCCTTTTTGCTTGTCTGAGTTTTTGTTTTATTTTTGGGAGTGGCTACGGGCGCTGAGGAGAAAGGAGGTGTTTGTCCGGGGAGGGTGATCCGGGTGTTGTCTTCTCCCTTCCGGCGAAGCGTATATTTATTTAATTGTACAGAAGGGAGCAAAAAAAAAAAAAGAAAAAAAAAAAAAAAGGAGGAGAGGGCATGGAAAGAATTTCTTTTTTTTTTTTTGTTTCTTCCTTGCAACGTGCTCTGAAAAGTTTGGGCCGTTTCTTCCGTGAAAAGAGCGTTTGTGTGATGTCTCGTTGCTGCAGTCGACTTGTTGTGCGTGATTTCCCCCCTTTTGTCTCTTTCCATTTCTTGTGCGACGTCGCTGTTCTCCACTCTCCCCCTTTTTTTTTGTTGTTGCCGTTGTTTTGACCCGCCTACGACAGGCCAACCCATCAAAAGGAACGGACGTTCCTGGCCCGGTGCTCCTCTCTGTCCCCCCACGGAGAACACATCCTTACGGTTACAGAAGGCAGCAAGGATAAGCAGAAGGAAAAATAATAATTAAGGAGGGGAATTCGTAGAATTATTTTTTTTTTAACACTTTTTTTTTTTTAAGTTTTTTTTTTTTTTCCTACGCGCTGCTGTTTTATTGTGGGCGTATCCACACGCTGTATGGAAAGCAGGTGAAAGGAAAAAGGAAAGAAAGGAAGAGTGTGAGGGTTGGAGCTTGTCCCTTTTGTTTATTAGTCGCTGGTCCACCAAGAACTGGAGTCCTTGGATACATGACTGTCCACGTGCATTGGTTGAATGGTGTGCCCGCTTGTGAGGGTTGGATAGAAAAGTATTCGGTCGGTCGCAGTTTTTTTTCCAGAAAGTCGTGGCAGATGCGTTATGTCGTTGTAACCAGCGAGGGCATAGGGTACACGCATAAAATACCCAATCGATGTATGAAACCATCGTCCGCACGATGTTTTGTGCCATTTGAAGGGCCTCCTAAGAGTAGCGGAGGGATTCATCTTCGGCCCGTTTATCTTCTTCGACATGTCACACCTTCAATGCATCCAGAAGTTCCTGACGGTTGTCAAAAAGCGCTTTCATGCACCTTTAGCGGAAGTGATGTTTCCTGCGAGCATCACTACTTTGCGATTTCGTTTGAAGAGCGAAAGAAACGACTTTTTCTTCTTCTTCGCACTAAATCATTAGAGGATTACAATGTGTGGACGTTGGTACTTTCAGTCTATGTGCCTGCAGGAAGCATTAAAACTGTTGTTCCTGTACCCCACCCGCTAGAGAACTATCGCCACGGCTCTGCCTATTTTTTCAATTCAAAAAAAGGATTTTTCAAAATTTGGGATAACGTTATTAATGTTGCAACTGCTGGCTTTTACATGGTAGATCCTGATCCATGCACAGCGGCCGAGCTTGGCAGGATCAAAAAACTTGTGCTTAGCTGGGACGAGGGGGAGGCATTTCGGTGGCAAAGCCTCCGCAGTGGAGAGAATTCTACATCTCATCGAACGACTATCCTTCAGGAAGAGAATGAGGAGGAATGGCGCAAACTGTTGAGTGTTGCAGCAGAGTTGGATGCCGTGTGTGGGCCAACCGAAGAATCGACTGGATACACGGAGTAAAAGACAGCCATTTGTCTGAGCAAAGAAAGAAAATACACAGTCCGTGCGAATGCATTCTTTCCAGTTTTCCCCAAATCTGTCACATATTTTAAATTTGGGTGAAGGTGTTGTGGTGTTATCGAGTGCATGGTTCTGATCTTCTTGTTTATTTCAGGTCTGTGCTCTTCTCTTCATTCCGTGCTTGCTTTTTTGTTCTCCATGCCTTTTTTTTTCCTTTTTTTTTTTTTTTTTTTGAAGTGATGGACTGCGCTTCACGCTTGAGTTGTGGAGAAGAACAAGAGGAAACAACAAGAATAAGGATCAATTTGTGAGGTTCTGTTTGTGGTATTATCTGGTTTTATTTTATTTTTATTTTATTACTTTTATTTTTATTTATTTATTTTTGCAGTAACGCGAAAGGTGGTGGTGGGAGGGTGTGACACTCGTCGCTGCCTCAGTGTTTAGTTGTGCGTATTTATAGCCTTAACTTTTTTTTTTTTTTTTTTGGGGTGCACGTTGCGTCGCACGCACGGTTGCCGCACTACTGACAAAATATCTTTGCAATTGTGTGTGTGTGTGTATTTGCCTCCTTGAAAGGGGGCGAAGCAGGCGGATGAGACACGCACCGCATCCGGTAATTTAATAATTTTGCATAAATATATTATCTGCGATTCCCTCTCTTTCACCTCTTGGCTATTTTTCAGCAGAAAACAGAAACAAGGAGGAGAGACTTTAAAAAGAGAAGGAAACGGAGCGGAACAAAAGAGGAAGAATGAAACTGAATAAAGCGTGCTAAGAAAAATAAAATAAAAATGAAGAGAAAAGGATGAAAACGAGAATTGTACATGTTTGTGTCTTTGTGTGTGTAAGTTTGTATTTGTTCTTCTGTTTGTGCTGCCAAGCCATGACTCAGGAAGATTTTTTGGCCGGTTATTGCCGCCCAATTATTTTTTATTTTTATTTTTGCTTTGTTATCTTACTGATTTATTTATTTATTTTTACCCTTTTTTTTGTTGATTGCTTTTGCCCGTGTGTGCACGGCACATTCTATGGGTGTCTTTTGGTGGGGGCCTTTACACGTATTTGAGGTGAGGCAGCTCTTTATGCGAGTGGGAGCTCTGGACCATGGGAACAAGCATGTGTGTGCCGCGACGGCGGCGGGATGATAGTCCACTGTCTTACTTTGGCATTTCAGTGAGCACGCTCACCGTCTATGAACAGCGGTTGGTGCAGCAATCGACCAGCTACATACCGGGCGTTCCCATCCTTCTCCAAGACATTGCGTTTTATTGGGACTCGCAGGTCGGAGGGGCCGTCGCCGGTGGGACCACCGCGGCTGTTTCGCCAGATAGCATATGGATTGCTTCTGTGGAAAAAACAATCAACGAATTTGCGAAGAAATACAAACTTTTTTCTCTTAAAAAAAATGCACGTGTGGGAAAAGGCAGCAGTGATGCAAAGAAGAGATCCTCGGGCAAGAATGCCAGTCGTGTCTTTGATAAGCCTTTTAATGCCTTTTTGGGAAAAACGCCTCTTCATGCCCCTCATTTTGTCGCATTATTGACGCTTTTTCTTCGCAAACTGCCAGAGCCACTGTTGACATCCCTCTATGTGCGCCAGGCGGAAGATATTTTGAGCAATAAAAACTTATCTGAGGAGGAAAAGGCCCAGGCTTTGCAAAAATCAAGCCGTCAGACCTTTATGTCGACTCATCCAACCGAACACGCGGTATACCAATATTTGAAGCAGTTAGTGCAGCGTCATCGTGCCGAATTGATTGCAGCAGAGGTGGAACTTCTGGTGCGCTCCATGGTACGAGAGCCAAACGAGAACGTTACGGAGTTTATCTTGCAACAATTGCGTCCAGTTGTGGGGCCCGTGTTGACCAAATCGAAGCGGGAGCTTCCGACAGACAACAAGCCTCAATTGAATTTTCCCCATGAGCTCACGTCAGGGGTTTTGGGTGACGGCGCGAGCAACACGGAGGAGGAGGTGTACTCCCCACCCGGGTCTCACCACAGCGAGGCCGCAGAGGGGGAAAGAGTTTCAATGGGCAGCACGCCAACGGAGACGTCTCAACCAAATTCTGCCCGACGCACCTTCTCTGGCGAAACGGAAAACACGAGCGGCAAAAAGAAGAACGCCTCGGATGTAAAACCCCCAGCGGAGGGGGAGAGCGGACTGGGGTCCGCGATGAGTTGTGCGGACGCAGCGGGCTCGTCGCAGTCAAGTGTGGCAGCGGGGGAAAATTCGGCCGGCGAGGCTCAGAGCGGGGGACTTCCCGTTGCCTCCAAGGCGGTCAAGATTGACCCCACTGAAGAAGTCGATTCGAGCGGTAGCAGTAGTAGTAGTAGTAGTGTGCGGAGAGTATTGGTGCCCAAGGAACGGCTCCAAGCGACCTGTTCAGAGGAAGAAGAACAGGAGGAGGGGCGCTCTAGAATGCCAAAGAACGTAGAAAAACCACCACACCGCGAGGCTTCAATTGCAGATTCTGTTCAGGCGATGAGCACTTCTAGCGTGGTGTTGACACATGCGAAGAGAGAGCGGCATTCCACCCCAAAAAGAAGGGAAAAAAACGTGCCTATGGATGCCGAAAGTGCCAATATTGCCGGTGGTGGTGGTGTTACTGAGAAAAAAGCCGTTGTTGATGTATTTTCTGACCCACGTGGTGATGCAAATTTGGACGTACAGATTTCCAAAGGGCGGGAAGGCCCTTCACTTTGCACATCTAGCGAAACAATTCACCCACCACACGACCTCAGTGGGGGCGCTGTTTCCCCGGTTAATGAAGAGGGCGTTGACGACAAGTATGAAAGGCAAGAGAAACAGCAGCAGGCGCCGTTGCATAAAGTGCTTCCTTCTAGTTTACAGAAGAAGCCATCACAAACTCAACTGTTAGGCTCATCGGTTGCGGTGGAGACTCCTGGTCGTTTAGAGGACTCGAACCCAACCATCTTCAGTGGGAAAGGACCTTTCAATGAGGCTCCCAGGTCTTTTGTTGAAAAGCACCCTTGCTTTGCTGCATTATTGGGGGCAAAGCAGTTGTTTCTTGGAAAGGAAAAACTTCCCCCGAAGCAAATAGAGCTTGGTCGACGTCCAACCGGGTTCATCATGGAATCGGTGGATGCGGAAACGAAAGGCGGTGACGCTGAGCCATTGTCCATGAGGCAACTATTAGCGTGTACCGCTGAAGGTCTTAATGAAGTAGATAGAAGAAAACTTGTTCATTATGAATGTAATGATTTTTTTTCTGAAGAAGTCACGGATAGATTTCTATGTGTTCACGTTGAACGCGTGCTTCAGAAGGTTATTTATCCAGTCATAGTGCAGATAGAGCAGTTAACAGCAAAATCTGAATCAATTGAACGGCTGTTGAGGACGAACGGAATTGTGTCGCCGCCTTGCCAGGCCCCAAAACTTGTGAAGCAGTTAGAGGACGAGATGACGGTCCTGAAGGACGTTGTGCGGCAAGTGGTGGAGACTCATTCTGGAGCCATGGAGGATATCCTCAACCTTCAGCAGCAAATTGAAGAACAGAGAAACCGACTTGAATGCGACGCAGTTGGGAAGCAAAAATGGCAAAGCGACGCATTGAGTGCAAAGGAGATGGCGCTTGAGGCACAACGTCGCTGTGCAAACCTGGAGAAGGCCCAACTTCAGTCTCATCAGTCGTGCCAGTACATGTCATTGAAACTGAGGGATTTGGCGTCCGAAATAGAACGTGGAGAAAAAGAGAGCCTTGGCTTGAAAATTGAGGTTTCCACACTTCAACGGCAGGCTGTGTTACTGCGAGAGGGACTTCTCTCTATTCATTGAGATATTGATATGTGCTGATCTCGCCTCGTTAAATTTACAAATATGTCTACCTGATCGATGCATGCACGCGTGTTTTTATGTGTATTTGTAAGAACTGATTATTCTCCAGTTGATGATTCCGTTGTTTTTTTTTTTATTATTGTTTTTTCCTTTTCTTTTTCTTTTACGAAAGCACACACGAAAAAATAATATTAATAAGAAAGAACTCCAGCGATTATTGGAAACTTTAATGAATTGCTCGCCACCCTTTCTTTTTCTTACCCTATTTTTTTTTTTTAATTGGAATTCATCCATCAGGAAGGAGAAACAGGCTGTCCTGTTGACTAATGACAAACTACCTCACTCTCTCCGACATTCCGCGGAGGGAAAAGGAGATGATCATGCTTTTGCTTGCCGCTGCAGAAGACGATGCGTGGCGTATTGTCAATGACGCCCAGCACCGTTTTTGTATTGAATGGCGGGTAAGCTCCAGACATCCTACATTATCTTTTTTGTCGCTGGGTCATCTCCGATCGTCGCAGAAAGTCTCAAGGTCCTCGTTGCAGGGTGTCAATGCTACACGCAATCGTCAATTGGATGGTCCCTCACCGGTGCTGCGCTCGGTCTCACGTGCACGGGGACGGCATTCGATACACAGGGAGCCCTTCCAACGCACTGGCAGGGGAACTGAGGATCTTAGTCCACTAACTATTGACTGGAACAATGACAGCAGTAGTGCCATGGACCCCATTTCCAGTCCCAGCATTTCTTATTCGTTTGGCAATACCCTCTCACCCAAGGCCAAACAACAGGGGCGAAGGCGAGTTGCTGCTCTAAATGGTAGTTCAGCAAAAACTCCCCGTAGCAGCAGTCAGGGTTCGCTGGGAGGCACATCTTTTTTGAATACACGTTCAACGTTTCTTCACCGTCATTTTACTCCACAACGGTCGATCTCCAACCCGCGCGCGGCTTTATCGGAGCAAAACGGCGTTCTTAGAAGCATTAGCAGAAGGAAAGGGTTATCTAATGCAGTATCGGGCCTAAATGGATCTACCAGTCAGGACCCTGCGCCCATACGTTCTGCTCAATGGGTCTCGCGTCTGGTGGAGGACATCATGGGTTATGTGGCCAAAATGAATGCGATTGACCATCATCAAGTAAGTTCTGTCGCCGCCCTGACCGTGAATGTTTTGAAGGCTTGTTATGGTGCGCTTCAATGGAACCGAGTATTGAAGGAACTTGCGCAAGGCCTTCATAGATATCGTAGTGTTAGTTCACTTTGTCGTGTTTTTCGGGAGTTTTTTGTGGATGAGTCAAGTTCTGCCTTGGAAGATTTTTTTGTTTTTTCACGTCTGCATCGGGTCGTCACGAAGCACGGGATCGTGGAGACACAGAAGGTTTCACTTCCACTGGAAGAGGCACAAAGCAATGCTGCCTACCCTCTTTTTCGGGAGACTATTGTGTTGCGTCGCTATGTTGAGCTTCGTCTATTGGCATCGGTTCTCAATGACATGCTGGCAGCCGTGACGCTCGCTGATCAGAAGGGAACAGGCACCGTCCCTGTTGTGCGTCGAAGAAAACTAACTCCGGCAGAAGTGATTGGTGTGAAGAGAATCGTCGCCCATTGGGTTGAAGAGGAATCATCCGGGGAGGAATCGTTGGCGTTTGACCTTGGAGGTTTTGTCGACCTCCACGAAGTTTTGACCATTGTTGTTTTGGCCTTGAGTTCAGCGCGGCGTCGCAATCCTGTCAAGAGCCCCATTGCTCCGAGGATGAGTCGATTCGATGTTGACGACGCTGAATTCCAAGACAATGTGGTGGCTTCGAAAGAACGGTCCTTGAAGGAGAATATCCAGCCTGCTTCATACGCAGAGCGAGCTCGTTTAATTATGCGGATGGATCCGTCTGAAGCAGAGAGCATGGTGGATTTGGGTAAAAATGTGGATTTTGGACCCCTGTCACCACCACCAGCAGAAATGTCCAAGCCCTTACAGCCTTCTCCGAAGGGTTCCAACGGTTCAGCGATGCGGAAAGAACCCGTGCGTATACCAGACACGGTGTACCATGGATCCGATGGGAAGCTCAAGAAGGTGAATCAACATGTGTCAGACCTGCCCAATAAAGCGGCCTTAGCAAAGGAACTTTATCATGGCTTTTTAGAGGGGAGGACATGCGGGGAAGAAAGTTTGATTGGAGATTCTCCATACCTGCATTACGCTTCGGTTACACCACCACCTCCTCCGTCTGTTCCCTGTCTTTCACCGAAACATTTGCCGGGAGACCCTCTTGTTATTGATTTGGACCACGTTCATCTCCCATCAACGAGCATTCAGCTTTTACCCCAGTCGACAATGGCCGAGGAAACAGGGAAGCGTCGTGCAGACTCCCACGAGACGGATAGTAAGATACAGCCACAGCAGTACTTTGCTGCTCTGGCTGCCATAGACGCTGAACTGCAGAGGCGCCGGGAGTTCCTCAATTCCACCGTTGCATTTGGCCTCACCACACGCGACACACCGTTTGACTCCGATTTGCCGCTGCAGTCTTTTACAACCGACTTGCCGCTTCAGGAAGGTGAAGCAGCGACGAAGACCCCTGGACCTGAAATTACTTCCAATAATCTGGAAAATGCTACGCAAGAGTCTTCATGGTACGCTGAGAAGACTCATCTTGAAGAGGAATTGGGGTCAACTCAACCACCGGCACACGCTAGTACATTCAGTAACGTCATTTCACCCTCATTTACCGTCCAAAATGGACCCACATCCATAATGTTGCCGTCCAAGCACCGGGCCCCGGAGAAGCCTCAGGAGTGGTCGGAAAAAGAAGATGGCCGAGCCACCAAAACTGATTTTGAAATGTTGACTCTGGAGGAGAAAAATTTGTTGGCGGATCTCCAACGAGCATTGAGTCAACAAAAATAAATTTTCTTTCCACACCCTTTTTTTGAATTGCGGTGAGTGAATTAATGAAGGGTGAAATTTTATATGCTGCGCCTGTCATGATGCGGCTGCTTTTTTTCTTTTGTATTGCTTTGGGTAAGGCTTTAATGGGGGAGAGTGTGTGAGAGTGTGAGAAGGAAAGATTAATTTAGATGGTAGAAGAATGTTACGTGGAGTGCCTTGACAAGCTGATTTTATAGTGAACTGTAACACATCAAGAAGATATCGGATGCCGTGTTGGTATTTGACCCTGGCTTGTATTTCCGCTTTATTTTATTTGTTTTATTTATTTATTTATTTGACATTTTTTTTTTTCTTAGTGACTCAAAATCAAATTTCTTTCTTTTTGAAATGGACGCACATGTAATTGCGTAAACACACTCTAATGGTAATACCACTTCCCCCAATAACAGTAATAATATCAATATTAATCATCATTATTATGGGTGACAGTGCTACTGATAATAAGTTCTCTCTTTTTCCCTCTTGTATTTTTTTTTTTTTTTTTTTTAAGGGACTTTGGATTCACCAATGGCGAGCGGCCGTTGTGCTCACTCAATAAGATATCGCAAAAGAGAGCCCTTCTCACAATTCGTGCACTGCCGATGACGACACACTGAAAAGGCGAAAAAGTAAGGGAAAGATTCTGTCGATCTGTTCAATGGATTCTTTTCTTTCGAATCGCGGCATGATCGAAAAAAAGATGGTATTGGCTACGCAAGAGAGGGCTCGTGCGGCACACCATTGTTTTTTTTCTTTCCGGCATTTCTCAATCTTCGCTGTCTCTTTTATTTACTGATTCATCCACTTTTTTTTCCCCCTGGGGCGCCATAAATTGCGGGGATGCATGGTGGAATGCACTCCGGGTGTTGGCTGACTGGTTGTTGCCGCTGGTGGTGGTAGTGGTGGCAGAGTGACGTATTGGGAGGAGGCGAGAGTGCGTATAACAGGGGAGGGGGGGCCGAGCGATGCGCCTGGCCGGGTGCGTTCCCCCATCACGGATGGCGGTGCGCATTTGGCTGTACATTCCCTAACCCTAAGCTTTTGAGTAGCGCCGTTGGCAAACGTCAACGGCGGCGTAGCCTGGTGTTGCTCGGTGTTTTTTCTCCTTTGTTGCACACAACCCTTCTCCTTCCTCGCCGTCACTCACAGGCCGTCAGCACTTGGCATCCTCCATAATTCTACGCAAGGCTTCTCGATTGCAGGGGGGGAAACTGTGAGTTGTGTCTTTTTCTCGACGTCGGTTCTGACAGTTGGGAAGAATGAAGGGAAGAAGCAAATTGAAAAAAAAAATGTTGGAACAATGGTGGCCGCACCCTCGACGTCTTCTCTGCTCCCTCCTTTGCTCCTGCACATTTGTCGGCTCTTTTGCTGCGACGCTTGCAGCGTGTCGTTTCTTCTTTTTCCGGCCACTTTACAGCCACCTTAGAAGGAGTGATATGTTGCTTAGTGAGGCGGTGAAAGATGACAGAACAGCGTGGGCTTCGGGTGGGTGACTGTGCCATCGTTGTTTCTTGCACTTTCCATGACTGAGGTAGTTGCCATCCGATCATATTCCTTTCTTCCCTCCTCCTTTCTTTCTCTTGGTTCAGTCTTTACATGCCAGGGGCGTACACCGCTGCACCCCAAAAGGTCTAGTGAAACTATTCACAGCAGCCTTGGCGCGTTTTTTTATTTTATTTTTATTTCTGTCCCCAATGTTTTTTTTTTCTTTAATTTGAAGGTTAAACAGACAGACCATCGCCCAAAACAGGATGAAGCGTGGTTTGAGAAAATCCAAAGGGGATGACGAAAAAAATGATGGTCAACGTCTGCCACAACGCAGATTGAACGATAGTTCTCAATTCTTACATGTTCCTCCCCAAAACTTGCCTGGTTTTTGTGGTGCCGATGAGGCGGGCCCCAATGGTCAGAGTTTATCGTGTGAATTGTTCGCAAAATTTTTAAATCATGCGAATAGCGGTGGGGCAGAGAGGCATCATTCCAATTCACCGAAAAGCCAAGTACTCCTCGAAGAGAGCTTCACCGGCAAAATTGCTGATGGTGGCGAGAAACAGGTTATGGTTGAACTTTTTTCATCTGCCGAGACAAGCGTGAAAGAACTCGGAAGGAATGTTCACAAGGATGAAGGACTGAAGCTTCATTCGCCTTTATTTTTGCCCGCTTTTGGGACTAACTTTGCGGGTCTGCCGGCCAATAAAAAGAAGCCTCATTGCCGACGCGGTGCCCTTGTTTGGGTTTCGGAGCTCAGCAGTAGTTTTAATTCCCGTGAAGAAATCCGGACACCTCTGAGGGAATCAAAAATGGGGTGTATACCCGATAAAGAGAGTGGGAATATTGAGGGGGAAGAAGTTTTCTTGGGGGCGGCGTCACAGCAACGATCGTGGGAGAAGCAAACTTCCGGAGTCCCTGGTTTCCACTTGACTCCGTTGGTCGAGGATGCAGAACGAGGAAAAAAATTTTTTGACGCCTTTAATGAATTAAGCGGTGACGGTGAGCGTCTGGCACTTCTTCACTTCTTGTGGAACAAATACTTTCAGCCATTGGAGCGCCGTCGCTCTTACACGGCCGATAATTGGGATGAGCTCAGAAAAATAGGACAGACTGAAAGCTCTTGTGGCTTTGAAGTCGATCGAGAGCGGCTTTGCGTTTACATCACTATACTACGGCGAAAGTACCGTTGTTTCCCATGCTCTTTTCTACTCCGCGCAGTATATATTATTTTGTTTTGGGGAGCCATTTATTTTTGTTCGCCTTCTGCATTTTCTCATGGGGGTCTTTACTTTGATACCATTACCACCATTCTTTTTGCAGGCATCCTGGGTGGCATTATCTCACGGTTGATTTTTGTACCTTCACTTGTGTGTATTATTGCGGCTGGCATTTTGTATGGAAACATCCCTAGAAGGGCGTATTTAACCTCAGGTATCTCAATGGGAATGAGTTCCTTTGTCAATGTATTTGGAATGGCGGTGGGGGTTATTCGTGCTGGGCTTTCGATGAATGCCCAAACACTCAAAAAGCAGTTATTCCCATATCTTCTTTTTGGCACGCTGCCACTACTTTCTGAGGCGTTGGTACACGGTTTTTTGTGTAAGATGGTGCTTAACTACCCGAATTTTAATTGGGCCATGCTACAGGGGTTTATCGTCTCCTCTGCCGCGCCAGGCGTAATGGCGCCGGCTCTGATGGAGTTGCAAAACAAGGGGTATGGCACAAAGGACGGCCCAGGGATGCTACTGCTTACGTCAATCGTGATTGAAGCTTCGCTGTGCATGCTTGTTATTCAGCTAATTGTAGCTTTGGAGTTTAGCACAGTGAATACTAGATTTGCCATTATTGCATTTCCCTTGCAGATTATTATTGGCTTAACAGGTGGAGTGTTTTTTGGTATTTTTGTTTTTTATGCCGTATTTTATGTGCTTTTTATGGAGGGAGAAAGAATTGCGTTGGAGAATGGAATTTTCTAAGTGTATGACCATGCGGCATGCGGCACATGTCCATCATCGATGTGTTGTTCTTCTTTTATTAATTAATTTGGCAATTATTTCTGCTTGTCGTTATGTATCGTGTGTGGGTGGGGGTATATTTATGTCACTGGTACTGAATGTTACATTTAACACGATGTGTATGCAGAGAGGAATACGCGATCACATGGAAGTGAGAAGCGAAGTTTTGCAGTCCTTTGCGAAGTTGTGGGACTACGTCGCGATGCCGGCAATGTTTGCACTTGCCGGAGCCGGCATCAATGTCCACGATATCTTTGACCGAAGGTATATTTTCCAATCCATCGCCATCATAATTGCCGGCATGGGGGCTCGCTTTATTTTTGCTACACTGACTCCTTTTTTGACGCGTATGGGCTTTTCGTGGAAGGAGCTGCTTTTTTGCGGCATCGGATTTCTGGGGAAAGGCTCGGTGCAGGGCGCAATGGGCACGGTCGCGCTGATTTATGCAACTGAGAAGTTAGGTGAGGCCAAATCACCTGAAGAAATTGCCGTGGCGCAGAAGCAATTGGAATACGCATCTTTGGTAAGAAATGCGGCCGTGCTTTCCACGATGATTGCTTGTCCGATTTGCTCCATCTTCCTTTATCATTTTGGCGAGAAGCTGCTGAAGCGTGACGCCGAGGATTTGGATATTGTAACGATGAACAGGACTTAAGCAAACACGAGAATAAAAACAAAAGTAAATTTTTACATGTGAAAAAATGGTCTTTTCTTTTTTTTTTTTTTTTTTTCCTTTTTTTTAGAGGATTTTCTTGCGCCGCCATTGGCCTTCTGTTTTTTTGGAAACATATTTCTATATTTATATCGTTTTTCGTTTTTTCTGAATAAAATTCATGAGCTGCGCACTACGGTACGCTAACATTCCCCCCCCCCCCCCTTCTTCTCAGACCTCATGGCGTTACAAATTTTCCCCGGCAATACCGTGCAACCGGCCCTGGCGCTTCAGGACGAGGCAACCCAAGGCATTGCCGGGGGGAGGACGGCAAAAGAAGAACGGATGGAGAAAATTTATTTAACATGACTTGTCTATGTCGATATTATAAGAATTATGTATATGCGTGGCTGCGTATCCATGTTTTTCTTTAATTTTATTAAAGGGAGCATTCCTTTTGCCGTTCTATCACATTGTGCCGAAGCACTTCTTATGCTTCTCGTTTTGTACTCATTTTTATTGTCTCTGTGATGCCTTCACTCTCTTTCTGTCTGTCTTTTTGCCGAAGAAACGATGGGGAAAAACGAGACTGACACGGATGTTCTGACAAGTAACGTTGAAGTTGGATCCGTCTTGTCGCAATGCGCGGAGTCACGAGTGCATGAGTGTAACTTTTACGGTTATCGCGCCGTCTGCAAGCACCGTTTTCCCAAAGCGTACCGTCATCCTGCTTTAGATCAACGCCTCCGGGAGCAGCGGACTGTCCGGGAGGGTCGAGCACTTGCACGCTGCCTCAAAAACGGAGTCTTGGCCCCAACCGTTTTTGCTGTTGACCGTGAACGGTGCGCAATTGTCATGGAGCGCATTGACGGTCTCACCGTACGCGAGATATTCAATCACGAGCAAGGAAATGTTGCACAAGGGAAGACGGACGTGTCTTTTCTTGTCTCGTTCCTCTTAAGGGGAATGGGGGAGGTGGTTGGCCTCCTGCATAACGCAGACATCATTCACGGCGATCTCACAACATCGAATTTCATGTGCAAACGAAATTTTTTGGAGCGACGACTGTCTACGGAAAATTTGGCGTCAAACACCTCTTCTCGCGATAGCATTGTTGTTTTAGATTTTGGACTTGTGATGGACAAGAATAGTGCGGAGGAGCGTGCCGTCGACCTGTACGTTCTTGAGCGTGCGCTGAAGTCCTCGCATCCATTTCTGGAGCACGTGGCCACTAGACTGGTCCTGGAGGGCTACCACCGCACCGTGGATCCGCAGAAGGGTTCCGTCACCATGGCGCGTCTGGAAGCAGTGCGGGCACGTGGCCGTAAACGGAGCATGATTGGCTAGCACGGAGGCCCAAACGACGGTAATCCCCACGTCTAAGCCCCTGGGTATATATATACTTTTTATTTTGTATCGTTGTTTTTTTTTTTTTTTTCCCAGCACCGTCTCTCTTCCTGTCTGACGAAGGGAGAGCGAGAAGTCTACACTTACCTTTCCTTTATATTTCTTGTGTTCCGACTTACCTTCCCACTGGCTGCGTGTTGGGCGTGCACCTTTCTTTCATGCCGTCCCCACCACTTCTATCGATGGTACCGGGAGGCAAAAAGCAAACAAGTTAAACAAAAGGGAAGGGAAGGGGAGCACAAGACGAGGTCACGGCACGAAATGCGGGGCGGCACGCCGGCTGGACGGGCGGACGCTCCGATGCCGCGGAGGCCCCGGCCACTGCCATTTCTGCATCCCGCCTCTGCCACGAGTACGACGAGGAGGAGGGAGATATCACCCAAGCAACGAAGCCAGATGCAACCGGGCTCTCCAATAGATGGTAAAGCGTCGCACCCGAAGGCAATAGTATTCCAGCGAATACACGCACCCATGGTGGAAAAAACAACATTGCCGGAAGAAAATTTGCGCGCGCTACGTCAGACACGTAATTTATTTCTTTGTTGTCGTGGTCTTTTATCATTTAGTCAAATACGCTACTTGGAGCACATGACTCAACTGTCGTCTCTTAACGTTCATATGAACGCCATTTCACGTATTGAGTGTCTGGGGCATTTGCATCACCTTGCGGAGCTTGACGTGAGTGCCAACGAATTGCGTGCCGTGGATGAGGATGCGTTTAAAGGACTTTACCATCTGAAGCGTCTCAACTTGTCAAGTAATTTCTTGACGGTTGTCAATGGTTTTCAGCACCTTCCCGCATTAGAGTGGCTTTCACTCAGCTTCAATGAGCTTGAAGATGTGAGGGGGCTCCGTCGGCTACCATGCCCACAGCAACTAGTTCACCTTGACGTTTGCGGAAACAAACTATCGTCCTTGGCGGAATTGGAGAATGCTCTCGAGAATTGTCGGGATCTTCAGGACCTTCGCGTGGAAATACCAAAGACGGCGTTGGTTTTGCCGACGGCACCCCCTCAACTGCATCTGCGTGAAAACCCTTTTTGTGTCACGGAACTTACCTACGCGGAGCGACTCCTTCAGCGATTTCAACGACTTGTCGTGTTGAATGGTGTGTCGTGCGGCTACGATCCCACAGCAGAAACACGACTAAGGGGGCAAAGTACGGCAAATATAGGGGACTCTCATGGAGAGCCATGCTGGCATCCACTTGATGTCACTTCTCCCGCGCTTGTTAGCTCACACATCACTTCGCCGCAGCAGCGTCCCGAAGCCACCCCCTGTGATGCTGTTGTAACTGATATTTCTTTGGGGAATGCGTCTTGCAGGGTTGAAAACGTGACATCTGGTTCGACCTCCACGACGGGCGCGAGCAGCAGCGAGAGGTCCGGTAACAGCAATATAAAAAAAAACATATCAGAGAGTCATTCTTCCCATTCTCCTTCCCTGGTATGGCGCGCAAAGCGTGTATCACGCTCCGTGATTACAAAAGTATCTATTCCTCTTCACAAGGAGCTTCACGTGTCAAGTGTTGAGGACGGAGTTTTTCAAGAGGAACTTCAGGCCAAGGATGAACTCATTGAGCATCTTGAGTTGAAATTTAAGCGTTCCCAAGAACAACTATCGCTTCGTGTGGCCCTGGAAGAAGATCTTCGCCGTAACTTTGAAGATGTGCGGCGGTCTCACGTTGCCCTTGTAGATTCAACCACCTGCGAAAAGAAACGCCTCTGCCGTCAGGTGGCAGCTCTAAAGGACGAGCTTTCACGGCGCTCTGAGGAGGCCGTGATTCTTCAGCGGAAAAATCGGGTTGAACTGGAAGAGCAAACGAAGACTTTGCGCGAATGTTTGCTTCGGCAGAAGAAGGATTCTGCTGCGGCGATGAATCGACTGGAGGAGGAGCTTGCACGGACACGTGGGGGGGCGAATAACGAAATCAGGGAACTGAAGACGCGTCTTGAGGAAGCTGCTCAGCGGAATGAATGGCTGGAGCAGCAGAATGAAAAGACACAAATTCAGATGAAGAAATGGCGGAATGAGTCAAATAACAACAAGATGGCACTAGTGGCTTGCGAAACGCAATTGCATTTTATTGACAGTCGGGGTTGTCTGCAGTTAGAAGAATCTTTGGTACGACGTCAGTTGGAGTGCGCCGCATGGAGCGGTCTTGTAACTGCCACAGCCACTCAACTGCATCTTTTACGGTCTGAGAATGAGTTTCTTGTGCTCTGCAGAGAGAATCATCAGAAGGCGTGGGAGGAATACGCCACCTCGTTACAGCAGCATTACCGGGAGGCCTTACTGCAGTCACAGGCGAGAAGAAAATTACCGTCAACGAGAGTCGATGTCGGCTGTGATCCCATCGGTGACTACGTTCAGCAGCAGGCTGTGGATGAGGAAGAGATGCGGCGCGTGCAGACCGCTCTGTCTCTCTCTCGTCAGTCGGAGCATTTATTGTTTGTTGAAAATGAGCGTCTCTTGAAGTGTGTGGCGGACAAGGAACGCGAACTGGCGGAAGCGTCGCAACAGCTTCAGCAGTCTGAAGCAATGGCAGGAAAGGTGAGGGATGAGCTGGAGCGTGAGCGTGACAACCTTATTCGCACCCTCCATAACCTGCGCGAGTCGATTCAAAAGAAGGATGCAGAGTTTGATGAGATGGAAACGGAGGCAAAACTGAAGATTGACGAGAAGCGTTCCACCATCGCTAGGCTGGAGTCACTCCTGGAAGATGCGGAGGAAGAGGCAGCCAACCATCGCCGTGAGGCCGCAAAGCTTCGCGACGTGCAAGATGAGCTAAAGCGTGTTAGTGCAGAGCTTTACGCGGTGAAGCAGGAACGCATGGAGTCCGCGGCGGCAGCGGAACGCGCCCCGCATCCTCAGCTGACGGAAATTGTAGCGGCGCTGGAGGAAACAAAGGAAAAACTTGCTTCTTCTGTGATGCGGGAGCATCAACAATCTTTGAAGCTGACGCGGGCTGCGGAAGCCCTGACACTTCTTCGTGGACAACTTGTGCGGGTGGATGAGGATAATTCTCATCTCCGAAAGGTGCTTGATGAGAAGATGGCATTGCTAAGTGCAGCAGAGGCAGAGAAGGAACGGTTGCAGGCGCATTGGCGGGAATCGCAGGAAGCCGTGCGAGTTCGACAACGTGCAACACTGCAGGCAATTTCTCAGATTATGGTGGGGGATGGTGACGGTGGCGTCTGATCTGTGCGTTTTTTGTGGGATGTCACGGACGAGTGTGATGTCTCCTTTTGTTTTTCTTTTTGTTGTTATCTTCCGTCGTAGTTTATTTCTGTGTGATGTTTCTGTGAATTTTTTTGGCTATTCCATAGAAAGAGGGAAAGAGGCGCATAGAACACACATACTTGGGAGCAGTTGGGAGCTACATATATATATATATATATGTATTGTTTTTGCTTCTGCCATTATTTTCATTTGGGTGGTCTCCAAAAAGAACCACAAGAGCGGGGGTTTCTTTGCCTTGCCTTCATGCAGCGTTGTTTTGTTCGAAACGTAGCCGTCCCTGGATCTCCCTTTTTTTTTTTTTTTTTTTTTTTTGTGTGTGTGTGTGTGTGTTGTATTGTCACTACCATTTGTATAAATGATAATAAATGGGTGGTTAATTGCATTTGTGAATTTACATTTCTTTTATTTATTTTTGTTGGTGCTTTTTTCTTCCCGTACGGCCTTTCCCCCCCAATTGTCTCCCTGTGGCGTGGTGGCAGCAACGGAGAGAGAAGGGGGAAGGGGTGTTTTTCTCTTGGCATTTTTATTATTAAAGATTTCAATTGGGGGAATGCGGCGGTTCATCGCTGCTGGTGGTTGTAGCGGTGCGCTCTCGAGTAGTCCTACCGTTTTGGTTTTGGGCGCGAACTCACCTTCAGGTGCCACATTGGCATTAATGATGGCGGCTAGAGGACGTTTTTACAGACCGCTCGTGAATCAGGGCATTAATCTCTGGCGCTACCGCATGGGCCGCATCCACAAGGGCTGGTGCACGTGGGAGTACCAACACACACGGCCGGACCCGCGGCCATTCCCGGATCCCCCCGTCAACGACTACTTTGGCCGGTCCCGCCTCTGGAATCCCATCCCCGGTAAGATGGGGTACGTGAACAAGAAGGCAGAGGAGTGGGGGTGGCCGCATCAACGCCCGCCACCGACTGGACTGCGGCGATCACAAGAGTACTTTCCCTTTTTTTTTGCGCGGTACTTTCCTGACGCAGAGGTGAGACTTGTTCTGGACAGTGTTCTCAACAACGAGACAACTCACCCGGTGTTTTACATCCCGAATGACATGTCGAGAGCAGAGCTTGTAAACTATCTCAAGAACATCTATGGTGTAGAAAATGTTGTGAGAATTAAAGTTCGAAACGCGCGAGGTCGTCGATACAAGAACGAGTTGGGTGAGATCAAAACGATGGATGACTACAAAATTGCCATTGTCGAGTTAGATTCTCCCGTCTCTGTGGAGTTCAAGCAAATCAAGGGAACTGAAGACACTCCCGACAACAGGCCGCAGGCGCAGATTAGCGGATAAAACGAAGCAAGAGTGCTTTGTGCAACTTCGGTATACAAAGTGGCTGCCCCAGGAGGCGGAAGGGTACGCGTCTTTTATTATTATTATGTATATTTGTTTATTTGTGCGTCTGTCTGCGTGTATTTTCCTTTCCCATTTATTTGGTTTGCACAAATTTTTTTAACTAGAATATATATATATATATATTTCTTCTGCCTGCTCCAGGATACTTTCTCTGGGTTGGTTGTCTGTGCATGGACGGGGACGCACAGGCATCTGTTTCCCGAGGAAATGACTGCGAGATGACATCGGGCACTGGCCCGAATTCTGCTGGCGATGTGGCCTGTTGGAGCACATGCGCCGTGTTGACGGAGCGGCTTCGTCTGTTACAACTGCGCGGGAAATTTCTGGACACTCGCCTGGTTGAGCTCAAGAGAGAATGTGACACGGTGGGCCGCGGTGAGCCAGAGAACACCTGGGACAGCAAAGGCCTTTCCACCTCGACACAGGACGATGACGTAAAATCCTGGGGTGTGGCCCACCTTGGGGAACGCCCGTTCTCCTCCTATCCTCCATACTCGTTTGTTCGTGTGAAGACCGACACTTCTTTTTCTTCCGTAAATGGTAGCAATCCTCAGCAGGTCACCCGATTTCAAGAGGCCAACTGCTGTTTATTCAACGCTACTCCAGCTGGGCACAGCAAGGCGCGCGACATGGGTCATTCGCCATCCCCGTCCCTAATCATTGTGGAGGTTATGGATACTGGTGATGCCGCGCCACGCCCAGCCCCACGGGGCATCGTCGCTTCTGTCACAGAGGAGACAGAGCCGCTCACCCAAACTTTATTGGATGAGACCATCGCTACACATCAACTGAAAAGTGACGGCAATATGCACACTGAGCGGCAGGAGCAAATCTCTTTCCTTATGGACCAGATTCAGCAGATCAATGTGCCGGCTCGGCTCGCATCGCCAGCAGCCAATTTGTTTAAGCGGATTCATGAAGGGCTCTGCAACCAGGGGAATTCAGAGACTGAGAGTGTTGTTTTGAATGCAAATGACACGCATACGGTAGAGTCTGAGGGAGTGGGGGTGATATCTGCAGCCATGGACAGTGGGCAGGATCAGCCGCCACCGCTTCCAAATGCGGTATCATCTGTAGAGAATGGGGATGTCGCTGTTATTCCGGCAGAAGTCCGAACAACATGTAACACTGCGAATATTTCTCAAAAAAACAACTTCTCTTCAATATTGTCATCAGTGTCAATGCCACAAGTGCTTCCAGATTTGTTTTCTTTAGAATCCAAGCCTGTGGTTTCAATTTGTGCGGAAAAATCCTATCACGAAGCTTCCCTGTCCGCTGTGGGTTATGAAGAAGAGGCACGGGTGATGCTTCAGAGGGGAGAATGGAAAGAAGCGAGGGACAAGAAAGGTAGGGTCTACTACTACCATCCCAAGGAAAAAAAGTCGTGTTGGAATTTGGCTAAAGAGCTACAACTTTTAGCGAAGGCGAATGGGGAAACTGACAAGGATGCTTTAGAGAGATAAGAAATGCGTGAGATACATACATGTGCTTTGCCATTTGCAATTTTTTCTGGATATCGATTTCTGGTTTTTCTTTTTTGCCTCTGTGATATTGAAGAAGAAAATGAAATTTGGGCATGGGAAGATTTTTTCTGGCTTTTTTTTTTTTGGGTTTGTTGCCATGATTTTTTATTTTTATTTTTAACTTTCTTCCTTCATGTAAGCCTGCGTACACACATTTATTTACATATCTTTTTTTTCCACTCTCTCTGTAACATTTTTCTCAAGAGTAGCTCAGTGAGCATTTTACATCTTTCTAAAAGGGAATTAATTTATTAACAACACACAATGTCGTACAAGCCGCATCACGCCACCGTACCGACCAACCCGAAGGTCTTCTTCGACGTCAGCATTGGTGGCCAATCAGCCGGACGTGTTGTCTTCGAGCTCTTCGCCGACGCCGTTCCCAAGACGGCTGAGAACTTCCGGGCACTTTGCACCGGTGAGAAGAACTTTGGCTACGCTGGAAGCGGCTTTCATCGCATTATCCCCCAGTTCATGTGCCAGGGGGGTGACTTCACCAATCACAACGGCACTGGCGGCAGGTCTATCTACGGTGAGAAATTTGCCGACGAGTCCTTTGCTGGCAAGGCTGGCAAGCACTTCGGCCTCGGTACGCTTTCCATGGCGAATGCTGGCCCAAATACTAACGGCTCCCAGTTCTTTATTTGCACTGCACCCACACAGTGGCTTGACGGCAAGCATGTCGTCTTTGGCCAGGTGCTGGAAGGCATTGAAGTCGTTAAGGCAATGGAAGCCGTTGGCTCCCAGACGGGCAAGACGAGCAAGCCGGTGAAGATTGAGGCCTCTGGTCAACTTTAAACTGCTCTTCCGCGCAGAGCTTTGAATGGACAAATAACCGGAAAAGAAGGGTACGGGGAGGAGGGACCAAAATTAGATTAATACAAGAACCAGAAAAGAAAGGAAAAGGAAAGAAAAGAGAAAAAAGAAATAATATGAGAAAATGAGAATAACGAGGGTGTGAAAATCTGACTTAACAGATCCAGCCCGTGAGATGGCAATAAGGCAGGAGGCAAAGCGAGAAAAAGCGTGCTCTCACGCCTAAGAAAGAGGGAAGAAGAGAGGAAGGTGGAGAAAAATTTCTTAAGGGTCTGAAAAAAGGGAGAGGGGGAAAAAAAAAAGATGAAGACAAAGGGAAAAAGGGGCTAAAACGCGGAAAAAAAAAAAGTACAGGAAGAAGTGGACTCATGTGCACCCAGGAGGAAAAAAAAAAAAAAGGGAATTGAATGGCCATGTACTTCTTGCCTAATTATTTTGCTGTTGGGTTTTTATTAAAATTCGGCGGGAAGGGTATAGTTTTACTTGACATGCAAGCAGTTTGTGTGGTTTTCTCTCATGAGAAGCGGTTGAGTGGGCATGTTAATTTTATTTGCCGTTCTTTTTTTTTTCCTTATTGCCTTAATTTTTCATGTGTAATGCATTATAGTTGTTTTTGGTTGCCTCTGAGGGCAGCATCGGTTTTTAAACTGCCACGGTAAGAGAGAAGGGATAAGAACAACATCCTCAGTGAACTGAGGGTGACCAGGGAAAAACGGGAAAGGGAAGACCACCAAAACAACACCCAAACGCAGTAAAAAAAAAAAAAAAAAGGGTAACAACAAAAACAACAAAGAAGGCCGATTTAGCACCCTTACACGGGAGGGAGACGTTTCCGAATGCAGAAGAAGAACGCGGCCGTGCGCACCTTTTGTAGAGGTCTTTTATTTTTGGATCATTGCCGTTGGGTGTACCACCACTCTTCAACACCGTCAAGAGCACCATCGCACACAAGCAACAAAGGGCTGTTATCCTCTCAGCTGCATTCCTTCTCCTCAGTCACCGATTCTTTTCTTCCAGTAACGGGGAAACCACTGCCCCACGATGTATCAGAATTCTTTATGGAACCCATTGGAACTTCTCAGCTCCGTCCTGTGGAATTTTGTTGTTGCAAAGAGAACGACGGGCTTGGAGTGTCAGAGGATGGACTAAACAAACTGTTGAATGCCTGCATTGATACCCCCTCGACAGCTTCATTCGAACATCTTATTGCTTCTACTACGGAAATTTACACGAAATATCCCTCTCGTCATTGGTTTTTGCACAGCCGAGCATTAGCAAACTACGGGGTTCAGTGCCTTGTTGATCAAAAGGCAAGTCAGGCAATTGGACTGATTCGGCAGGCTGCCTCAATTATCACATCTTTTGAGGGAGAAACAGCCGTGCTACATCTTCGTGTGGTTCTTGCAAATGCCTTGGCGTGTGAGGGAAAATGTTTTGAGGCGTTGTGTGAGTATGAGCAAGCACTTGGGGTGATGCGGAATTACCCGCTGGAGTCATCTTTAACTCAGGTTGTTTCGGGAAAGGAGTCTTGCATTTTTCTTAGTCGCAGTTATGTTTTAGAAGACTTCGACCGTTTCTTGGCCAACGAAGAGATGGTGCAGAGTGCGCTGAACCAGGGTAAACAAGAGTTGGAGTCCTGTTCGAACAAGGCTGAGAAGGTGCGCATCACTTGGATATTGGCCCGCCTAAATCGTCGAATTGGAGAAAAAGATGCGAGTCTGCTTCTTTATACATCCTCTTTACGCACTCTACTCGATACGCCAGATGTTGAAATGGAAATAAGGGTGATGCATGATATTGGCCTCCTGTTATGCTTTGAGACGTTTGATGTCGCGCAAGGGTTACCCTATCTTCAAGCAGCGGCAGAGATGTCCTTTGATACCGCACTGGGGAAATTAGAAGAGTTGAGACAGCAAAACTCGACAACAGGCCGGAAGAATTACTCACAACATGAAATGCTTCCTGTGCGTCGCGCCATCTTTACATTGCTTGACGCAGCGGTGTGTCTCGCAGAAAATGAGGACTTGGGAAAGGCGTTGGGTTTATTCGAAGAGAGTATCGCCTTGATGAATGAATGTGGAATGCATAAGCACTCGGCCTGGGCACGCATGAAATACGCGGATGCCCTTACCCAAGCTTCACTCATCGACAAAGCTATCCGTGTTTATCTTGAGACCATGGACATAATTCAATCCATGGAACACGAGGATGAAAACCTTCAGGTGGCATGTATGGGCATGATAGTTCCAGTAACAGTGGCAGAGGTAGAGGGACGTCTTGCGCATTGCTTTCAGATGCATGTGGGTGAGTATCGGCGTGCCTGCATACACTTTTGTTTGGCGATTCGTCGTTGTGGGGTGCACGTACGCTCTCCATTTAGAGCTTTTGAAGAAAAGCATGCAGTTTCTTTGGAAGAGGTGGATTCAGAGACACTTTGCTGGATGCTGGAAAACTATGCTAGCTGTTGTGAACGTGTTGGACGCAAAGATATTGCGGAGGAGGTTTTAGAACGTCGAGTGAGCGTGGAAAAAGCTCTTGGAGGATCTTGTGCCTCGGCATTACTGCGCCTTGCGCAGCTGCACGGGGCGGAAAATGCGGCCAAGGCTGTAGAACTTTATATTCAACTTCTTACTTTACCAGAGGATGGGATTGAACCGGATGTCTTGTTACAATCCGCATACGGATTTGCCAGCGTTTGTTATGGGTCCAAGGACGAGGAACTGGAGGTGGCACTTGCCAAGGTGACCGCAATGTCTTGTGGAGAAAAGAAAATAAACTCTGTCGGTGATGTATCTTGCGATGGACCTGTCTCTCAAAATCCTAATGGCATTGTTATTTCATCCTTTAAACGGTCCGCTAAAGTTATTATGGCTTCTCATGCTGTGGAAAGGACGAGATCCAATGGCAGCAGCGAGGATGAATTGAAGGCTCTCATGACACTTAGTCGAGGTGGATTTTTTTGTCAACGACGTGGGGACGAGGCAGGGGCGGAGGAACTCTACAGTCTTGCCGTTGAATACACACTAATGGCAAACGTTCATAATGAGGAATACGCCCGTGAACTTGCCATTATGCTAGCAAATTACGCTACGGTCATGGCCCACAAAGACATGCAAAAGGCCCAGGAACTCTACAATCGAGCTGTTGAAATTTGTCCGACAGAGGAAAATGTCTCAGCCGCTGCCGCTTCCTTCTTTGTGTTGACAGCAAACTACGCTGCTGGTCGGGCATGTATTCAGCGAATGATTGATGCAGTCACAGATCGAGTGGTCATTTCTCGGTTATATGGCAAAATAGCCTGGCTTGGTGTGGTTTGTTGGGATGAGCTGGCGCTAAGTGTGCGCCAGGAGTGTCTCCAACATTTGCTTTTTGCCTTGGGTTTGGAGCCAAACAATTTTTTTTTGACTCTCACGGATTGCCATGTGACTCCATTAGGAGGTTCCGTGAGTGTGGAATTTAAGCAAGACCTTCTTAGTGGTATATCTTCATCACCCGATCCAGATACAGTGAGCCTTGCTTGTTACGTAGCACAGACCAAATTGCCTCATGACGCAAAGTTCATCAACACCTGCTACAAGACGGCTGTAATGCGCTTTTCGTACAGCACAACTTTGCTTGTGAATTATGCCAAGTTCTGTGCCGATTATGGTGCAGGCACGCTTGCCCGAAAGTATTATGCAGCGGCATTCTGTTACTGTCACAAGGATCCTCGCAGTAACGAGTGTTATGCAGATTATCTTGCCTTTTTGAACAGAGGGGAGCAACAGCATGTGCCACTGCAACAAGAGCAAATTGTTGCCGGTGAGAGTCTTGCGCGGTACCAAGTGGAGCGAAGTACTTGTGATATGAGCAGACATGTTCGCGGACAGACTCTTACTCTTTATGGGAAATACCTTGCGACTTTTATGCCATCGCCAAGCGTTCCTGCTTTACTTTTTGAAGAAGCTTTAAGACGAAATGCAGCAGATTCCCGCGCCACTGCCCTTTACGGTTCTTTCTTGTGGAATGTTTGTGTTCGTGCACTCGACGCGAACTGCACTTCTGACGTGAAGGAAAAGATTGCGGTGAAGGTGGAGACCTTGTATCGGGAGGGATTAAGGCACCAACCCCAGAATGTCCTTCTGTTAACTTCCCTGGGTGCTTTTTATGTAAGTATGGGAAATCGATTTGACGATGCTGTATGTGTTCTAGATCAGGCGCGCAAGCTAAGCCCGCATAATGTGGTGGTGAATCGGCTTTTGTGCGCCGCGTTTCATGAGGAGTGGATGGAGGAAGAAAAGAGAATGACCGCAAAATCGAATGCACGTTTGCAAAGCTTGCTGGAGACCACGCGTCAACTGTATGAAGTAGCCGTCCAGCTGGATCCGTCTGACCGGCTGACTTTGACACGGTATTGCCAATTTGCTCTTCACGGGCTTCAGAACGCAGCTCTCGCGGCTGAACTAATGCAGCGATTGCGAGGGCTTCCAAAAGCATAGCACGTGCTAATGCCGTGGATGTGCGCGTGTTTGCCGTATTTTTTTTTTTTTCGCGAGTTGCTCTCTCTCGCTCTCTGCGTATGTGTGTGTGTGTGTATTTATGGGGATTGTGTATGTTTTTTTTTTTTTTTTTTTTTTGTTATGAAATGCTGTAAATCTGGACTGCAACGTGTTGTGGGTGCCATTTTGACGGCGCTTCCATTCTTTTGTCATGCGCACTGCAGCGCCTATCTGTAAATTTGCTTGTCGTGCTGAATTCTTGTACGACGGCAGAATTTGTTTTTTTTTTTTTTATTCCCGCCCACCGTTGGTGCATAACGTTCTTTTTTTTTTTTTTTTCTTTGCTTCTTGCCTGCGGAACGCGAACACACACGGCAGCAACACGAACGGAAAACGAATATATAAAAAAAAAAAAAAAAAGAAAAGACAGAGAATTCATCATTGAAATTGACCGCAAGAAATTAAAAAAGCCAAGGAATTATCTTTTTGTTGATCGAGTTGTGCTAAAAATATTTTTATTTATCCGTACCTGTACATACATATATATATATATAAGGAAGGGGAGGCAAGAGGGAAATCCAAGCAAGGAAGGAAACACACAAGAAAAACAAATACAGAAAAAAGGGAAAGGAATAAACCCACAGGGAGGGAGTGTGCATTTACATTTACAGGAGAAACACACGGAAACGATGATGCAGAAAATCAAGGTGGCGGGCACCGTTGTGGAGCTGGATGGGGATGAGATGACCCGCGTGATTTGGAAAATGATCAAGGAAGAGCTTATTTTTCCGTTTCTTGATGTCCCCATTGAGTACTATGATCTTGGTATGGAGAATCGTGACAAAACGGACGATCAGGTCACTGTTGATGCCGCACATGCCATTAAAAAGCACGGTGTGGGTGTGAAATGCGCAACGATCACACCAGACGAGGCTCGTGTAAGGGAGTTCAACTTGAAGCAGATGTGGAAAAGTCCGAACGGAACAATCCGGAATATTTTGGGCGGGACAGTTTTTCGCGAACCCATCATGTGCAAAAACGTTCCACGTTTGGTGACAACTTGGAAGCATCCCATTGTGATTGGACGCCATGCCTTTGGGGATCAATACAGGGCGACAGACTTGGTTGTAAACGGGCCGGGAACGTTTGAAATTCACTTTGTCCCCGAAAGTGGCGGTGCGGCGCAGGTGCAGAAGGTGTTTGATTTTAAATCCGGTGGTGTTTTGATGGGCATGTACAACACGGATGAAAGCATTAAAGACTTCGCAAAGAGTTGCTTTGAGTACGCACTCTCCAAGAAATGGCCATTGTATCTCTCCACGAAAAACACTATTTTGAAACGTTACGACGGCCGATTCAAAGATATTTTTGCGGAAATGTACAAAGCGTCCTACGAGGCGGACTACAAGAAAGCTGGCATTTGGTATGAACATCGTCTTATTGATGACATGGTTGCTTACGCCATGAAAAGTGAGGGTGGTTACGTATGGGCTTGCAAGAACTACGATGGTGACGTCCAATCCGACAGTGTTGCTCAGGGATTTGGTTCTCTTGGGCTCATGACGTCGGTTCTCATGTCTCCGGATGGTCGAACCGTCGAGGCGGAGGCCGCGCACGGGACTGTGACTCGTCACTACCGCCAGCACCAGAAGGGGGAGGAAACCAGTACAAACCCGGTTGCATCCATATTTGCTTGGACTCGAGGTCTTATGCATCGGGGCAAACTGGATCAGAATGAGAAGCTTGTTCAGTTTTCCATGCTGTTGGAGAAAGTGGTGGTGTCGACAATTGAAGCAGGATTCATGACGAAAGATCTCGCGATTTGCATCAAGGGAATGAATCATGTGACCCGCAGCGACTACCTGAACACCCAGGAGTTTATCCACAAGTTGGCTGACGAAATGCGGAAGGCGTATGAGCGAAGCAAAATTTGATGGTATTTTTTTTTTTTTTTTTTTTCTCTTTTCTTTCTTTTTTACTTTATTATTATGTATTCTTTGGAAGGGGGGAACTTCTGCGAGGAATGTGCGCCCGTTGCGATGTGAAGTTAGAGCGTGCGTGCACCGTCCATCCACTCTTTTTTTTGTTGTTGTTAAAGCCTTTTTTCGCCTTTTACAAGGCGTCGATGAACAGGGCATCATCCAAATGTATTTCTCCATTTCGGACGCAAAAAGAAAAAAAAGAAGAAAGGCAAGCGGACGAGAGGGAATTGTGTGCGCGAGCGCAATTGTTATTTTATTTTATTATTATTTTTATTTTTATTTTTGCCCTTTAATTTTGCATTATTAAATAAATAAATATATATATGTATATATATGTATATTCTTCAATAGCAGTTTCTTTTCTGTATTTTCACATTGGGAGGGTTTCTTTTTTTTTTTTTTTTTTTTTTTTTTTTAGAACATTTTGAAACACACACGTATCTGAAATCTGCACATATTTACATGTAAGTTGATTGGTGGGTATAAAATATACTTAAGGAAATGGTTAAATTTGATTTGGAAAAGTTTTTTTTGGGAATGAACAATGTGGATAAGGATTTACGAGAGATGGCCCTATTTGATTTGCATCAGGCACTGAAGGACCCTGGCTTTCAACTTACTGAGAGCGATGTCGACCGTGTTGTGGATCACGTTCTACGTTGTTTCACTAAGGATGAACTGGACAAGGAGGTTCGCAACAACGCCATCCAGGTTGCACCACAACTGTTTCTTTTTTGCAGCGAACGTCAGCAAATCCGATTCTCATCCTTCTTGTGTACATCGGCTACTTTTCGGGGAATGGAGTTTGGCGACAGGGGGTCGTCGGAGATTCTGGAGAGCTCTGCGTTTGCTCTCGGGCTGTGCTGTGAATCGATGGCGGAGCGGGCGCAGGTGAACATTGAGGCGTGGCAGCGTCTGACTCCCGTTGCCCACAGCATCAACGCCACTCTTCTCAGCAAACTGGGAGACGGGAACGAGGTTGTTGCCAAGGACGGTATTTATGGCTCCATCATTGCCCTCATCGTCCCATTTGCGCGCACCTTCTCTTCTGAGACCCGCGATGGAATGGCAAAAAGGGCTCTGGTGGATTTTTCTGGCACGGGCTCGGCGTGTCGTCGCGCGATTGTTTGTCTTTCTCTATTATCGCCGTTCTTGAGCGAAAATGCGTTTAATGATGTTCGTGAAACCGCAGTTCGTGGGCTCCAGGGGAAGGATCCCAATTTGAGGCTGCTACCGCATCTTCTTTTGTACGAAGCTTTAGTAAAAAACTCTCCGCTTCGCATGATGACAGACATCTGCACGGTGATAAATATTCTTTTACTGGAGATCCGAAGGCGAACCAACGAGTACACATCGGAGGATGATGATGTGTGCGATACAATCATGCGTGTCATGAACTCCATGGTGTGCCAATATCCCAATGAGCTCTCAACATCACATATTGATATTTTTAGTTGCTGTGTATCGCTGATGAGGTTTGATCCCAACTACTGTGGGGACCCCGAAGAGGAAGAGGCGGGGATAGAGGAGGGGGGTAATGATACATACGAGGATTATTATATGGAATTAGAGGAAGTGGACACGTCATGGAAACTACGAATGTGGGCTGCAAAGCTTCTTTCGTCATTGATCCAAATATCACCATCCTCAGATGTATTGATTCAACGTTTGGATAAAGCAAATGTCTTTTCGGTGGGTGACCGAATGGAAGAAGTTCAACTGGCAAATCTTCAGCTACTAAACGCCATCGCCCAACATCCACGTTGCGAGGAGGCACACTCCATATTATTGAATTTGTTGGACTCTTTATTACGTTGTGTCAGTGGTTCCAACCAGAAAGTGAGTGTCACGGCAATCAAGACCTTGCAGCTTTTTTTCCATCTCTATGGGGGAAATCTCATGAACAAGGGCGATGCGATCTGTCATGTACTTTCTGATCTTGCAGCGAAGGAAACAAATGACACGAGTCTACTCAACTCCGAGGTAATAACGCTGTCTCAGTATGTTATGGACGCCGCCTTGAAGGAGCCAAGAAATATTTCAATTGCGATGAAACTGTTTGACACGGTTTTTTATACAATTTGTAAAAGCCGGTTTGACAAAGTTAGTGATCGCGCCCTTCGTGTGATGCAGACAATGACTTGTGTTGCCCTTTCTATCGATGCCTCCTACACGGAACGTTGTGTATCCTTGCTATTTTCCCTTTTGGAAAGGAAGACAACAGAGATGGAAGTTTCTCGAGCAGCGACAGAGGCCATGGGCGAGTGTCTTTCTAATCTTTTCTTGACGCTTTCCGAAGACACTGTTCATCACTATTTACACCGTTTGGTTTATCTTACCGAGACAAATGTGAATGCTCTGCATGTGCTAGGCTCTGCGGTGAGCCGCTCCACCGCAATTCGAATTTCGCCCGACCTTTTGGAGCACATTTCTGCTTACCTCGCAAAGTGCAATTACTCACATCATTACGTGGTTCTTGGTGTTTTGAAGGATGCTCTTAAAAATGGGTCTGAGCTTCCAAAAGAGGCGTTAGATGTTGTGATGAAGTTTATACAGGTGGATGCTTTGAGAAGCAAGGAGGCCTTGCTAATAAGGAGAGTCTTTGAATTATTGGCAGAGGTCTGCAAGAAGTACCCTCCGGTGATTGAACAAACGTTGGAAATGATACTTTCCTCCGTTTGGAATGCCTTGGAAGCCCTGTTGGCTTCAGGGAGCTCCTTTTACGGTCAGGTTGTGGAGGATGCGGCATCCTTTCTACACACTCTTTGTCTGCAGCTCCCTCGGCAACGTTTCACACTAATTGAGGCTGTTTTAAAGCATATTTTGATATCCACCTCCCCTGATTTGAGCAGTGAACTTCTGAGTGGAGTCATCGTTGACAATGAAGATACAATAGAAAAAATAACGTCCTTTTTCCTTGACAACCCCGCCTTGAAGTGTCTGTGTGTGGGAACAGTTGGCCGCTCCCAGGTTCTACCAGAAGAGTGGAAGAAGTTTCTGCTGGAGAATTTTGCGGGTGCAATTTCAGAATCGGCCCGTTCTTTGGGGATGGCAGCGATCGGTCGTGCTGCATCAAACCCCCAAAATATTTCCTTGTTCATGCAAATAGTGGAGCGTGCCATTAGCGAAACAAAGGATCGATCGCTTTATTGGAGGTTAATCAAAGAAGTGATGCATATTGCAGCCTCTCGGGAACCTTCACCCTTTAGCGATCATTTGTTTTGTAAACAACTCATGGAACGCCTCCTGGAGAGTGCCTTGGAAGATGATGTGCAAACAAATGCCGCGGTCCTTGGAAGCTTCGTGTCGTTTGATGTGGCGGATCTTTTAGATATTACATGCCGCTACTTGAATAGTGACTCGGAAATTATTAAGGCGACATGTATCTCCACCCAGCGATATTTGATCTCCCACTGTAAAGGCGAGGAGATCCAACCCCAGTTGGCCAGCGTTATAGAGACATCGCTTCAAAATTTAGGAAGTAACTCTTCCGTTCGCATTCGTCTTGCTGCCCTACAACTTTTTGCTGTTGTCGCTTCTTCTCAGCCTCATCTTCTTTTTACTCCCACCATGCGGGACGTGGTTTATCCCAATGTTCTTGCTGAGCTTGTTGAGGATTCTAGTCTTGTTTTGACTGTCAACCTCGGTGGCTATACACATCGAGAAGACAAGGGAATAGAGGTTCGAAGACTTGCCTTTGACATTATTTCTATTTTGCTTCGTGACACTGAGCGGCAGCGCAGAGGGAAAGTTTTGGAATTTTTTTTGCGTTTTGAAGAGCTTCTTCAGTGTCTGGTTCATGCTTGCGGTCCACAGGAGAAGGGCGAGGTAGATGTAGACTTGAATAATCAAGCAAAAACGCTTTTGGTACAGCTTGTAAACACCCATCTCAAGTTGCCCTGGAGTGACTCTTTGATCATGTCCCTGCATGGTAAATTGAAGGCCGTATTGGAACTGAACTGTGAGGGTAAGTCTTTGTCTGCTGAGAAGGAGCGGGTTAATATACGGTATGCGTTAAATTGCGTGATGCGCCTTACGGAGTGCGTACCCTTTGCCTACATTCCACAGTTTCAACCGCTTCTTCTATTGGCTCAGAAGTCATCCCTATTGGCGGAGTCGATGAAGCTGGTGTTGTGAAGGAGCATTCCTTCCTATTTTTTGTTTTACATTTTTTTTTTATTGTTGTTGTTGTTGTTGTCTTAAGTAATTAAATAATTATTTGTTTCCCTTCTTGTCTCTTTCTGTGTGTGCGTATGTCAGTTCTTTTTTTTTTTTTTTTTATTTGTGTGGCGATTTTTACGGTGTCACGTCGTTAAAGTAGTATTTATCTTGTGATGGTGTTCTCTCTCCTTTTTTTTTTTTTTTTTTTTTTTGTGATTGTATGTGTGTGTGTGTGGAGTTGCTTTTTTTTCTTGCACCAGACGGAGGTGGCTGGTATGTTTAGATTGAGCAGTTTTTTACGATTTATTGGGAAAGAAATTGCCGTGCCCGCATCTGTTGATCTTGCGCTCCTGCGTAAAATTCTTTGCCCGACGATTCAGCCTTCGGAGCTTGTTTCTTTTGCTCCCGAAGCAGCAGTTCTTGTGCGAAGAATGAATGTCCCTCAGGCGGTAAACATTCTTGAGCTTTTCTCACGAAACGGTGTGCGTCACGAGGATCTGATGTTGGCCGGCTTCTGGAACGTGTTCAAAGCTGAACGGCCATTGCTCTCTGGGAATGAGGCGGCTGGGTTGATGCAGGATTTTGCTGCTTGCACGGCGACATGTTTCCGACTGGTGTTTCAGGAGGGATTTGTGCATGACCCGCAATTATTGGCCATTGCATTTGGAAGATGTGTTGAATGTGCTCCCCATTTGCCCTTTCGTGGGATCGTCGACGCCTACGAGGGCATTCAACTTTTTGGTCGCAGGTACTTTAGCCTCGCCGAGGTGGCGTTGTACTCGGGCGGGGCAGATGATGATCCACAGGCACTAGACTCTATCAAGGAGCCTTCATCCTCTACCGTCCTGTCTAGCCAGCCCAATCTTGTGGATGTTCTTTGTGGGGAGCTGGAATCTCGGTTGCGGTTGGTGGTAGATGAACGGTGCGAACAAGACACCTCCTATGTGGTGCGGTTATTGCAGGCGTTGTCCGCTGTGGGAATTATGGATGCCAATGTCTTCTTGTCTATCCGAAAGGTGATTGAATTCACGAAAATAACTACTAAAACTTTTTTGGACATATTAATAAGCGTCCATGGAATTCATACCCGCGTCATTGATGTTTTGGATCACGAGGGAGATGATGAGTGGCTGCGTTCTGAGCGTTCGACACTGGTGAGGGTGCTAACCGACAAACTTCTTGCACGGAACCTCTTTATTGATCGTCGCCGATGCGACCCGCAGTTCGTCTTGAGATTGCGGCAGCTATTTGAAGTGTATCCCGCCCTGGCCGATGACGCACCGCGTCTGTGGGACGCCGTCCGTGTGGTCCGTGTGGCACACAAGCACGCGACGCGTCCGAACGAGAAGAAACATCGTCTCGGGGGCGCCCTGTTTAAGAGTGAGTATGCCGTGAAGGTGAAGCCTATCATCCCCGATCGGTCAGAAGCCGAGCGGTTTGTTCCACCCCAGTTTAAGAATTGGAGTAGTCCCGCGGTGAAAAATTTTCGTCATCAGGGACCGGCAACACCGCAGAAGATGGGCTTTGGCACGCGCCGGATATCGAAGAACTACATCAAGGAAAAACGGAGGAAGTTTGCCCCTGCTGTCTGGTGAGCTGCTCTCTCTCTCTCTCTCACGGCACAAGAAAAGGGGGAGAGGGAAAGAGTGACAAAAACAACAACTCACACATAAGAAAAAAAAAAGAAAGTTATGGGAGGATTTTCTCCTTTCCTTGAGGTGGTACCGCCGACCATTTTGTTGGAACGACGTTGTTGTGGTGGTTCCTGTCGAATGCCGAAATGATTTTTTTTTGTTCTCATCCAAGTTTCTTTTACACAAGCATCAGGAAAAGGAGGGAAAAGAACGTCCCAAAAGTTTAGGGAGATGGGCTCTAATAGACGCACTTGTGGCAAACCAAAAGGTGGTGGTGATGCTGAAGATGACGGCGACTGTGACGGCGGGGAAAGCGGAGGAGCAACGCGGGGATCGAAGTCTTTACCTCTTTCTGTGATTCCCAAGAGCTCGTCATCCAAGGCCGTGCAGCCCAGGAAACTGCCTCCGCTTGCAATGGGCCCACCTTGCCAATTGTTGGCTTGGCCTGCAAAACAGAAACGTATAGCGGGGGTATCTAGGGCCCCTCTTGCACTGCAGCTGGAGGCTTTTATTAGGAGAGAGCATCAGCTGTACCTTCACGAGCACCGTCAGTGTACACATGCCGATACACTGCACATTGTGAGAGAGGCATTTTCGGTTTTAACTGAACATTTTATGGAATACAGAGGTGTCCTTTCGTTTATTCGAGAGGAATACGAAGCCACGGTTGACGAAGCAACAAATGAGCTAAGACGCTTACGAACGCTTAATCTTGAAGCTGAGAGCGACCGTAGTTTTTATGTAATGGAGCTCATGAGGCAACGTGAAGGCTTTACCACAGTTATTAGTAATCAACAGGCGCAGCTACAGGCCAATCAGGGACTGATTCTCTCCTTGCGAGATCAGGTGGCAACACTTGAGAAATCTAACAGCGAGTTGGTTACTGAATTGAGAGTTAAGGGGAAAGAGTTGGAGGAGATGACGACGACGTCGAAACTCTTGGCAAACAGTATGATCGAAGAGGCGGCACGTAATTCACAGATCTTGCAAGTTCACAGGTCTGATGAACGGGAGTTGGGTCGGCTGAATGCCCAAGTAAATTTGCTAAAAGAGAAACTGGATGAGTCGGATAAGCGTTTTAATGCGCTTTTGCGGCAGGTGATGTTTGAGAATCCGGTGCTGACAAGAAGGGACGAATCTAATGGAGAAAATTTTAATGAGGCCCAATTGCCATTAAATAGTGAGGCCAAAAAGGATACAAAGGAGACGGATCAGTCGGTTGTTGCTCTTCAACGTCGTATTGACGACTTGCTTTTGGCTTACGAGCAGTTGAAACAACAGACGACGGGATCCAAAGTTTCTTCTACGACGGAGTATGGTGAGGTTTTGAGAAGCGGGGAGAGCTCATGCCCTCCGCAGGATTCAGGGGTGATTGTTATGGATCATGTGAACTCTTCTAGTAAACTTATTCGATCATGGTTACGGGAGGAAAATCTGACCGAGAGGGAAGTTGATGCCATGGACTACCTGCTTCCTCCAGGGAAATGCGAAGAGGATCCACTATCCTTCTTGAAGATATGCCATCCTGTTCGTAACCTTCGCATGAAAAAGAGGATTGTGATAAGTATGCTTCGTGAATTTTGGTCATCTCGTCAGACTAACCTTCATTTTTCGTTGAAATCCTATTTTATGGAGTGGCTGCGCAAAAAAGTAGGACCAGGGAAGGTTGCAGAGGAAGTTGGATTGAATATTTTTTCTGTGTGTCAAAGGAACTTTGACGATCCCGAATGCCGCGCCGCGTTGTTAACTTTTCGTTCATTTCTACCAGAGGATGTGGTTTTGACTTGGCAAAAGGACATCAAGGGTTTGGAAAATGCGTGCCGTGCATCCCCCCGCGTTGTGAATGATACCATTCAAACAGCGCTTGTTGAAAATGCCATAAGGGTAATCATGCCCGAGAAGAGTTATGTGCATATGTTAGAGCTTCGGTTGTATCTTTGGCGTGTGAGTAAGGGCTTGGAAAAGGTACCAGTAGACATGCTTTTTAATGAAAGTAGTCATTTTACTTACATACTGAGGAAACAATTTCTCTATGAAGTAGAGGAATTTACGCTGCAAGTTGTTGAGGCCATCCGATCGCTATCGGAGGACTCAACAACTGTAAGTCTGCAGGATATAACGGGGGCCATCAGCAATTTGGACAGGGGTATTCCTAGAGGGACGCTGCACCGACTCGTGGCGGAGGCAACCCAGCTGACGGCGATGGATGTTGCGACAGCGGATGCAAACTTTCGAGTGAGGCTCCAAACAGTTTTGCATCGTTTCCGCAGTTCCGTACTGCTTCGGAGAGCAACACCCCCCTTGGGTGATGATCCCACGTTTGGTCGCCGGAAGAGCAATGGTGATGATGATGGTATGAGGTTTATTCCGCCTCGGGCTGATAGTGTCAATTAAGAATTGGGAATGTTGGGGGAGAATCATTCTGGTTGATTGTCCCGTCTTCTCACATTCAAATTTTTTTTTTTCTTTGGGTACTATTTTTCTTGCGATATGGGAGCTTTGCTCTCATAAATATATTTATATATGTGTGTATATTGTGATTCCGCGTCTGGTTGAGGCGACCACTGTTACTCCCCACTGTGTCTGCCTTGTCTTTTTTGGAATTCCGTTGCTTGTGGACCTTTATATTTTTTTGCTGTTATTGTTGTTGTTTTTTTTATTATTTATTTTGCTTTCTTGTTCTTTTTTTTTTTTTTGTTAGTGTGGTTAAAGGTATTCATATACACATCCATATCATTTATTAATTTTATTCCCGTCTTTTTTTTTTTACCGTGTTGCCCTTCTCATGGCAGGCGCGTTCAGTCTTTTTATCGTCATCCTGCTGAGTGCCAACGCCGCTATGGGTATTTTGGGACAAGTAACGGTGAGTAAGAAAACCGACACGAAAACTGTCGGCGGTACTGGCAGTCCTACGGTTTCTGAAAATATCCACAGTATCTCTGTCTCTGCCTCTGTCTCTATCTCTGTCCCCGGCTCCGTTTCGCGTAGTATTACTTTGACCCCATCGCATCCAAATGACGACAGCAGTAGTGCGAGTTCTGAATCCGCAAGTTCTTCTTCTTCTTCTTCTTCTTCTTCTTCTTCGCAGTCGGATGAGGGCTCTCTTGTTGTCTATTTTCATGTCATGAACAAATCCCTCACCCCTGCCGAACTCAAGGAATTGCTACGCCGGAGTCTGTGGCAAAACGAAAGCGTGGAAATGGGGCCCGGCAATGTGTTTTCTGAAAATTGGATCCAACTTTCCTTTGGGTTGTTGTCGAAAGCCAAAGAGGCGTACTTGGCTGCCAATAATGGCGGACTTCCCGGTGTGAAAGGTGCAAGTTACGTGGCTCCAGAAACACCATCCGAGAAGAAATCCAAAGTTGTTGTTATTTCGGTGGTGGTGGTGGTTTTGATTGGGCTGGCCATCTTGATTCTGTTGGGAGTCCTGCTATACTGCCGGTACTTCCGGGAAAAGGAGTGGATTTTGGGCCGCTATGACGAGGATTATGCGATGAACTCCGTGACGACCCCGGTAAACCTTAACGAGTTACTTTTAACGAATCTTGCGGTCGACGGCAGAAATAGTCAAGACACAAAGTCTCAAGCTCGACGTGGCAAAATTTAAAGAAACATATAGCAGCTTTACTCCTCCTTTTTTTTTTTTTTTATCGTCCATTTACATTTTTTCTCATGGGTTACGTTTTTCTTACTGAAATCCTTCCAAAAATGAAGGGCAGGCAAAAAAAAGAATTACTCAACAGCGCCACATGGAAGCATCCAAAGGAAAAAAAAAAAAAACAAGGCAGGAGTTAAGGCATCTATCATTATTAGAAGCATCTCATCCCTTTTTATGGGGATTTTTGCATGCTTTTTTTTACCGTTATTATTATTATTATTATTATTATTGTTATTTTCACGAGGGTATCTCTTAAATTTGTATCTTTTTATTTTTGTTTTTTTTTCTATTCTGTGACTTTTTTTCTATTGGCGATGTGCTGTACTCTTTGTTGCTGTCCCTACCGTTTGTTTCGCTTGGGGTGGGTGATGGTGCATCATTTCTATTGATGGGGATTTGAAAAAAATCTCATGCCTTTACCTCTACACTCACCTTGTCTATTTTATTTTTATTTTTTACTATATATATATATATATCTTTGGGGGCGCGTGTGGGGTAAAAAAAACGCAAAAAAACTCAAAATTAGGGGCGTTTTGATTCTGTTGAGCGCCTCGGACGCTGTTATTTCTGTAGTTGTTACTTGAGTTCAAATAAATGAAACGTGGCGTCCTGGCGTTCTGTGCCGCCGCCCCGGCAGCTGCCCGGTGTGCACTTACCGGCAGGAGAGTGGAGGACTGGGAGGCGCACAACCGTACCTTTGAGATGCGAGTTTTTGAGCTGCTCAAGAACCGTTTGGCCTCTCCGACGGAGCCGCTGCCGGCAAATCAAGTATACGTAACCATAGCGAACCCATGTCGTCTCATTGACGAGTTTAATTTTGCTAAAACTACACGAAGGATGGATCGTCTGCGGATTTCCCTTGGTTTTTTGCGGCGCCACAACGTGCTTCTTCATGGTTTGTTGTTTTACGTGAAGGAAACAAAAACGTGGAACACCACGGCGGGGTTTGGGCGACTGGCTCTATTCGGCGAGAGTCTACTTCGTCACGAGGTTCGTGCCCGCACGCTTCGGCTGTTTCCATCCATAGATTCCGTGACTTACGCCTCACTGACTGCCTCGAGCATTATGCCCGGTTGAGATGGGAGCCACTGGGGTAAGACCGCGACTAAGAGCTAGCGTTTGTGCCATAGTTTCTCACAAAGGCCACGGAAATCAGGCTTTTTTTTTTTTTTTTTTTTTTTTTTTGGGAGGGGGTACTATTTCTCTTGCGATATGGGAGCTTTGCTCTCATACATATATTTATATATGTGTGTATATTGTGTTTCCGCGTCTGGTTGAGGCGACCACTGTTACTCCCCACTTCGTCTGCTTTGTCTTTTTTGGAATTCCGTTGCTTGTGGACCTCTTTTTTTTTTTTTTCTTTATTACTATTAGTGTGGTTGCAGGTATCCATATACATATCCATATCATTTATTACTTTTTTACCGTTTTTTTTTTTTTTTTTTACCGTGTTGCCCTTCTCATGGCAGGCGCGTTCAGTCTTTTTATCGTCATCCTGCTGAGTGCCAACGCCGCTATGGGTATTTTGGGACAAGTAACGGTGAGTAAGAAAACCGACACGAAACCTGTCGACGGTACTGGCAGTCCTACGGTTTCTGAAAATATCCACAGTATCTCTGTCTCTGCCTCTGCCTCTGTCTCTGTCCCGGGCTCCGTTTCGCGTAGTATTACTTTGACCCCATCGCATCCAAAAGACGACAGCAGTAGTGCGAGTTCTGAATCCGCTACTTCTTCTTCTTCTTCTTCGCAGTCGGATGAGGGCTCCCTTGTTGTCTATTTTCATATCATAAACAAATCCCTCACCCCTACCAAACTCAAGGATTTGCTACGCTGGAGTCTGTGGCAAAACGAAAGCGTGGAAATGGGGCCCGGCAATGTGTTTTCTGAAAATTGGATCCAACTTTCCTTTGGGTTGTCGTCGAAAGCCAAAGAGGCGTACTTGGCTGCCAATAATGGCGAACTTCTCGGTGTGAAAGGTGCAAGTTACGTGGCTCCAGAAATACCATCCGAGAAGAAATCCAAAGTTGTCGTTATTTTGGTGGTGGTTGTGGTTTTGGTTGCGCTGGCCATCTTGATTCTGTTGGGGGTGCTGCTATACTGCCGGTACTTCCGGGAAAAGGAGTGGATTTTGGGCCGCTATGACGAGGATTATGCGATGAACTCCGTGACAACCCCGGTGAACCTTAACGAATTACTTTTAACGAATCTTGCGGTCGACGGCAGAAATAGTCAAGACACCAAGTCTCAAGCTCGACGTAGCAAAATTTAAAGAAATATGTAGCAGCTTTATCCCTTCCTTTTTTTTTTTTTTTTTCACCCTCCCTTTTTTTTCTTCTTTATCGTCCATTTACATTTTTTCTCATGGGTTGCGTTTGTCCTACTGAAATCCTTCCAAAAATGAAGGGCAGGCAAAAAAGATTTACTCAACAACACCACACGGAGGCATCCAAAGGAAAAAAAAACAAAAACAAAACAAAGCAGGAGTTAAGGCATCTATCATTATTAGAAGCATCTCATCCCTTTTTATGAGGATTGTTGCATGCTTTTTTTTTACCGTTATTATCATTATTATTTTCACGAGGGTATCCCTTAAATTTGTATCTTTTTATTTCGGTCTTTTTCTATTCAGTGACTTTTTTTCCATTGGCGATGTGCTGTACTTTTTGTTGCTGCCCCTACCGTTTGTTTTGCTTGGGGTGGGTGATGGTGCATCGTTTCTATTGGTGGGGATTTGAAAAAATCTCATGCCTTTGCCTCTACACTCACGTTAGTTTATTTATTTATTTTTTTCTGTTGGTTTTGTCGTTTACTATACATATATATGTATATCTTTGGGGGCGCGTGTGGGATAAAAAAACGCAAAAAAACTCAAAATTAGGGGCATTTTGATTCTGTTGAGAGCCTCGGACGCTGTTAGTTGTGTAGTTGTTACTTGAGTTCAAATAAATGAAACGTGGCGTCCTGGCGTTCTGTGTCGCCGCCCCGGCAGCTGCCCGGTGTGCACTTACCGGCAGGAGAGTGGAGGACTGGGAGGCGCACAACCGTACCTTTGAGATGCGAGTTTTTGAGCTGCTCAAGAACCGTCTGGCCTCTCCGACGGAGCCGCTGCCGGCGAATCAAGTATACGTAACCATAGCGAACCCATGTCGTCTCATTGACGAGTTTAATTTTGCTAAAACTACACGAAGGATGGATCGTCTGCGGATTTCTCTTGGTTTTTTGCGGCGCCACAATGTGCTTCTTCATGGTTTGTTGTTTTACGTGAAGGAAACAAAAACTTGGAACACCACGGCGGGGTTTGGGCGACTGGCTCTATTCGGCGAGAGTCTTCTTCGTCATGAGGTTCGTGCCCGTACGCTTCGGCTGTTTCCATCCATAGATTCCGCGACTTACGCCTCACTGACCGCCTCCATACTGAATGAAGATGCATTATGCGCCATTTTCGACCGGTTGATGATGAAGTCTCTTGTTGGAGCTAAGCCTGAGGGTAAGGACCGCGACTGGTCTTTAACAAAAGAGCAGCGCAGTAGCATGTTGTGTGCCATTGTAGGTGAAATGAGTTGGTTCTCTTCTCGAACAAAGGCCACGGATAGGACACATAACAATGCACTTTTCCCACCATCTGATGCACTCATTCTTCATGTGTTGTGTTGCCACGTATTGGAGTCTCTGCCGGCGGAGCTTATTTACACCGTTGTGGAACCACGTGTTCATCGCCTCAAGGAGGTTTGGGTCAATGAACCAATGTCTATTCCATCACAGATGCATTTAAAACCCAGAACAATTAACGCCTTGTCTTTGTCTTTGGTGAAAAAGCCTATTTCTGAAGAGGAACGTCTTCGGAAGGTGGCAGCTCAGGCCGCCACTGTGTGTTTCCCTTCTCTTTCTTCCGAACCTGTTATCGGGAGCTTTATATCAAAAATGAAGCCGCGTTGGAACTATAAACGTTTTGATGAACGACGATATCAAATACTGGGAGATGACAAGCGCTGCTTTTTGCCTCTGTTTTCTTCGCCAACGCCCAGGGATTCTGGTGCATGTGTAGTCGTGACGCTGACGGATGAAAGACGGAGGGAGCTAGTTTCCCCAGCGTTTAAGCCTGGCGAAGAGTAGCGCGCCGAAAGGCACTGAGTGACGGGGTTGGCGTTGTTTCTCCCTCCGCCGTCGCAAGAGAAGGGAAAAGACCATTGATTGAGTTAACTATTTCTGTTCTACATGCCAGGGATATATATATATATAGTTGTATCAAGGCGTGTATATATTATCTCCTCTGTTTTGTTTTACTATAATTCTTTTTTCTTCTTCTTTTGCTTTTCTTTTAGTACAAAGTATTTTTTTTCTTTTTTGTTTTGTTTTTTTTTGTTTTTTTTTTTGTATTATATTGGTTGGGTGTCATTTACATTGGCTTAGAAGATGTTTGACGCAGACGCGTCACCCGAACGACCCGTTTCCCCTGTCAGCTCCGCCTCCACTGCAGAGGTGACGGCAGGACACGATGTTTCCACGATCAACCGCACGTTGGATGGTTCTTTCATTCATGATGACGGTCATCTGATGGAATACGGCTCGAAGCACTGGATACGTGTGACGCAGTTGGACCCGAACACGACAAGTAAATCACTAAAGTACATGTTCTATCCGTATGGAGGCGATGAGGCATTTGTTTTATGGGACAATGGAGTTGTGGGATATGTCGGTTTTGAGAATAAATATATGGCCGATCTTGGAGTGGAGAAGATGGATGCCTTTATCCCCTGTCGTCAGACACAGGCTCTGTGCGTTACTCGTGTAACACTGGAGGATGTCCTGATTGCGAAGAGTACAGCTTATTCTCAAAAGGGTCTTGTACCGTTGCTCTACTCGGACTGCCCTGTTCATTTTATTACCCAGTTCATTGAATTACACAGGCAGCCCTGCTGTTGCGCTGCCGAGTTGGTGGAAGAAATAAGGAGAGCCCCTCGGCCTGTATTGTCACGCGTTTTGTCTGCCTTGACGGAATTAAGGTCGAATTGGATTTACCTGGAGGAATTTCGTGAGGCTCTTGTAAAACAACTCTTGCGGCATATTGTTAAGGATGATTCAACGGAACTCGGAGCGAACTGTGGCACCTTCTTGGGTGAACTGTTTGTTATGGGATTGCTGACTGGGGACCCGTTTTATTTGGCGTCCCGTATTCTCCAGCGGGGTGTACATTGCACATCCCAGATTGATAACATCTGCCGTATTGCTCATGTTTGTGCTTCCATGCCATTTCCAATCTCCAAGGCATCTTTTTGGGCTCTTGTTGGGCAGATGACAATGAATGTCTCTGATCCCCTTCGCGCTGCTCTTCGTGATAATATGCGGCAATTTCAGCAGAGCATGGAGCTGTTCCCCTCTGTTCAATCCGTCATACCAAAAAACAGTTGGTCGTTTGCAAAGGAGAATAATGGTTCACGTCTTTCATCGGAGTCCAAATCACGCACTCTGTACATATCTCATCTCCCTCCTCTTCTACCACAGCAGACCCTCATGGAGTTGCTTTCAATGTGTGGTGTGGTGAACAAGGTCCGTGTATGTCGTGGTAGTGGCTATACTACCCTCTTTGCTTTTGTGGAAATGTCAACTGCGCGGGAGGCGAGAGCGACTCTGCGCCTCAACCGGATGAACCTTCTAGGGTGCAGCATCCGTGTGCAGATTGCACGCAATTCGATTCAAGATACTCAGAGTGAAGACGCTATCGTTGATACCGATGGAACTGTGAAACGCGGTTGCCTATTCAGCCAACACGGGCGTTCTTTGGCGGTCGCAGCGGCGGCTGGTGAAAAATGTATCAGTATATGAAATGATTTTTGTATCCATAGAGAAATACCTGCGGAGAAATTTAAACTTCTCTCTAGCTAGTTATAGAAGAAACACGTGTATTTTTTTATTTTATCTTTGTTGGCCTTCTTTTTATTACTTTTTTTTTTTTTTTTTCGTTGTTTCTTTGTTTTTTTTTTGGCTAACATATTTTTTTTTTTTTGTCGGTCGGCTTTTCGCCGTTTTGTGTCTTGTATGACGGGCACACCGACCGGCTGCACGTATTCTTCCCGCTCTTTTTGTTTAACGTCCATTTATAGAACATTTGTCATTTTTTTCATATCAAAATCCATACAGTATTCATATACATGTTGTTGGTGAGTGAGACGATTTTTTTATTTATCACTCCATCATTTCCCCATGGCAGACACACGTGTGCACTTACGCGCGAAAGAAAACAAAAAAAAAAAAAAAAAAAGGAAGTAAGCACAGAAGGGCAAACTGGTATGAAGTGCAAAGTGACACCATACGTCACCTTCAACTGCTACTCGGAATTATTTCACTCACCCACTCAATCAAAAGCCGCTCAAAAGTGTACGCATATTTGAAATAAGAAGAAGATGGCGGCAGGAATTGGTGGAAGGGGAAGCGGTGAAAAGAAAAAAAAAGGCTTTTTTTTTTTTTTTTTTGCACAATCCCTTCCCCTCCTGTGAATACAAATATAATTACAGTGCAGGAAAAGCAAAAAAAAAAAAAAAAGTGGAAAGCGAGGGAGAGAGGCACTGCAGCTTGTTGGATTTTAGAGTGCGGGTAATTGTGATTGCCATATCGCTGCATTTGATATTTGTGCCAGGGAATTTTCTCATATTAACAAACCTATTTTTTTTTTATTTATTGTTGTTGTGTTTTTAATGGGCACGCCCACAAAGCCAGGATGCTCAGGGTTCCGACAAGGTGGATATGTTCATCTTCACCGGCGGCCCTCGTGCAAGTTAACGATGGCCCTGTGGCCCTCTGCTGTATTATCGCCGCACAACATGAGGCCGCTTCGTGGGAATTTGAATTCCCAATTACGATATCGCATCAGCATGCTGTTAGACTTACAGCACAGGACTTTTCGTCTGTGGAGACGCACAATATTTGTTTTTTGAACGATGCCTCTTCCAGAAAACGACGCTTTGTGGAATCACCACCTGCCATTGCGGGGAATTGGGACGTCCTCCAAATTCAGACACCAATGAATACTTATTTTGCAAAGACCATTATATTAGAGGGACCGCGAGTAAGTCTTCGGGGGTTTTTGGATCGCCTCTTTGCAAGCATGATTGGCCACTATGTTATTGTTGGCTGCGAGATTGAGACTGAGAATGGAAGATATCGCGTGAATTCTGTTGAGCTTCAAAGTGGGTACTGTGGGTTAGCGTTGGTATGTGGAACGACACGTGTGAAACTTAACCACAAACCTGCCGTTTCCCGTCATTTATTTAGTCGGCTAATAGGTTTGGACGAACAGGTGCGCGAGGTGGGTGCGGTAATTCGAACTATGGAAAGGCGTCCTGGAAGTTGGATTGGCGTGCGTTTATATGCTCCCGAAGGTTGTGGGGCCTTGGCGCTGGTCCGACAATGTTCAGCTGAGAGTCACGCGGCACTTGTGCATTGGTCACCGACAGGCATTTGGAGTCAAAAGGGGGATCTGTGGGGGGCGAATCTTGTGATACTGTGTATTCACTGCATGGATGCGATGTTTCCTTTATCTGAGGATGCTTTGGCAAAGCTGACAGCGCGAGCTCTTCTTCATGATATTGGCAAGCTGACATCCAAACGCAATGGAGCGAGAGCTGCTGTTGTACTGTTAGGAATTACTTCCAATAGCGCGTCAGAGGCAGTGGATTCTCTTTTTACCGTGAAAATAACATTGGATTTGCCAGACGTCTACACACGGGCTGCCCTTTTAGCGCACGTGCGCGGGGGTGAGGATAAGGAATACATGGATGAGGCTCAGACGCTTGTGGGGTTCTCCAGTGCAGCTGTTCTCGAAGTTGCTCAAAATCCCCCTCGTGGATACAGGCCACCAATCAAGGCACTGCATTGGTCGGAAATTGGCGGTCTGAAAAATGTGAAGGAACGATTGCGCTCTGCTTTAATACTCCCACGACTTCGACCGGAGCTCTTTGCACGGTTTGGTGTTGTGCCACCCCGTGGAATTCTTTTGTACGGTCCACCTGGTTGTGCAAAGACGAGTCTGGTGAAGGCCATGTGCTCGGAGGGATATTTTTCATTTATTTATCTGGACTCAGCCACACTTATTAGCGCATTTGTCGGTGAATCGGAACGACAATTAAGGGAAGTCTTTCGAAAGGCGGCTCGGCAGACACCTTGCATTGTCTTCTTTGACGAGGTGGAGGTATTAGGTGGTAAACGGGGTGCGGGGTCACACGACAACGATCAATCACGCTTGCTTTCAACTTTATTGACGGAGATGGATGGGTTTTCCTCTTCAAGTGGCGTGTGTTTTGTGGGGGCTACCAATAAACCCCATCTCATTGATATTGCCTTACTTCGGCCTGGTCGGTTTGACTACTTGTTGTACGTCCCCCTTCCATCGAGGGATGATCGCCAAGAGATTCTTTCACGCTCCCTTGCAGGTACTTCCGCAGATGTTGATGCACTGGCGGATGCTACGGAGGGATTTAGTGGCGCCGATCTCACATCATTATCGTCGGAGGTTTTGCTGGAATTGCTGGAGGGACCGGGGGAGAACAAGAAGGAGGGCAATTATACCAGTGATGGGGGCCCTGAACCAAGTTGCCTCCATGACGCCAAGGCCATCACTGATCTTTTTCTTGCACGAGTAAAAACGTTTTATAAAACGGCGTACGACGTGGCGGAGATTGAGAAATTTCACGGAGACTTTGCTTCATTATGTGGCGCTGTGTAGCGTTTCGCGATTGGCGAGGGTGAGGAAGTAAATATATTTTTTTAATTGACGTATATAAATGTATATGTATATTCTGTTTTTGATTTTGAGATTTTTTTTTTTTTTTTTATTAACCAAAAAAAAATTTTTTTTTCTTTTTCTTTTTTTTTTTTTTTTTTCTGGTGTCGTGCGGTGGTTTGTCTTTTTTTTGAACGCTTCAGGCTTTCAATGGATGTGACGGATTATGTTTTTTTTGGGAGTGACAAAAATCATTTTATAACCGTAGACCTTCCTCACTTACTCATGTGTCGGACAGCGCTGGCGGCGCTGAAGGGGAGTGACACACAGTATGCTTGCTCCGAGATGCTTCACTGGGATGAATACCGGGAAATTTTTGGGGTATATGAGGGAACGGGTAAAATGTTGGATTTTTTCCTTAGAAGGACCGCTGCGCCGTTTTCAGGACATCGGTTTAAGTTGGAGAAAGGCAATTTCATTGTAAAAGCGTATTCTGTGGCTTTGGATCCCTCTTTCAGTGGAGCCCCTGTGCAGAGCTTCTGCTCAGAAATGGAACACTGGGATGAATTTCGGGAAGCAAACAACATCCGGGACGGCGTTCAGTCTATGAGAACGTTGTTCTATCCTCAAGTATTCTCTGGGTACGATATTTTTATGTTGGATAAAAAAGGGAAATTGGTCTTCGCGAAGATGATGTCCATTACGGCCTCGCGTGGGAATTTTGGTAAAGATACGCAGACGCTATGCACGGAAATGATTCACTGGGATGATTTCCAAACAGCGTGCGGCATTGTTCCAAATCCGAGATTGGAGACCGTTTTTAAAAAGAGTTGAGGACTACAGAACAACCCGCTCCACAGCATTGCCACCACACCTGGAACTGCGATGTTGGTTCGATTACAAAGGTACATTTTATTTCGTTGTTGGATTGTTGTTTCACACTGTATATATACGTTTATTTATTCATTTTTTCCTATGCTCTCTAATAATGTTTTTTTTTTATTATTTTTTTACTATTGCTTTGAAATAGGTATTGTTCGTTTTTTGTTGTCGTTTTTTGTAGCCCCTGATGAACTCAGGATTTGCAGGGGGCGGTTTTGGTCAGGCGACTCAAGGAGCTGCTGGTGGATTTGGTCAGCAAGCAGGTTTTGGCCAAGGTACACCTAGAGGCACTGCTGGCGGCTTCGGTCAGAATACTGGGACAACAGGAGGTGGATTTGGTCAAACTGCACAACCGGTGGATTTGGTCAGCCAGCAGGCGGCTTTGGTCAGCAGGCAGGCGGCTTTGGTCACGCAGGCACCGGTGGCTTTGGCCAGCAGGCAGGCGGCTTTGGTCAGCAAGCAGGCGGCTTTGGCCAGGCAGCGGGTCGAGGTACTGCTGGCGGCTTCGGTCAGAATACTGGGACAACAGGAGGTGGATTTGGTCAAACTGCAGCAACCGGTGGATTTGGTCAGCAGGCAGGCGGCCTTGGCCAGCAGGCAGGCGGCTTTGGCCAGCAGGCAGGCGGCTTTGGCCAGCAGGCAGGCGGCTTTGGCCAGCAGGCAGGCGGTTTTGGTCAGCAGGCAGGCGGCTTTGGTCAGGCAGCGGGTCGAGGCGCTGCTGGCGGCTTCGGTCAGAATACTGGGACAACAGGAGGTGGATTTGGTCAAACTGCAGCAACCGGTGGATTCGGTCAGCAAGCAGGCGGCCTTGGACAACAGGCAGGTGGCTTTGGTCAACTGCAGCAGCCGGTGGATTTGGTCAGCAAGCAGGCGGCTTCGGTCAGCAAGCAGGTGGCTTTGGTCAGCAGGCAGGAGGTTTTGGTCAGGCAGCGGGTCGAGGCACTGCTGGCGGCTTCGGCCAGAATACTGGGACAACAGGAGGTGGATTTGGTCAGACAGGTGCCACGGGTGGATTTGGTCAGCAAGCAGGCGGCTTCGGTCAGCAGGCAGCCGGCTTTGGTCAGCAGGCAGGAGGTTTTGGTCAGGCAGCGGGTCGAGGCACTGCTGGCGGCTTCGGCCAGAATACTGGGACAACAGGAGGTGGATTTGGTCAAACTGCAGCAGCCGGTGGATTTGGTCAGCAAGCAGGCGGCTTCGGTCAGCAGGCAGGAGGTTTTGGTCAGGCAGCGGGTCGAGGCACTGCTGGCGGCTTCGGTCAGAATACTGGGACAACAGGAGGTGGATTTGGTCAGACAGGTGCCACAAGCGGTGGATTTGGTCAGCAAGCAGGCGGCTTCGGTCAGCAGGCAGGCGGCTTTGGTCAGCAGGCAGGAGGTTTTGGTCAGGCAGCGGGTCGAGGCACTGCTGGCGGCTTCGGCCAGAATACTGGGACAACAGGAGGTGGATTTGGTCAGACAGGTGCCACGGGTGGATTTGGTCAGCAAGCAGGCGGCTTCGGTCAGCAAGCAGGCGGCTTCGGTCAGCAGGCAGGCGGCTTTGGTCAGCAGGCAGGAGGTTTTGGTCAGGCAGCGGGTCGAGGCACTGCTGGCGGCTTCGGTCAGAATACTGGGACAACAGGAGGTGGATTTGGTCAGACAGGTGCCACGGGTGGATTTGGTCAGCAAGCAGGCGGCTTCGGTCAATCAGCGGCTACTGGGACTGGATTTGGTCAAGTTGCTGCTGGCGGCTTCGGTGCGCCTTCAGGTGGCTTCGGTCAGGCCACAGGAACAAATGTGACGGGTTCGGGCGCAAGTTTTCCCGCTAACGTTATGCCTTTTATTAATTTACCAGATTTTGCGGAAAAACCGTATGGTAATGTGTTGCTTTTTGCACCAGATGAAGAACCGAGGAAACACGTGGCGGCTCCTCCCACAGCAGGTGCTTCCTCGGTTGTAATAATTCCAGCATCGATGTCACGATACCAGCAGAAGATGAGGATCGGTCCCACAGCGCCCGATGCAAGTGTCATCCTCAAGCAAACTCCCGCCTCTTTTTCAGTTCATGGCCTTTCAGATGTTGCCCTACGTGAACTAATCACTTCTCCCCGAGTAACTTTGGGGCTGCCGGATGCTGAGAAAGGTGCTGCCTCTTCAACAACTCCCAAAGCATTATTGGGAACAACTGTGCTAAACACGCCTGAGTTTGCATCCCACGTACCTGTTTGCTCGAGTAGTGACTATATTCTGGATCCACCTTTGAAAGTTCTACAGGAATTCACTGTTCAACAATTGCAAACTGTACATGATTTCAGTGTTTACAGGCGTGATGGGAAATGCTCTGTACATTTCCTTGAGCCTGTAAATCTTGTTCGCTGCGATATATCTGAAGTCGTAGCCCTTCGTCCAACTGGGGAGGTACAGTTTTATCCTGGCGTTGATGCACCTCCTCCGCTCGGTCATGGAATCCATGTCCCTGTTCGTGTGACAGTAAATGGTGTCGTTGCGACAACATCTGAAGAGCTTCGCAACCGCTGCCGCAGAGATGGGTCGGTGTTTGAGTCATACAACGAGGAAACAGGAAGGTGGGTGTACACGACTAACGTAGATGCCGATGCCGTTGTTAATGGAACCGTGGAGCTGGATGACGGATTTGTACCGGAAATTGAGCCAATATCCACGTACGGTGATTCTTCAGATGGCGCAGTACATACACCAGGATCTTTTGAAACCAGTGGTTGCTCTCGTCAGGTGACACCCACGTCAGCTTTTCTTCATGTGAAACCTGTGGCCCCTGTTTCCCTCACTCAACTTCCCAATCGAACGGATCAGACATCAACACTTCCAAGGCGTACCCGCGAGGTAACTATTTATGCTCAAGCGACGGTTCCAACCGTGTGCGATAAGTGCGAACCAAGAATGGATTTCAAGCTACCATACGAGCTTCCTGATACTCATGAGACTACACCCCGCGAAAGAAAGGGAGAGCTGAGCATTGGAGGACACCAAATAAAAAGGCATGATCCAGTGTATGTTGTGAAAAAGACAGATTCGAAGATGTACGAGATGAACAGAAGCCTTGTTTCAAAAAGCACTATGGCAAGCCTGGGTCGAAGCTTTCGATGTGGCTGGCAGCATTATGGACTTATTGCGGTTCCCTGCTTTGCGTGGCTCCGTGACGGAACAGAATGCCGGCGCATGGATGAGGAGGTGCCCGGGGCGAGGGTTTCAGTTGTGAATCCTTTTTTTGCTCATGCAACAAGTAAACACTATTTGCAGAGCTGCGCCATATCCGTACTTCGGGCAGTCTGTCGATACCTTCAGCTTGTTGAGGGAAGTTCGGATAAGCAAGGCAATTATCAGCTTTTTGCTGTGAATCTATGCCGTGAAAGTAGTAGTGTTTCTCTATCAACGGAGAAGCTACGTGAGCTTGTTGCTGCAATTGATGCGTTACGATGTGAACGGCCTTCTCCTTTGGAAGCTTCAACAGCACGACAGGCGAAAACCCTGTTGAGTCTTCTTGATTCCCTCTATGGGCTTCCTGAGGCTGACAAGGCAGAAGGGAATGCGATTGCCGAAAAGCGTTATCTCACGCAACTGCGAAGGAGGAATCTCAATGCTTGGCTTAAGGACGAATTGGGATTTATGGATAATTGGACAGAGGAAACAGTTGAGATGAATTCCACTCAAAGACTGCTCTTTAAGCTACTTTGCCACAAATTGCGAGAAGCCGCCTTTATTGCAAAGGATGAAGGGAACAAAGACCTATTTCGTGTACTGGGAATATGTGGCGACGGAAATCAGTTCGGTAGTTATGTGGCAGCCGCCGATACAAACCGAATGAGTGCTGAACCTGATGTTCGTGATCGTGTTGTTGCTTTACTGTCTGGTGTTGTTGAGCCTTTTATTTCCCATCCACGCTATGAGCGGTCAGAAAACGGGGAGGTTGTCAGCATGATTCCGTTAAACGCAACATGGAAACAATTACTAGGCGTTTTTGCCTTTTATGGGTGCTCGGCGGATACTTCTGCGGAGGACATCATCGGCGCATTTCTTGAGCGCTTGCGTGCACCATCCTCTCGCCAAGAGAATGCGTACCCGCCGTACGCGGAACATGTGACGCCAGATATGCTGCACACAACTCGTGGGAGGGATTTTGTTGCCCGAGGCGATGAGCTACAGGACGCGGCATTAAGTATATTGGAGGGTTTTGCATTCGGTACCGCCCCTGCGGCAAGTGCATTGCACCCACATTCCTCAAGTTACTGCGCGACTGATCATCTGTCACCATTTCTCATCCTTCTCTCTGTTCGGGCGATGAAAATAAACCGGCCAGACAATTACAGAGATGCCGAAACGAAGGCGCTTCTTGGTTTTGCGGCAACCCTCGAGTGCCTTGCAGATTCGTGGTTTTGGGCTCTGTTGCCCCTTCACATGATAGAAGACTTAAATAGTAGGTCTCTTGCGGTGAAAAATTTTCTTTGCCGAAACGTGTATCGATACAAGAAGGGCAGCTACGGGAGTAATGCCGATTTCAAGCGTCTTGTGGAGCTTTTCAAGTTAGACATGTCGTTACTCAATCCAAAAGAGCCACCCGTGGAATTTCCATTCGAGAAACCGATGAATGCCCCCAGCATTCGCACCCACACCTCTCTCTGCGAGGCGCTTGAGAGATTTGGCCGGAACTTTTCCAAGGAATAGAATTGTTTGTAAATAGGACCAACCCCAACTAAAAGATAAAAATTAAAAAAAAAAAAAAAAGGAAAGCGATATAAGTAAAAGGAAAAAAGAAAAGGGAATAAATGCAATTCATGATCAAGGTGATGACTGACGTTACGCAAGCCGCCAACAGAGGCTCCAGAGCTATGGTTTGGGGAATAAACAGTCCTTTAACTATGTTGGGAGTTGCCGCTATGATGATGATTTTAATGATGGTCCCCGGCCATAACGAGAGGGACGCTCTTTTGTTGTTGTTGTTATTGTTGTTGTACTTCCTCCCCACTTACTCCTGTAATGACTGCAAGTGATCTGGGAGTAACCCTGCCCTTTTTTTCTTCTTGAAGGGTGAGGGGAGGGGGAAAAGAGGCAGCGCGGTAGAGAAAAAAAAAAAAAGAAGGAAGGAGGGAAGGGTTGGAGCAGCTTGCGTGATTGTTTTCTTCTTTTGACTGGAGGAAAAAAGGGAAGGAAAAGAAAAAAAAACGACTTTCACAAAAACGCAAGCAAAAAAAAAAGGAAAAAAGGGAAACAAAAAAGTTGTGTATAGGTGGAACTTTTAGGGAAATGGGTTTCATTCAAGTGCCTTCCTTTTCGCTGAGGTATCAGGGTAATGGGCGAATCGAAGACGTTCACCTGTTCATGAGATGCTTGTATCAAATATGGTATTTCAGAGGGCCCTGGGGCTGCTGTCTGGCCTCATGCGTAGATTTTCTCAACAGTGTGGTTTTATTCTGTGCGATCTTTTTTCTTGCTTTGATGTTTGACTGGTCTGCCGCGCTCAACTGTGACGAGGTGAGCTGCGGGAACGTTACCTTGGTGCATGGCATTCACCTGCCAACTATTTTGGGGACGAATCACATGGTGCTAGCCTTTGTTTTGCTATTATCCTCGTTTATGGCTGCCTGCTACGAGTTTTTAAAGTTTGTGGAAACGTGTAGCCTGCAGAGTGAGCTTAACGGTATGCTATGTGGATTTGTTAACTGTGGTTACATCACGCCAGTTCATCGTTTTCTTCATATGTGTCGAGCCATGCGTGCACGCGCGCACGGACATGAGGAAATGCACCTCACTGGCGAGCCCAAATTTATAGGTGATTTGAGTTGGGGAAGCTTCTTGGATCTTGTTTGTGAGCGGATACAAAAGGATCGGGCATTTGGTGTTGTGGCATACAAGGAGTTTGACAGTCTTCGAGCGGTTCAGGCACTTATGGTGTATGACAACTACTTTATTGCTCTCCACCAGCATGGTATCCTTGAGAGGGGTACATTGAAGTATGTGGATAACGATCTTCTTAAGATCCTTATTTGTGGACTGTTTGACGAATTCAATACACTGAAAACTGGAAAGAACCAGGTTTCACTGGTTCGGTGGCAAGTTCTCAAGTATCTTGCCTTTTACGTTTTGCTATATCCCTTTGTTGTGACACTTTCTCTTCTGCGTGTGCTTGTCAAAAATGCTGCTGTCATGCGTTCTGATTGGGGAAATTACATGACAAGGGACTGGAGTAATCACGCACAGTGGACCTTTCGCCTGTATAATGAGGTTCCGCATATTCTTTCCGCGCGATTATCCATGGGGAGAATGATAGCGGTAGATATGGTATTGAAGTTACAGTCATATTCTAGCACTGAGCGTTTTATTCGCAGGACGGCCTCTACGATCGTTTTTGTCACTGTGGTACTGTCATTTTTGAATGCGCCACTTTTTATTTCTGGATCTGTTGGTGGCATTCCCTTTGTCTGGTGGCTCTCTATTGCACTTGTGGCCTTCACTATTTGTGCAGAGAAAGTTCCTGTGCAGCGGGAGTATAATTATCAGGCGGATCTAAATAGACTCATTCTGCAGCTGCACTACTGGAAAGACGAATGGTTTTACTCGGGGGAAAAATTTTACACTGCACTGACGAGAGATTTTTTGAAGAGCCGTTTTTTTGTGATTATTGAGGATTTGGCGCACACTTTCTTTATGCCGATAATCCTTCTTGGGGTGTTGTTTGACGGAAGCATAAGTGAACTCGTAGATGTTGTTTTTAACGAGTCTGTGAGTGTGGACGGACTGGGTTCTGTTTCAAAGGGATCTGCCTTTGAATTACTCTGTGGCGATGATGGGGACGACAACGTGACTGCGTCGTATTTCAACGAGAAGTCTTCCAAGTCCATTGCGAGTTTCTCCTCCATTTACGCGGGTTGGTCGGCCAAACGTTTACAGGCGGCGGCGGAGACGGAGATGACAGAAACGACGGAGTCAGGCGTCTTTTCCAGAAAGGCTCTTGACACCTTAGTGAGAAATTTGCATGAGGAGATAAATGCGCAGAAACACACTGAACAACCACGGGACACCGCTCAAAATTTTGTTGGTGCTCCTACTGATTCTGTGCATGAAGGATTTTTTCAATCGAAATTATGGGAGCAAAGTAATGCTCACGAAAGGGAGCAGCTGTTTGTCTCACAGGTGATGAGCTCGCATCTTGCTGAGTCTTCGTTTCCGGGTCAACCATCTTCTCCATTTTCTTCGCGCAGGATGATCAGAGAAGGTGTGCCACACGATTCGGCTCTGTTTCATACGGTGACATCGTTGGAAAGACCGGATTATCGGAGTTCAGGCATCTAGTGCTACAGGTCACCTGCATGAATTGTGTCATTGCGGTTTCTTTTTGGGTGTTTTTCTTGTCTGCATTTTCTTTTCTTTTCTTTTTTTTTTTTTCCTGTGTGTTGCATTGAGCGCAGTATCAGTTGGCCCGCATATATACACATATGCGATTTTATGGGTAATATGTATGTACTCCTACGACTGGGGTTTGTGGAGGGTCCGTTCCTTTCATTTCCCCTTCTTTTATGGCCCTTTTTTTTCTCCTGACGACAATTCTGTGCATGATGTTCTTTTCTTTTTTTTTCGTTTTCGATTATGAGGTTTCGTTGGAGATTCTTTGCGGCTGTCTCCTTTCTTAGTCGAGTGGGATGTGGATATGGGGTGTTTGAGGCCCATGGGCGGAGCCGCTGCGTGGGACTGCGTTTTGTGTACTGTTCGTTCGGCGGGGTTTCTCTCTCCCTCACCTTTTTTTTTTTTAATTATTTTGTAACCCGAGTTTAACTTTTTTATTTCTTTTTGTTTTTGTTTCAATCCATTCATTCATTCATTTTTTATTATTTTTTTTACTTGTTCTTTTGCATCCGCAAGCAGATGGAGCAGTTGGAGGAGCAGCTTGATGCGCTTTGGGATGAGAGCCGGACAAAGAGGCGGGCGAAGGTGGATGAGCTTAACGCTGCGCTCGTTCAACGCGTACGTGATGGTGTCGATGCGACGTTGCAGAAGGTGCAGTCAGCCCTGGCGGGTGAACAGGCGGAAATGGAGAGAGAAATTGACCGACTGCTTCGCATGATAGACGAGCTGGCCGCAGGCGTTGAAATGTGGAAGCAAAAGGCCCTGAGCTCCATGGATTTTATCGATAAGGAGCAAAAGGCTCTTGGGAGCATGGTGCAACAGTTATCTATCCGAACTGCAGCCCGAAAGGAGGAAATGATGAAGCGACAGAGGCAACGTTTAGAGGAGCTTCGTTCCGCGTGCATGGAGCGGTTTAAGGAGGTAGAGTTGAGGTTTTGACCCAACATCATCGTTGTCATTTCATAAACGGCAGAGTGCCCATAGACGACAGAAATGAATTACAATATTGCAATTCACGTTGTGCGTGCCTGTGATTGTCGTTTTCCTTACGTGTATAAGTGTGTTTATTTGCATTTCTGTCTTGCGAATATCCCTGGCAATACCTCCCAGAGTCTGATGGATGATTTTCTGTCCTTTTTTAATGTTTTTTTGTTGGTTGTTTTTTTTTTTTTGTGTGTGTGTGTGTGTTTGCATAGATTGCAGTGGGTTGGAAAGGAATATATACGTATATATATATATACATATACATATATGGCGATGCCAGGATTGCAACGAGTTCTTGCTGCATCGGGTGGGGCTCATGGTGCTCGGGCATACCGCAAATTAACGGGTGCCGGGGTTTTTTTTCAGCCGTACCTGCTGCGGGCAGTGGAGGAAAAAAGAGGGATGTGGTCCTGTTCGGCATTACAACTGCGAAGAAAATTTGTCGTGTCTGCTGCCTTTGCGAGTGCCATGACACACGCACGACGATGGCAGAGCAGCACGGGGGCGGCAGATTACTACACTCTTCTTCGGGTGAGGCCTGACGCCTCCGCGGATGAAATCAAGGCGTCGTATAAGAAACTTGCTTTGCAATACCATCCCGATCGCAACAGCGACCCAGGGGCCGAGGAGATGTTTAAAAACATCTCGGAGGCATACCATGTGATTGGCAACAAGGAGCGTCGAAAGGAGTATGACGGGAGACGTGCTGCTTCCTCCTTTTCAGGCGGAGGCTCTGGGAGCGGGTTTTCTACCGGATATGCTCAGCAAAGCCCCCCGGGCTATCAACATATGTCGAAGGAGGAGGCGGATCGTCTATTTCGCGAATTGTTTGGCGGTATGCGAGTTGATCAGATATTTCGCGATTTTGAAGAAGAAATGCGACGCAGCAGTATGGGCGTTAGACAGGGCCGCACTTCATCGGAGTTTGCTGAGAATGAACAGGCCTTTCGACCCTTCTTTCGCGGTGGGTCAACCCGTGTCTTCACAGACGCCCATGGGAATCGTATGGAGGAGCGTGAATTTCAGGACTCTCGTGGGACAACATTCAAGGTGCGTACGATAAGCAGTGAAAATCCGAATGCCAGCACCAACCAACGGGTGGAGGAGTTTTACGGTGCCAAGGCAGAGGGCAGCCGTGATGGCAGGTTTCACTATGGCAACTCCTCGTTTAATGTGAACCCTCGTGGTGCCACAAACGACTTTGGTCAGGCAGTTTTTGGAGTGAGGACACACGGGAGACATCCATTTGTAGGCATGATGATTATTGCCGCATGGGGAGTCGTCATTGGTACGTTTTTTTTGGCTGTGTTTGCATTTCTTTTTTCCCACCCCATTTTTACCATGTCCGTACTGTTTCTCATATTTCTTGGGCGGATGCGTCCCTTTTGGTGAGTGAATAAGGAATATTTTGGCCTTTCTGGTTACCGCGTGTGGCTGCGGTTTGGACACCACTTTGGCGGACATTTTGTGCATCCTTTACCTCCACGCCTCATTTTTTTTTTTTTTTGTTCCTGTGTTTGTGTTTGTGCTCTCCTCCCAAATATTTTTTTTTCTTACCTCGGGCGCCGGCCCTGCCAGGGATTGTATTCGCTGAGAAAAACCGCTTTATGTTTTCTTTTTTCTTTTCCCCCATTGCCCGCCGTTTCCAAGAGAAACACAATACTGCAAAGAGGGCGTTTTTGGAGGAAAAATACGCTCAAAAAGTACAAGAAAAACAAAGATGAACCGCCTTCATGTAATCGAATCCCACGAAGGAAGCAACGGTCCCACGGTTGTAGTTGTGGGCTCCTGCTTCCTGGACTACATCGCCTATGTGGACCGCATTCCGAGGATTGGGGAGACACTCACATCCAAGAGCTTCTCTAAAGGATTCGGTGGGAAAGGCGCCAACCAGGCTGTGGCTGCCGGCCGACTTGGCGCGCGCGTGGCCATGGTGGGTATTGTCGGCTCCGACGGCGACGGTGACGAATACATTGCGAATTTTAAAAGGAATGGGGTAGACACAACGAACGTGTACCGGGAGCGCAATGGCGCGACAGGGCTGGCCATGATTTTTGTGGACACCAAGACGTCAAACAACGAAATTGTGATTTGTCCCAACGCGACACATGCACTGACCACCGAATTCTTGCGTCGTCAGTCGGACAATTATAATCGTTTTCTTTCGCAGAGTTGCCGTTTTCTCATCTGCCAGAACGAAATTCCTCTTGAAACGACTCTTGATGTGCTACGAGAGGCACACAAGCGCGGTATTTACACTGTTTTCAACTCCGCCCCAGCTCCCTCGTTGGCGGAAGTGGGGGTTATTAAGCCGTTCCTGCCGTACGTTTCGCTTTTCTGCCCGAATGAAGTAGAAGCTGCAATGATCACCGGGATGGAGGTGAGCGATGGGGCGTCCGCTGCCAAAGCCGCGAAAGCCCTGCAGGCACTTGGCGTGCGGAATGTTGTCATCACGCTTGGCGCGCAGGGTTACGTCATTTGCGAGATGGGATCAGAGCCGATGCATGCGCCAGGCCTTCGTGTGAAGGCTGTGGACACCACGGGCGCTGGCGATTCCTTTGTTGGGTCGATGGTGTACTACATGTCGAGGGGCATGTCGCTTTCAGAGGCCTGTAGGCGGGCAAATGTTTGCGCTGCGTTCAGCGTGCAGCGCAAGGGCACCCAGAGTTCTTACCCCACACCCGACGAACTCCCTGCGGACGCTCGGGCGTAAATTGGGTTTAAGAAGCGGGAAGAGAAGTTACGTGACAAGGGAAATATTTGTGAAACATGTGAAAAAGAAATAAATTTAGGGGTCATTTGGCCGTTTTTGCGCATAGACGTACCATTTCACGCAGAAAATGGGCCAAGTGTGACCAACTTTTTTCCTACCTCCCTGTGACTAGGGGTCAGTCTGCGTTTGAGGGAGACGAGGTGTATTTGAGGGAATACAATCGGTTCGGAAACAATCACGCGTTTCCGTATAAAATGATGTGAGGGCATGAAAAACAAAAACAAAAAAAAATGCAAAGAATACGGCGTCAAAAAACACGTGAAAAAGCAATTTGCTTTATATTAAGAGGGATCGATGTTGACGGGGATTATTCTACAAGCAAAATGGGTCAATATATATATTGATTGTGTTGGGAGCTTGTGAAAAGAATGATTGCGAGAGGGCTGGCCACCCGATTTAATATGCACATCCTGATAAGACGAAAACATTTATTTACAATTATTTTCTCTCTTACGGTTCATTTGTAAGACCGCAATGGGAGGAGTCAATGAACCGATAAAGTCACGACGGATTTGTTCTTTTTTTATTTTTGTCGTTCCACTCGGCCCCTTTTGATTCCTCCCACCTTGCGGCGGTGTCTTGTGGCAGGAGGACCTTAAATTCCACCAATTTTTAACTAATATAAACATCCCCAATCCGAATAGAGCGCAACATGTCACGAGAGCGGCAATTTGAATAAATCTATCTATCTATATATATACTTGAAGCAAACATGGAGGATATGGCGAGGCCACCGCCTCTCCTTTACCTTTTCTTTCTTGTCCTATTTTTATTTCTTTAGAGAGGTTCAGGATCTGGCTAGCAGCCCAGGCGGATGTTTTGCGTTTTTTATTATTGTTGCGTTTTCCGAAGTTTTTTGCCTGTTTTTTCTCCTCAAATAAAATTTGCGCATATTTGGTAGGCGGGGGTGCTGAGATGTTCTTCATGATGCCACTTTGTATGCAATCTCACTGCCACTCCTCCCTTCCCTGCCCTTGTCTCTCCCTGTATTTGCACGTACTTGTCTTTGCGTTTGTGTGTGTTTTGTTTCCTGCTCTGATTGTATGTTTTTCTCTCTTTTTTTTTTATGCGTTGCCGATTGGGATCCGCCCAGTTGAAGGCAGAGTTCGCTGCGGAACCGCCCGGGGATAACAAGTAAGGAAAAGGGTGGGAAGGTAAAAGGGGACCACTGACGCACAAAGAAAGAAGAAAAGAGGTGTGAGTGGGAGAAGAAAAGCAGTCGGAGAGACAAACGCCGGAGCGAACAGGACTTTCTCGCCGGCACCGCCGCTACCAAAGTGGAAGCGAAGCAGAATAAGAGAAAAGGGAGAAGGTGTTGTTTGCCTGCGACAGCCAACTAGAGGAACGCCACGGAAAGAGAAAATGACCGAAGTATGCGGCGAGGAGACGCTGGTGCCAAGTTATCCGGTTTCACCAAGGCCACGGCGACAGCCCATGGCGTCGCTTTCAACCAACCAGCGATCGTATTCGCGGATGAGTTCGAAGGGAATCTTTGGCGATGAGTCTCCGCTCCTGCTTTCACCGCTTCCAAAGTACCCAAACCGTCGTCGAAGTGTCACATTTGCCGACGAGACAGAGGCGACAGTGAGGGAGGAGCGGCCGTACTACACAGCTTGTGAAACGGGCAACACGCCAGGTAAGCATCTGTCGGAAAGTCCTTTTAGGCGGCCCATTATAAAAACAACGTCAAGAACAAATAACGCTACCGATGCAGTTGTTGCTGTTAACATGAACCGGCACAATGACACCACATCGCATGCACCGGTAGCACCCGCAACTTCCCCGACAATCAAACGGGGACGTTCCAGCAGTCGACAGCGTCGGGCTGCACGTCGGCATCAGGCTGAGTTATATCATGGCTTCTACGATGACAGCATTGTGGAGGATTATGTTCTCAAGGCAAAGAAGGAGATTGAGGGAGAAGAAGAAGAGAAAATTGTGGAGGAAAATTTAAAACAACAGGAAAAGGAGCTTGCAGAGGCTGAAATGAGGGCAGCCCAAGCAACAGTCAAAATCAGTGCGTTGCAACAAGCCAAAGAGTATCTTCTTGCCACGGCGAATGCCCGATGTTTCTCTCCCGCGTGCTCGAGCTCTGAACGCCGGGATAGTGGCTTTGCTTCTTCGCGATCGTGCCACCACTCCTTGAAGAAGGAACCCAGCCTAATTCAGCAAGCGGACGGAGAAGTAGAAGAAGTAGGGGATATTGAACAGCAGCGTCGTCATCCACCACAAAAACCTGTCAAGCATTCCATGCCATTAGTTACGCAGATGGATGATATGGATGAGAAGGGCTCAGGCAAGCGTATTCGACAAGTTTCATTGAAAAAGGGAGGTCATTCATTACCCATTCGACACGACGGCCAGATCCACACGGAAGATGATGATGATGACAACGAGGATAATAATATGAGTAAGCGGAAGAAGACAAAACTAGAGCGCATCATTGCTCGTGCGATCGAGCAACAAGCAAAGCGTCGTCACGGAAAACGCAGTGTGGTGGTCATCGACTGGGACTGCGATAGCTGTGGCGAGTTGCTGGCGAGCGACGCTGATGTGGAGGAAGAGGAGACCGATAATGATGATGAAGAGGTGGCGATGACAAGAGCGGCAGCGCGGAGCTGTAAGGAACCAATGTCGAAAAACCCCAGCAATGCTGCTTCCGCTTCCGCTACTGCAGCGTCCGCAGCCTCAACGGCATCGAGACAAAAGAAACAATCCACTACTCGCCATGTGTCGGTGCGTGCTCCTTCACGAAAGAGGGGCGCTAACAGCGCAAGCGTCGCGCCGGATTTGGGGGCGGACTCACTTCTTCTCGAGGAGGACCAGCCGGTGTTGCTTCGCCGTCCTGCAACCAGGCGGCGTGCCCCCACACGGTCCATCTCTTACATGTCTCCTGAAGCGGAGGATGATTCCGTGCCTGATCACGCGGTGGATGTGTCACGCAAACCACCGCGACGGACTCCAGCCCCGAAGGCGGCAGGAAGGGGTAGCAAAGCACCTGCTCCCGCGACAGGAACGGCACTGTCACCGCATCGTTTTCCCTCTTCGGTTCCTCCTTCAGTGGCTGTTGCGCATGTTTCCCAGAGCTTTACATCGGCCCGACACAATTCGCATGCAAACGTTGAACCGCTGGACGATCCGCCTCTGCCGCCAGTCAATTCACGCCGTCGATGCCGCACTACTTCGGCGGCCTCGAGACCACCGGCAACGGTGACTTCGTCAGATGACCCGATGGCTGTTTTCTTCAGTGCAAGCTTCCCCAGTCCGTCCAAGTTTGAGGAAATGATGTTGGCTGCAGGTGGCCTTCAAGAAACACGAAAAGTGGGACGAGGGCATCCGAGACAGCCGGCACTTCTTTTGCCCGACTCCATTTTGCGCCGTCGTTGACGGGATAGAAGAAACTCAAGGAAAGACGTGAAAGGACGAGACAACACGAAATGCGAAGTGTGTCGGCCACACAAACAACGCACTCGTGTTTGAATGGCGGCTGTCTGCTTTTCTGCTTTGTTATTTGTGTAAGTTTGACACACAATTTTATTTTCCCACTCTTTTTTTGTGCATGTATCACTGTTTACCGGCAATCACAAATATAATGTTAGAAGCACACAGGGGCATTAGATCTTTAGACACGTTGGTTTTTGTGTCGGGATAGAATTTCTTTCTTTTTTTCTTCTTTCTGTTTGCGTACACACACAACCTACCAATTAAGAAGAAAAGAAAAGCTGTGGGGGGGTTTTAGATTTGTGAATCCCCCGTCTTACCACCTTTTGGTTTCCTTTTTTTCCCCCTTTTTTTTTTTTTTTTGTTCTTTCTGAACATCGCGGCATTTTTTTATGGGTGTGTGATGCGGGTGCGTAGAGTACGCGATCTGCCGCGTTCCCCTTCGGTCTCCATATTATTATTATTATCTTTTTTTTTTTTCAGTCAAAGCTAGAGAAACCCATGCGAACACACCACACGCTTTTCCTGATTGTTTCTCGTGTCACATTTGTCGGTATAATGCCCCGTTCCAGGAATATTTAGAAGGTAAGAGATGGCAACACAAAATACCGCAAGAAAATATGGAAATAAAGGGAAGACGGTGAGACAAGAGGGGTAATAATTTGAATGAAGAAGAGCGAAGAAAAGGAAAAGGATCGACATGTAACGAATAAACACACAAGTAGAAGAAAAAAAAAAAAAAGAGGTAGAATAAATCAAAATCTTTGTACTTCTCTAGGGGGTGGACAGGTGAAATGAAGAAGGGTTTTTTTTTTTGGCCTCGGGAGAGGGAGGGTGCGTGGTGGGAGAAGAAACATGTGGGATTAGTGGTGGTGGCAGTGGTGTCTGTAGGAGACAGGAGCTTGTACGTTTATTTTATTTTTCATTTTTTGTTTAGATGATAGAAGTTCTGTTTTCATGCAGAAATTTTTCTTTTTTTTTACCTTTCTGTGAAGTTACCATTGCATGAGGCAAGGTTTTCACAGAATGCGTCTTCAGTCTTTTTTTTTTTTTTTTTTCTTTTTGATATTAACTTTAGTTTTGTTTGTTACCTGCGCACTACGCGTCTATCTTTATCTAATGTTGTTTTTGAGTCTTTTTTTTTTTTTCTTTTGTCTGAAGCAGAGGAAAGGGAAAAGGAGTGATGTCGGCGTTGCAGCCGTTGGCTCTGCTTGTCCCAAAGCAGATCCAGTCTCTTGTCGTGGACGGTGGTGCTGAAATTGTTGTGGAGAGGCGGTCAGACGAGAAGAGATGTTTATTTTTGCGTTTTTTTGACGAAGCGGAGCGGGAGGAGGCGGTTCGTGGAAAATCCACGTGCGCCCAAATCCATGAAAAGGTTCTTGAGGACCTGAACTGGGCACGGTCGACACTATGGAATGATAGGAGACTTCAACAGTATTTGTACAGTAGGGACTGGATGACGTGGCCGTCGCTCCCAGAACTATCGAGCATGGTGGAACTCGTACGATCGGCGAAAGAAACCGATGAGGTACCCGACTTTTCTGGTTCAAATGCCCTCAAAAAGGCATTGGATATTATTTATATGGAGGCGACGTATCCTGGTCTCCATGCCTTAAAAGAGGAGAATCTTGCGGGTACACTTCTTGCATTTGGCACGACAAGGAGAGATAACCGTATCGTTGGTGATACGATGCATGCACTTTTGGGCAGAGGTGATGAACAGCGTATTGGAAGCTCGTTGTGGGTGTTGGATCTTAAAACACCCTCATTTACTCCTGATGAAGCTATACTACTTTCCCTAACGACACGTGTGCGAGAAAAGTGTCTACGGGTTATGCAACCGGAATTGGGCGTTGCGGACTGTGGGGGCTCGTGGAGTGCCGTATTGGCAGCACACCGTCGTGGAATAGACGAACTTGGACCGCGTCTTTTCTGTGGCATTTCAGAAGGGTTGTTACAGTTTGCTATGGCGCCGGTATATCTGGCAAAGGCGATGTGTGAAGCGGCAGAGAGGGGGTTTCGGGTCCGCCTTCGTGTCGGCATTTATTTAACCGTATTACAACGAACGGAGGTGTTTGTCATGACGCGCGGGTCTTGCCAGAGCGTTGCTACAGATGACAAATTGGAGGTGAAAGCTGCATTTGTGGAAAGGACAGGCCGATCATACGAAGCCTGTGTTGCAGCTGGTCTTTTCCTATATTTGTTGGAGGGAGAAACGTTAGAGGTTGCGATTCGTTTGCGCTTTTTAGGTCCTCTTGCAGGTAAATTCGATATCATGGAGACAATGCCACTCACCGCCACGACGCAAATAACGCCTGTCCTGGTGCGGCACAATCCCTTTGCCATTGTGCATGGCCCGCGGGTGGTGGGCACGTTCCCGGAGAATTGCGAAGTGCGCAAGGCGTTGTCAGACCTTCTCCTTTCGCGTGATTCTTCTGCACTTCCCGCCACTCCTGAGCCCTCACAGCAGAGCATGGCGATGAAGACGAATTATACCTCTGCGACACTAACGGGAGAACAGCTCCGTCGCGGCGTTGACGATGCAATTTTTAGGACGCTTTCTCAGGGACCCATGACGAGGGCTGCACTAAGCGCTCACGATAATATGGCGAGGTTCCGAGGATTGGCAAACTTTGAGGCGATCCTAAAGGACTCCTTGAAGCGGAATGCCGTGCACCAAGGAAAGAAATACTACTTGAGGGAGTGACGCACACCAAGCCCGTTTTGTTTTGTTGGACTTCTCCTGTTTTTTGATGTGTTGTTTCTTGGGCCCTAAGCAATGGTAAGTTAAATAAATACCACGTGCAAAGCCGAAGGGAACTTTGAAGGCTTTGATGCCATCCATTTGTCATCCGTGCTTTCTCGTTCTCTTTACGCTTGCATTTGTTCTCTCCGATTAGTACATACGTGAGTGGGTGTGTGCCACATTCTTTTCGTTTTTCTTTTTTTCTCCGTGTGTGTGTGTGTGTGTGTGTTTTGCGCGGCCGCGTTTTGTTTGGTGCTGCTACCTTTTCTCTTTTTGTTGCTTTTTGGTTATTCTGTTGCCCCCATTGCCTTTCAACACCCATTTTTTTATTTTTTATTTTTACTGTAACGTGCTGTTCCAGCACGCATTCCTTGGCGGTGGTGTGGGGCATAGTGAGGCGGGTGCATCAATGGGGAAGGGTGCCCGATCAAAGCGCGGCCCTCGTGGGCCTGCAAAGAAGCAACACACGCCGAGGCACCGCGCTGCGGAAGTGGACCCCGCTCTGGTCGAGTTGTACCGCAGCACACGGCAACCCGTGAAGAAGAGTCAACTCTTCGAGCAGCTGCGGGAGCAAAAGAAGGACGCCAAGCGTGTCCGCCGCGAGGCGCGGGAGAGGGAGCGGAAACAATTGAAGGAAAATGCACCAGCAAAGGCGATCCCAAAGACGAAGGAGCGTCTGCGTCGTCCTGATGTCACAATAGTTGAGGAAAAGGACGACGCTGAGATTGTGCGAGACGAGGCGGATGACGAGTTTGCGGCGTACTACAACGAGGCACGGAAGCCCTCTATTCTCATTACAACCGGTGAGCATCCTTGTTTTCGTACAAAACAGTTTGTGAAGGAGGCGCTATGGCTATTTCCAAACTCCACCTATCGCCCGCGTAAAGACTACACATTAAAAGAAATTACACAGTTTTGCATCAACCGTGAGTTCACCGATTTAGTCGTTATCACCGACCGACTGAAGGAGCCTTACAATCTTATCATCTCACATCTCCCAGAGGGCCCCACGGCGACGTTCCGCCTATCAAATTTTATGGCACACGCACAGCTGAAGGATCCAGCCCCGCGGACCGAGCACTACCCAGAGCTTATATTCAAGAACTTTGACACACGCCTGGGTCGTCGCATTCACCGCATGTTGGAATGTCTTTTTCCTGCCACTCGGGACTACGCCGGACGCGCCGTAGCAACATTTCACAATCAGCGTGACTATATTTTTATGCGAACGCACCGTTACATATTTGATAGTCTGGAAGCCGTACGTATCCAAGAGATGGGACCCCGTTTTACGATGCGGCTGCTTTCGTTGCAGTTGGGAACCTTTGACACGCAGTTTGGGGAGTACGAGTGGTTTCGCAAGAAGGAGCATGACTCAGACAAGCTCGAGTGGTATATATAAACCACGCATTCCCTTTTTTTTTTTTTTTTTGGAAGTTTCAATCGTGTAAAAAAAAAAAAAAAAAAAAAAATGGATGTATGCGTAGAAGAGTTTATTATCAACGTGATTGTATTAATTGTCTGTTGTTTTAAAAAGAAGCAGCAGCAGCGAAAGAACAAAATTGAAAAAAAAAAACATTTGAAGCTCTGGGGCACCGAGACACATGCACATATGAATATGTGTTGGCAATTTTTTTTTTTTTTTTATGCCTGCATCAATGCATTGTCTTTCTGTCCGTTCTTTTAACCGTCATTTTCTTTTTTTTTTTTTTTTTCTTTCTTTGTCTTGGGTTTGTAACGTGTAGAGAGGAGCCGAGGTGCGGCGCAACGGCTCTCTCTTTTTTTTTTTTTTTTTTCTCTTTTCTCTACAATGAAGTCATTAGCTACAATACGAGCAATTGTGGAGGAGCTTGCTCCCAAAAACCCGTACACAGGCTTGAAGGATCTGCCTGAAATTCCTCGTCCCGAGGAGTCTTCTATCCCGCGTGAGTTGCCATCGCTACAACAGATACCGTATGTGCAAAATGTTCTGAATATGCTTTCTTACAACTTTCTTCCGCAGACCTTTTTCTGCTTGGAGAAGCACCGGTCGCTGGATAGCATAATGCTTACCTCTAAGGAAATTCTTGCAGAGGCGCTCCCAATACGTTGCCTGGAAGCCACTTTTGTCGGCCTGTACCTCACGCACGGGATGAAGGGTGTAGACCGTATTCCTCTCTCGTTCAAATCTCGAGCCAGGGGAAAGTCGTTCCATCATATTGTTCTTGTTATTCGGTGCGACTTACTTTACGGGGCGTTGGGCCTTAGTCGTAGATCGACCCTCATGGACAAGCCAATGATGTACAAAAACCTGTTTGAACTTATCATGGAATACAAGGAGCAATATGAAGCTATTGGCCACCAGCTTGTAGATTTTAAATTAGGTCTTTGTGCTAGTCACGAATCACACTCGCGGAAGGCCCCGTGTTGGCGCTACATTGCGGTAAGTTTTGCAAAGTGGAATTCACCGTTGCATTTGACATCACCACATCCGAGTGATGAATTACCAACAAGCGAGAACAGCAAAGTGTCGTCTGAGGATGGATGTGCCGAGGAACCAAGTGTGCTGGCAAATGTTTCTAATCTTCTGGATCGCTACTCGGAGCTACTGACCATCATTTCGGCACAGTATGAAAAATGCACCACCCCTTTTCTCCATGGATCAACGCGGGAATCCCATCCCATCTGCCTAAGGGACCTTCATGAAATGGAGGAGACAACGGCACGTCAGGAGAATATGAGACGTCTGGAGGCAATTTGCAACGGGCGCTTGCCGTGTCTTGTTTTTGACGTGGGCACAAAAAAACGTGCTGCCTCACGCTCTACCTCAAAGAAACGCATCGAAACGAGCCGCAAAACCGCGACTGTAACGCGAACTTCCGCCACAAAATGCACTGCAGCCGCCACGAAAAAGTATTCTAAAAAAGATATCCCTGCCGACGGCCAAAAAGAAACACAACACAAACAGTCACAAATGGAACAGGAACAGGAGCTGCAGCAGCTACCACTCGTCATGGAGCACACATCTTCCCTTTTTTCTTCACTTGCTTTGAGTGGAAGATTAAACAATAGTACGAGTGTTACCCAGAGGAGTGAACGCAGTGGTCTTTCCCCATCAAAAAGGCATTCGCTTCCTTTTTTAGAGAACAGAAGCAACGAATTTGGTTCGTTGGTTAGTCAAAATAGTGACAGTTGGGGGATTCCATTTCTTCCATTTGATGTAAACGGAGTGAATTTTCATGATCTTTTGTAGTCACTGCCTGGCAACATGGTTGAAGGTTTTTGTGACCGACATCAAAGTAGGGTTCAAAAGAGAATGTGCTGAAGCATTTACGCGTTACAGCGGTTCTTTTTTTTTTTTTTTTTTTTCTCTTTTTTCTTGCGTGTGTTTGTGTGTGTCTGCTTGTTTACTATCATTATTATTAATGTTTTTTTTTGTTTTGTTTTTTGGTGGATCTGTCTGGGTTCCACTGTCCTTGTTTTAGTTTTCCCTCCATCCTCTCTCTGTCTTCCTTACTGTCCTGTGTGCGGTATTGCACTGCGTGTTTCAGGGGGGATGGAGAAGAGGGTACCGAATGGTTGTGGCGGCGACAGAGTGAGCGGGGAAAGTGGGAAGAAAAACGAAGTAAATATTTGCCGTGGTTTCGAAAATGAGATGCCTCGTAATTCTCCCTGAGAACGGGCCTGGACATTTGGAAGAGCGTGGGCCCATTTTGTTTCATTGTATTTGTTTAGTGTGACTACAGGAACAGTTTTGATGTTTTGCTCCTTCCTTTTCATTGCATTTATTTGTGTGGACGTTGAAATGAATTTCTTTCTATGGATCCTTTGTCTGTGCATAATATATACATATACATATATATATATATATATTGGTGAAAGGACTTTTTAAAATGTCTTTTTGCTGTTGTGAGATTGTTTTTTATTTTCTATTCATCCTTTCTCGTTATTTCTGCCGCAGCTGTTGAAGTTATTTTTCTTGTGCATTGTTTAGGCTGGGGGGTAACAAATAGAGTGATGGGGGTCCCAGTTTTAAACTCGTTGCGTGATGGAGGTCTTGTTGTCAGCGGAACACTGGCGTTTCTGATTTGTCTCGTGGCCCAGCGAGCGAAGTTGCATCGGTATGATGCAGCCATCCTCGACATACGCACACCCGATGATACTCGAGTGACACGTTCGTTTTTTGGTGACTTTCTGTATGTCGCGAAACTGGCATTGCCTACGGTGTGGTGCAAGGAATTTGCTGGAATGACCGTATTTATTATACTTTTTTTGGTGAAGTCAATCCTGCACGTGGCACAATCCAACGCTAATGGACAAATTTTGAAGGCTATCGCTTCTGATACCCCAGAGAATCGGGTACAAAACTTTTTTCGTGTGCTTCTCTTGCGCGCTGCGGTCTCGATGATGGCGGCGGTTTGTAGCGGCTCCATTGAACACCTACGGACGTTACTTATTGCTTGCTACCGTGAGCGTCTCAGTCGATACCTGCAACGCCGATTCTACAGCCATTTGTTGTATTATCAGGCAACTGTCTTGGACGGGCGGCTTGAGACGGCGGACACGGTCATTGCGACATATTGTGGGGAGTTTGCCGAGCACTTTGCGGAGCTACCGTACTACTTTCTGCTCCCCATGTTTGGGTGCATGACATCGATGGTTGTGTTAACAAGAAATGTTGGGGCAAAAGCGGCGGGGTTGGCGTGTGGTGCGGTCGCAATTTCTGTTTTGATTCTCCAGAAAATCTCCCCTGCTTTTGGGCGCATCCACGCGTCTTTACTTGCCAGGGAGGAGGATTATCGTCGCATGTTGACAAATAGCCTGAATAACGTGGAGTATATTGCGATGCACAATGGCGGCAGTTACACCCGGCAAAAACTTGAGAGGCAACTTGGCAAACTGAAGCGCGCACTGGACCACTTTGCCCTCGCAAAGGGACACTTTGATTTTCTTGAGATTTCTTTTTCGGCTCTCTTACAGGCCATTTCGAGTCTTGTCATATTCCGTGGCGCACACCAAATGAAAACGAAAAGCATGAACGACATCTATGTGGAGATACAATGCATGCAAGACTTGATTGAAAATGTAAAGAGTTTTGTCGTGAATTTCCGCGAGGTTTCCCATTTGTCCACCTTCACGGTGAAACTGGCGGAGTTTGACTCGACCCTTACGAGCATCGCAGAGGGATGTTTTATCCGTTCTTCAGGCGCATCACCGAAGAGTGATTGCAATTCCGATTTCCCTGTTAGTTATACGCATGTCAATTACATTGTCCGCCCTAAAGGGAAGAAGGATTTTACGCTTTTTGCCTTTTCCAACTTGAAACTCATGACGCCGGCAGGACAGCTGCTTTTTAATGACCTTGATCTTGAGATAAAGAGTGACCAGGATTGGGTGATTTTGGGCGAGAATGGCTGTGGTAAAACGTCTCTTCTTCGTATGATTTCCGGGCTTTGGCGCCCTACGGAGGGGAGTTATTCGATGGAGCGGGGAATCAAGTTGCTTTTTGCCCCACAGCATAGTTATATGGTACCACAATGTACTTTGATTGAGCAGGTTCTTTTTCCAATTGTTTCAAATACGCTGGGTGCGAAGGAACTTGACTCGTTTAAGGAAGCGATCAGGCTCTCCGGATCGCACTCAGTGATTGATGTGCTTGGTGGGTTTGATAGTCCGTATGTTGGTGCCGATCCGAGAACGGCCGATGACACGTACGATTGGGATTCTCTCAGCGGCGGACAAAAACAACGTATCACTATGGCGCGTGTTTTTTATAATATTTTGACAATGGACCGAAGTGAACAGACTCCTGTGGTTCTCTTGGATGAGTCCACATCCATGATGGATGAGACGGAGCAGGCGGTGTTACTTAATCTTCGCAAATTACAAGTCCGCATGATCTCCGTGACACATCGTGAAGAAGTGATTACACACCACACGCATGCATTGAGGATCCTACCAGGGGGAAATTGGACAGCAACGCCGGTCACTACACGTGTGAATATTGACTAAACGTCGAAATGCGTTGAAGTTATGCCCATTCTGAAGACCCTGCGTGTTTTTTTTCCCGGAGAAATATAAAGAAATGTCCTTCTTTTTTTTTTCTTTTTTTTTTCATTGTGGTGTCCAAATGTATGACAGCTTTTTTCTATTTTTCTAGTGGGTATTGTTGGACATCTTATTATTTACTTATTTCACTTGCCCTTTAGACCTGCGAACATCTGTGCCGCAGAATACAAATCGGAGTGTAATAACCGCCATAAATTCAAGGCAAAAAAAAAAAGGAAGAGGAATAACCTCGTAAGAGAAAAGAAACTTAAAGAAAAATGGACAGATTGCATTTCTATTTCCGTGCGCGTTCGTGCATGTGCAATCAATCTGTTCTTGATTTTATTTTTCCTGAACGAACTTCTGAGAGCCTGCGGGAGGAACGGAGTAGGCTAAAATTTGTATGTTAAAAATCCCCAGCACCTATCATATCTCCGCCTCCCAAATGTTTTCATTATGTGCGCTCTGTTGCAAGGTGGATGTTTTCAAGGGGAAGGGTGTTTGTAGGCGGAGTTAGTTAGTGGACGGTGTCCACGACGCAACCCACACACATTTTTTGAGCTGGGGTGATCACCGTCAGCCGCTCGGGCTAAATTGCGCAACCCAAAAGAAAAGATTTGTGCCACGTCCCCGGCACCGGGATATCGTCCTCTTGGACTGAGGAGAATTAACTCACTATGTACAAAATTGGTTCGCAATGAGCGGCACTGTGCGACAGTCGGGCTACTGGGCCGCCACCTCACCACCAACACGTCGTGCGGTTGACACCTTTGGTGGAAACGAGTTGGCGCACCGGGCGACGGTGCTGTGGGCACAATTGGCGCCGGGGAAGAACGGCACACGACCATCTTTTCTGAGGGCCACAGCATCGTTCGGCGCACCCATCGCCGTCGGGTTGCGTTGCGGGAGAAGGAGGATTGCTTGTCCCGACGAGGAGTGGACCTGTGCACTTTTACTCCCTGAAGTGGATCCGACGGCGGATGAATCGAACGGCACACGAGTGTGTTGACGATTTGTGGAAGGACACTGTATTACGATCCGTCACCTCGAAGAGCGGTGGGAACGAATTGAATTTGCGGAACCCCGTACAGCATGCGCTGCTTGTGAAAAGGTCGGGTAGTATTTGTAGAGCCATGGGGGGGCCTGTCGCGGGGTGGGCCGGCGGTGTTGGAGGGCAACCCGCGATGGAAGAGATACAGACATATATATGTATATGTATATACTAGAGGGGGGAGAAGAAAAAAATAGCAGGGAGTATGTTAAGAATTTGTAATTTGACGAATAAGAAAATTGATGCTCTACGCATTTTATTCTCTCTACGTTTGAAGCAGGGATAAAGTAGAGAAACACATTTTGATGCTTTTTTTCCTTGTTCACCTTCATTTCCTTTTTTTTTTTTTTTTTGTATGTGTGTGTGTGTGCGTTTTTTTCCGCAGAGGCTCAATCTTTTTGTTGTCGTTGTTGTTTTGGTTTCTCTCTCGTACTGTGTTCTTCTGCGAGGGCCACTTTATACTCACCTCTCATGCTCATTCTTTTATTATTATTATTTGGCAAAATTTTCTGCTTCACTGCACATACACACAAACGCACGCACAACGATAATGAAAGGGTGTCTCATGGACGTGCACAGTCGGTGCTGGCTCCACGTTGAACACTCCGCCTCTTTCAGCTTTGACGCCGAAAACCCCATCAAAGTAGAATCCATTCATGTCAGGCTCACTTTGAAGACTGGGAACGAGGAAGGTATAATGCCGAGAGGAGGAGGGGAAGCTAAAACGTCCGAAATGAAATGTGTTCTTTGGGCAAAATGTGTGCCCACAATTACTGTTGCTGACAAATTGTTTTGTGACCAGCCACCATTTATTGTGGCATCATTTCTTTTGGGTCCGGAAGGAGTCGCAACAGCAACATCTCTCAGTTGGGAAATAGGGGAGAACGTTAGCGTTTCCATGTGCCTTACAGGACTCACTGAAACACCGGAGTTCTTTTTGACACCGAGTGAAGAGGCACTTTTATGCCAAACAAACATGAATAATGCTATGGAACCTGTAAAGGAGGCAAATACCTCACCACATCTTGAATTGGAGTCTATTTACAACGTTACCATCACTTTTGCCGGTGTCAAGGCGAATTGGGGGTTTCAACAGTCGATATGGCAGCCATTGCTTTGTTTTCGTTGGTTTGAATTACAGGGACATATTCGTGAGGCAACGGTTCCATCCTTACCACTTGAAAAGCGAGGAAAGAGGCTTAACGATACGAGGGCAACAAAGAGGCGGATGATCACCGGTGATATAAAGGAGGCTTCTGCTGTTTCTTCTTGTGGAAATTATGTTTTGTGGCGAGATGGTACTTTGGGACTGCGGCAGGAATTAGTACCTTATCACAGAGTGTACACCCCAGCGAACGCAGAAAAGCGTGTTCGAGTTCGTAGGTTCCCGCATCGATTTGCAGACATTGTGGGTGAGATTCCCTTTGGGAGTTCGGTTGAGGCCATTGGCCGTCAGGTGGATGGATACACAAATGAGACATACGTCTTGGTGATACTTTTAGGAGCACCCGATGCGGCGACTGTGGCAGAGACCTATAATCTGCAGTGTATCGAGCCTAACAAGTGGATATGGGGTTGGTCAAAAATTTCCTCAAGAAGCGGGCTCTTACTCTTAGTGGAGGTGACGGACACTGCAAGGTCCTCTTTGCCTGATTATGGGCGCGTGGAGCGGCTAGGGGAGCCAACGTACTATACCTCCGTTCGTGAGGAGCGTAGTGTTCGCATCCGCAGCGGGCCTTCACTAAGCGCCGACGTTGTGAAGCATCTTGAACCAAACGAAGTGAAGGTGGCAGTCGCCATTCACCATTTTACTAGTATTAATGATGATAGTTCAGTGAGGCTGTTGCAACAATTTGTGGAATGGGAGGAAGGTGGCTTTTCTCTTCTCCGTAATAATGATCGAGTGTATCTGGTACCGGTGCATCTCCAACAGCAGCCACGCCACTTCCCTGTTTGCCCCCGCCCGGCACCAAATTCGCCTGAAATAATTCCGCTGCATCGAAAACGCTGCCGTACCGTATCGCCCGCGAATAATCGAAAAAGACCGGATACAGGAACTACACCACCACCGGATCTTTGGAGTCCTGCGGACATTCCAGAGACGCTTGCTGCGGGGTTAAAGAAGGGATCTGTTCGATTAGAGGAATTACCGAAAATTAACCTCAATGGGAGCCCTACCCATTCGTCAGCCTCTTCGAATTCTTAATAATTAGTCCTTTGACCTTCGTCTAATTATTCCCTCAATACATGACTATTGCGAAATATAAACCAACACAAATAATAATAATAATAATAATAGACATCATAATCACGCAGCGTTTACACAGCGTCAGCATTTTTTTTCTTTTGTGTGTCGATTGACGCTGCTGATGTCCGCACGCTTCTGTTTCTCTGCCATTAATAATTCTCTTCTTTATTTCTTCCCTTCTTTTTTTTTTTTTTGGTCTCCAAAAACGACAAAAATTTTTTCTTACTGTAGAGGCTTAGAGCAAGGGATTAAGGAACTGAATTGCACATCCGTATTGACATCGTTTTTTTTTTTTTTTTTATTTGTTTTGTTTTGTTTTTGTGCTTGCAAGATAGGTATCTCTTGCCGAAATGGCGGTAGCAGTTGGTGCTGAAGCTCCAGACAGCGACAAGGTGTTCCATGACACCGTCTTCATGGAAAAAAACAAGCATATCTCCGACCGGTGGGTTCGCATTGCCGAACTGTACCCAGACGGCATCAGCCAGCCTCTCCTTCCAGCGGAATTTTCCCGTGAGCAGTTCGGACAGGGCAATCACTACGAATGCTTCATGCTCACAGCCCTGTCCACTCTGGTGCGCTTCCCCAGCGTAATCCAGAACTGCTTCGTCTCCAAGCACGTTCGACGTGACGGGCGTTACACGTTCCAGTTTTTTCGTGGCAGGGAGTGGGTGAAGGTGGAGATTGACGACCAAATCCCACTGGAGGAGGATGGGGAGCTTTACATTCGCTCGCCCACGGGGCACTGGTGGCCCCTGCTCCTTGAAAAGGCCTATGCAAAGTTTTATACCGGCTACGAGAATCTTGAGGGCTGCACACTGCAGGAGACGTACCACGACCTGACTGGCAATCCCGTGCTCAACATCCCCATTGACGCGAAGCTTGCCAAGGCCGCTGGAGCGGACGTAACGGAGGGCCACTACTGGCTGGATTTGGCGCAGAAGATTCAATCCGGACAGTTCGTGGCCTCTGTATTAACCAAGGACATGGAGACTGAGAGTATGGGTATTCAGCGCGAGCAGCAGTATGGTGTGCTCGAGATCTTTTCGATGACAGGCACATCGTCTGTGAACGACATTGTTATCCATTTGCACAATCCCTTCGAGGATGAGGAGTTCATCTACACAGGTCCCCTGAACAGCAAGGATTCACAGTGGACGCCCAAGTTACGCGCCAAATACAGTGTGGACGATGAACGCTCCCTCTTTCTTCCACTCAGCACATTTCTGAAGATTATTAATTCCATGCAACTGTGCTATGTTTCCACGATAGATGGCGATGCCACATACTTTGATGACGAATGGAAAGGTGAGACCGCAGGCGGTAACCCCACATGTGTTACATGGCGCAAAAATCCCCTATATAGTATCAAGAACCTCGGGAAAGAGTCTGTCTCTTTTGTAGCAATTATTAAACAAGAGGATCAGCGGCGCCTTTGGACTTTAGAGGATGAGGACTTGAGCTACCAACAGTGTGGAATTGTTGTGTGTCAATACACTTACGCACAGAAAGTGCCAACATATTTTGTGACTGGCAACAACCACAAGCCCATTTACAAGAGTTTGTTTCTGAATTCTCGTGAGGTGGCGAATGCCGTTACGGTTCCCCCTAATTCTCTATGTTATCTTGTGCCCTCATGCATGTCAAAGGGATCTGAATCAAAATTCACCATTGCTCTTTACAGAATGAAGCACCAGGATTACACTAACTTTCACGTGGGAAAACTATCTGTTCCTGATATGATGTGGGATCGTCCAATAGAAGCTAAAATTCAACTCCAGATGCGTACAAAGGATCGTGTGGACTTCTATGTTGACCAAGAAACCGACGTCCACATACTGATGCATCAACTAAAATCGTATGTGAGCCCTAAAACGGGGGGCGATGCCATGGCCCAGGACTATATGGGCATGTACCTGTACGACGACACGGACCGCAAAATTGGTGGTGTGCACGCTGCAACAAACTTCAGGGAAACAGGCATCGTCTATCACCTTCCCCGAAGCGGCCGCTACGCTCTCTCCGTCACATGTCCACGTGCGAAGGGAAAGGTGCCCGCGCTCATCACGATTGTCGCCTCCTATTCAGCCAACAGTCGTCTTGTCGAAGCCCCAGAGGATGCAGGCATGTTTGAAGATGAGGACGATGACATCGACGAGGGAGAGGAGTCTGCGGCACGGAATAACCCCATCGACTACATGCCCATCAATATGCCTCCGTCAAAGATTACGGAGCTTCCTGACAGCACAACGCCGTTTGAGGACAAGCGGTTTATGGTCGACAACAAGATTATCACGAATGATCCATGGATCCACATTGGTGACTTGTATCCGGAGGGCAAGACACTGCCGCTTCTTCCCGATAAACTTAGCCGTGACCAGTTTGAGCAGGGCGAGCACTTCGAGTGCTGCTGCCTGACGGCCTTCGCGACACTTGTGGATCACCACCCCGATGTACTCCCGCAACGTGTTTGTGACAAAGGAGGTGCGAAAGGATGGTCGCTACACCTTCCAGTTTCACAGGTATGGCCAGTGGGTGAAGGTGGAAATCGACGACCGTATTCCGCTGACGAAGCAGCAGACCTTGTTCTGCCGCTCCCCCACACGGCACTGGTGGCCTCTGCTGTTGGAGAAGGCGTGCGCCAAGTTCTACACATTGTACCAGAACCTCGAGGGGTGCACACTGCAGGAGCTGTACTACGACTTTACTGGTTGTCCCGTGATGAACATTCCGACCGACCTGAAACTCGCGAAGTCTGCCATGTATTCAGTTGACGACCCGGAGTTTTGGCTTGACCTTAATGAAGATTTGAAGAACTGCGCCTATGGAGCTACTGCACGTTCAGGGATCGGAAGCAATTTGGGAATTCAAGAAGACCAGACGTATGGTATTCTTTCTGTCATCTCCACAAGAAATTCGGTTAACCCCGAGCTTTCGGACTTGTTGGTTATGATTTACAATCCGTTTGTTGAGGCCGTCTACACTGGTCCTATGAACAATGAGGATATACGATGGACCCCGGAATTGCGTTCCATGCACTCTCCTGAGCAACGGGATACAATCTACATGCCCGTTGGTATGTTTCTTGAGACTTTTTCCAGCATAGAGAAGGTTCTGATTCGTGGTGTGGCGTTACCTGGTTGGCATTTCAGCAGCGAGTGGGGTGAAGGCACGAATGGCGGCAACCCTACTCTTGTGACATGGCGCGAGAATCCACTTTATGTGGTGCGAAACAATTCTGAGGAGCCATTGCAGATCATGGCCATGATTGGTCAGCCGGACCAACGACACAAACTTCACCTATTGCCACAACAGGAGTTAGATTATATTCAATGCGGTCTGGTGCTCTCTCAAAATACGGACAAGACGATGATTCCCACCTATTTATTGACAGCGAATAACCACCAAATGATTCACAAGGGCCTTTACATGGACTTCCGTGAAGTGGCTAACCGAATTGTTATACCGCCAAATTTTTTTGGATATCTTGTTCCTGGAGCAATGTTTCACGAGCAAGGAAGATTTCTATTGTCTTACTGGTACACCAACGTAGCTGACGAAAAAAGGTTGAGTATTACTCGACTTAAAGTGGATGTGGCACGTCATTTACCGGCAATTGCTCATGTCACACTGGAAAGCCAACAAAGGAAGCGTGTCGATTTTATAGTAGATACTCCAACTGACGCGCACATTCTGCTGCGCCAGGAAAAGCCGTATCGTACTGCCAATTGCTCAGACGCGATGACAGAGGATTTTCTTGGTATGTACTTATATGACGAACATGATGAATACCTAAGCGGTGTTGCATCCGCTACCAATTTTCGTGAAACTGGCATCGTGCATCACCTTCTTGCCCCTGGCCGGTACGCTCTTTCCATTACATGTCCGCATGCCAATGGTCCTGTTCCTGTAAGGGTAGAGATTGTGGCGACAGAGGAGGCTCACGTTCGTACAACTGAGCCACCTATTAACGCCGTAAAACTTGAGGATGACAATGACGAACTCAACGAAGAAAACATTACTCCTCCTGTACCGCAGGCGTTAGTAGGCTTGACTTCAAGAAAGGCGTCGACACGTACGACATCAATTTCCTCAAGAATTCCGAGTATTCCTGTGGAAATTGATATTAGAAACCAGGACTTTTCTTTTCTTGACCCAGCACCGGAGGGCATCCCAATTCAGGACATGCTTCTTATGGGGGATCCTGCATTTGCCGCATCTGCGCGTGAGCGCATGAAACTGAAAAGAAATCCTGTTGCGAATGCGAGCAAGATCAGTGCCCTTGAGGAGGAGATGGATCAACGTGCTCATGTATTGGCTAAGCAGTTGCGTGCCAAAGAGCGCACTTTCCTTGATCCAGAGCCCGAGGGTGTTCCACTTGAGTTGCTTTCATTAAATGAAAATGAGGCCTTTCAGGAATTGGAGCGAGAGCTTCGTGCCCTAAATCACAAACCCCGGAAGGATGCCAAAGCAATACTTGCTCTTGAAGATGATTTGTTTGACCGAACACACGTGCTTGCCAGGGAGCTAAAGGAAAATGAACGGAACAACTTTTTGGATCCACAGCCCGAGGGTGTGCCGGTGTCTGAACTGTCGTTGGATTTAGACGAGCCGTTTCATACGATGGAGGTGGAACGTCTACGCCTTCGCCACGAGGACCCGCGCGCAAATGTGACAAAAATAAAGGAGCTGGAAAATGCATTGAATGACCGTGCGCAGGAGTTGGCACGTTTGCAGCTTCGCAAGGAGCGGGCTTTCCAGGATCCCGAGCCTTTTGGGTTTTCCTTGGAGGAGCTTGGGTTGGGTTTTGATGACGCGGTTGTGCGTGGCGAGGCGCAACTGCGTGAGCTGAGGAAGGAACCGAAGAAGAACGCGGCGGCGATAAAGGCGACGGAGGATGAGATTTCCAAATTAGTGCGTGACATTGCTCGCAAGAAGGCTGCATTGGATCGCGCGTTTCTCGACCCCGAGCCGGAGGGTCGTCTCGTGGGGGAGTTGCCGCTGGA